TATACGTGAGGTAGTATGTGTACACTACTATACATGAGCTCTATCCCTTGTCCGAGTCGACCTGCGGCGTCGAGCACGTGATTGTGCGCGGGTACAGTAGTATGCATTACTTGCAGCGTCAGAATACGGGTCCGCTTCTTCCTGTGCCAAAAGCCATTGATCGTTCGAGCGCGTCGATTGGGGATTGTCCCAACTTGAGCACTTAGCAAGAAGGAGTCATGCCATATTCTGACACCGTCCTTGTCTTCTATCGGTCACATTGACGGATGGGTGTAGAGATCATGTGTGTGTGGCTGGGACTACCTCGTTCACCATACGTCATCATGCATGGACGAGGACATCAGCATATGCGCACGCACCGGATCGCTGAGACTATGTCGAATCTATGTATCACACTCAAGCGTCTATAGTGTGTATCGTGTTCGCTCCCGCAGGAAGGAAAGACGATCGCGAATAGGCAAGGAGCTGCCTAGGACTGGCATGACCTTGTACGGCCGCTGGTGTATATGCTTCATGGGGATTCCGGAGTCTAGTGGCACCCATGTACACCTCTGCGCACTCAGTGTTGGGATGGTCACAAAGATGCGGTACGTGGATGCCCGAGGCAAGCTAGTGGCAAGCTACCGCCTCCGGCACCAATATGTGGTTCGGCCGACGCCGCAAGACTTCACACGCTCTCTCGAAGCCAATGAAAGACGATGACGCAGCACGAAGCAAGCATCGAGTACCCTGTCATATAATCCCATTTGCGTTAATGAGTGAGTTGTACGAAGATGCTCTTAGTATATGGATCAAGGACCTGACGCCGATCCTCTACCTCAGCCAGCATCAATGACCTCCCCACAGAACTTCTTTGGACGATTTTCGTCGAATGCGGTCATTCTGAACCACTATCCTTCTCCAATGAATTGCCTACAGCCCTCGCCGTCAGCCTAGTCAGCCGCCTGTGGTACCAGTCCGCCCTTCAGGTTCCGGAGCTGTGGACTACCATAAGCTCTCGACTCTCCAAAGCGTCTGTCCTACTCTGGTTGGAGCGTTCGCGGGGGCTGTCAGTACGGATACTCCTAGATCTGCCCGAGAACCCCTTATCGACGGGTTTCTGCGTCAAACATGTCCTCGAGCCCTGCATCGAGCGAGTAACTCTGCTCTCCATAAGAGGTGTCTATCACAATCGTGTCATTGACACGCTCCGCCGACGGGTTCAAGACGCTTTGCCCTTTCAGCTTCAGACGCTACACCTACATCCTCTCGGGAAGGACGCATCTCGAGAAGCGCGCAATCGAGCCTACGTAGTAGAGCTGCGCGACATCCCGCTACAACGCCTATTTATTTCGTCGGGTGTGCGCCTTAACCCAACGACTCTGCGTCGCATACGAGTAGACGATCTTGAGATCGGACCCGGAGACGAAACCGTCCGCATGCAGACACCTCTCGCGTTGATTCTGAGTAGCCTATTCGGAGCGACAACTATACGAACACTTCGACTTGACGTCAGCGGTGCATACGATGCACGGCTACCACATGTTATCAGGGAGACCATCAACTGCACACACCTTGAGCGCATCTATCTCGCCGGGGACATGCGTTTCTGCAAGACCCTCTTGGACCGCTTGCGTTGTCCCCCGCTACATGCGTGCGGACTGTCTTTCACGTGGACTACGAAGACCCCGGATATGGACGCATTGCATGTCACGCTTGTCCGAGCGCTATCGGCACGGATTGCTCGCAGACCGCGTAGCATGATAGTCAGGATCTACCCTCCTCGTGTCGTCTTTCTGGCATTCGATGAATCACTCAGATGGGATAGCCACGATAGGACTTTGCTGGACAGCATACCCGCTACCGCTTCCGGGACGGTCTTTGCTATCGAGATGCACTGTCCGCCAGAACATACCTCGGCGCGAGCTGCGGAAGAACTGCTGGACGAGCTCATAGCGCACGAAATGCTGTGGGCGCTGGAAGAGCTGATCGTCATCTCTCCCAACCAATCAGATCTTCTACCTCATCACATCTTCGACGATCTGAAATTCATTCCCACGTTAATCGCGCACTGTCGTAGTGACATGGTTAACCTGAATGGGTTTCATTCGAACGATCCGATGTGGTTAGAGCCTGAAGATAATCCGCAATGGGAGCAGGCTCCGCCGAACCCTGCGTCGCCGGCCATGGTGCTCATCGCGCGTAACGCGACGGGGAGTACAACGAAGTTCGAAGTCGTACCCCAACTGTTCGCGGAGAGGATCGGCGGTATGGTTGACGCAATGGACATTCGGGTGGCGTTATGGGGCAGAAGACGCGGGGAGCCATTGCCTGTCTGGTAGTAGTCGCAATAATGTAGACCTGTCAAAGATACTATGCATAAAGCCCTTGAGAACTCCACTCTTACGACGACCTTTCAGATATAGCTTCATTTGCTGAAGACGTGCTGAACGCCTATACGCACGCAAGGACGACTACAAGTTCGTCTGGATTGACGACTGGAAGTCAATCGAGCGCAGGACTCCACACTCGATGGCTTGAAGCGAAGGTTACGCAGCGTTAGCCCAGGCATCAAACTCGCTCGTCTGGCTGCAAGCGAACATGCCCCACGGCACCGCAGTGACAAAAAACGATGAGCTATAGTATATCCGCAACGGCGCGCGATTCTTCCATACGATTATAACAGAGCGAAGAGAGCAATAACAGCAGTCCGTTTCGAGAATCTAGCTCCCATTTGTAGGCTGGCCTTGCCAAAGGCCGTAGGTTTTTCCCGGCGTCGTCTGCCACAGCCTGATTGTCCCGTCCTCTGTAGGGGATATCAACATATGGATCTCGAGCAGATTGCGAACGTGAGAACTCACCGCTGCCACTGGCGTACATCTCACCATCAGGGCTGTACTCGATGCAGTGCACAGGACCGTGATGACCCTTGAGAACCTCGCGCTCCTCGCCATCAAGAGCGTGCACGCGCACCCATTCGTCGGCCGTGCTGCCCGTAACGAAGCGATCCTGCCAGATCGGATGAATGCTTGCACAAGAAGGCGCGTAGGGAAGCTGGAGGCTGTGCGTGCTGGCACCGGTGGGCAACGCGGGAATGAACGCGACAGTCTTTCCTGACGTGACGACGAGACGGTTGGTTTGCTGGGAAAGCTCCATGGAGGTGATTGGTGAAGAGAGGTTCATGCTCGTCGTGAGCTTCCTGGTACGCAAATCCCACCACCTACAAAGAGTTATGTCAGAGACTGGCATGAAACGCGGGCGAAAGCCATGCTTACTTGATCAAACCATCTTCACCGGCAGTAACTCCGGTGTGTTCACCGACCCAGGCCACAGACTTGACCGTCCCATCATGCGTAGTCGTGGCACCATCTTGAAGAAGGAATTCGGGCTCCACATCCGGACGTCCAAGGTCGAATATACGGGCCTTTTTCTCTTGACCACCGGTGAGAAGATGATGGGTACTAGGCGAGATCGCAACCGAGCGAACGATGTGATTATGCGGGAATGAGTGAAGCGCGGTGCCGTTGACGGTGTCCCAGATCTTACTACAGAGAATATTTGGTCAATGCACAACACTGAATATGATATCATATACACTTACGCAGTGAAATCGGCGCTGCCAGACGCGGCACGCGACTCGTCCATGCTGAGCTTTGTGCTCCAGACGGCGCCTTTGTGTCCAATGAAGGTGCCGATCCAGTCACCGGTCCAATCGCGGAGCATAGGGTTACCGTCTTTGCAGCCAGAGATAATCATGTAGGTATTATCCTCCTGCAGAGGCGAGAAGGACAGGTGTGTGACCGGACGCGTGTGGCCGGGCGCGACGAGGGGAGTCGCCTTTGGAGGAGCGAAACCAGACATATCGAGAGATCGTGAAGAGGTAGGAGATATAAGTCGTAAACGTGACTGTAGCAGGGAAGGTATATAACACCGAAAGGAGACAAAAGGCGACGCTCAGCGTCTGCAACGACGACGACGAGAGCAGAGTTATGGTCGTTGCTGGCCGCGACGCGATGTGATATCAGCCTCGTGTCGCCGCTCACCACGTGCATCTCTCCCTGCTACCATCATCGCCAGCAGATCGTGAAACGTCGGCGTACTTCTTGAAGGTGGCTTTCTATTTCCGGGAATAGAAACGAAGCGAGGGGTGTGCCGCATGAAGACACAACCTGTACATATTTGATGCAACCCCACCCGCTCAACGCCGGTTGCGCACGCTTTTGGACGAGTAATCGCCATCCGAGCTGACCGTGTTCTTATAAGTACCCTCGCTGCCCGTATCTACACGGTGCTCTTGGTTATCCTTCATCGCGCATGTGCCAGCTAAGCCTCAGACTGTCTAACTCGACGTGCACTTGACTCTATATTTGACGCCGTGGGCCACGCGCGCTCTATGAGTACTACTTGTAGTCGATGTAATGGAGTACGTATACCGTGTACTCCTCCGCGGTCGTACCGAGACTTTTTCTCTCTGGAAGGCTTGACGCGTTTGTACATGTACGCCCGCGATGAGATGCTGGCAAGTCTCGGCACCAGCACGCCAAAATGAATTTCGTCCGACTCGCACCAACAGCGCCTCATTCTGAGCGCGTCGTGACGGCACCCGCAGCTCAGTCAACCGTTCCCGAGGCACGAAACGGCGGGAGCGGCACCTACAACGGCGCGGCCGATCCGTACGAAAGCTGTCTTTTGATCCCGAACGAACCGTGGGTTTCCATGAGCGTCCACTGGCGCTCAGAGCACGCCATCTTGCACAATGCCCGCTCGTCATTGCGTTGTTTCGACGTTCTCGCCCTGACAAAGTTGACGATGCCTCTATCTTTCTTCAAGGTCGATCGGGTGCTCTTCTGCGATCTTTCTCCCTCCCCTGGAGACTAGCGCACAGTTCCATCTCTTGCGGCGGTCGCGGAAAGGCTCAATTGACTCTACTGCTCCCTGCGTACCTCATTCGACATCGCGTTGACGGCTTGCACCATTGACGGTGTACGGCGCCTATAACTGCCTCGACGCACAGTAGCCTTCAGCTCTCAGCCGCCGCTCCAACCATGTCCTCCTCGCCTTACGTCGAGAAGGCCCTTGACTTGGGCAAGAAGTTCATCGGCTACCCCGAGGAGCGCCCGCATACAATCTCTTCGAAGGACTGGGTTCGCGACGTCTTCAGGAATCCAAAGGATGAAGTACGTCGTGCTTATCATGCTTCTGAGCCACAGCTAACCGTCCACCATCAAGGCGATCCATTATGTGAAACGCCTGTTCCCCATCCTGACTTGGATCGGTCGCTACAGTGCGTAACTCGTATTCGACAGAGAGAGCATGAACTGACTGTGTACAGACGTTGGCTGGCTCACCGGTGATATCATCGCCGGTTTGACTGTGGGTATCGTCTTGGTTCCGCAGGTGGGTCTATTCGTTCGATGCTCATAGTACGAGAGCTAACTATGTGCAGAGTATGTCCTATGCGACAATCGCGACATTGAGCCCACAATATGGTCTTTACTCGGCTTTCGTTGGTGTTATGATCTACTGCGTACGCCTGTCTGACCTTCCTCAATGCTGTGCATGCCTGAACTTCCCCTCAGCTTTTCGCCACGTCGAAAGATGTCTCGATCGGCCCTGTCGCTGTTATGTCTCTTACGGTTTCTGAGATCATCAAAAACGTCAACGCCAAACATCCAGACCAGTTTGATGGCCCGACTATCGCAACAGCTGTTGCCTTCATCGCCGGCTTTATCGTTTTGGGCATTGGTCTCCTTCGTCAAGGATGGCTCGTTGAGCTCATCCCCCTACCTGCCGTGAGCGGCTTCATGACGGGCTCCGCTATCAGTATCGCCGCCGGACAGGTGCCCGGCTTAATGGGCATCACAGGCTTCGAGTGAGTATCTTCCCATGTCAATCTCTTTCTTCTCACCGCTGACTCGTCTGCAGTACTCGCGCAGCCACCTACGAAGTGATCATCAACACGCTGAAGGGTCTTCCGCGTACCAAACTGGACGCTGCTTTCGGTCTCACCGGTCTCGTTGTTCTGTACCTCATCCGCTACGCTTGCGATTGGGCAACGAAGCGCTACCCGCGTCGAGGTAAGCTCACGCATGCACTCAGCAGGTACATGGACGTTATACTCATTGACTTGTCAGCTCGCTGGTTCTTCTTCATCTCCGTCTTCCGGAATGCCTTCGTGATTATTGTCCTCACGTTCGCGTCCTGGTTGTTCTGCCGCCACAGGGGCACCGCGGCGGGGAAATACCCGATCAAGATCTTGAAGACCGTCCCTGCTGGCTTCCGCGATGTTGGTCCCCCGGACATCAACCCAGAGCTGCTTAGTGCAATCGCTCCCCAACTTCCGGTGGCTACGATCATCTTGCTTCTTGAGCACATCGCCATTGCGAAGTGTACGTAGCGCTCAACATACTGGATTCGACTACATGCTCACCCCACTTACAGCTTTCGGTCGTGTCAATGGTTACAAGATCGACCCGAACCAGGAGCTCATCGCTATCGGTGTCACGAACACCGTCGGTTCAGTCTTCCACGCGTACCCCGCGACCGGTTCATTCTCCCGTTCGGCTCTCAAGGCCAAGTCCGGTGTGCGTACGCCGCTCGCGGGTATCCTGAGCGGTATCATCGTCGTGGTGGCTCTTTACGGCCTCACGCCAGCCTTCTTCTGGATCCCCACCGCTGGCCTCTCGTCTATCATTATCCACGCAGTCGCCGACCTTGTCACCAAGCCCAAGCAGGCATACGGATTCTGGCGCATCTCGCCGCTTGAGTACATCATCTGGCTCGCTGCCGTTCTCATTACTATCTTCTCGTCCATCGAGAACGGCATCTACGTCTCGATCTCATTGTGTGCGGCGCTCATGCTCATCAAGCTCGCTCATCCGCGGGGATACTTCCTTGGTCGTGTGCGTTTGCACTCTGAGGCTTCGTCCGAAGCGCGCGACGTCTTTGTCCCGATTCGGCCGAACAAGGTTCTCAATCCCGATGTCAAGGTCGAGCCTCCACACCCAGGCGTCATCGTGTACCGCTTCGAGGAGAGCTACCTCTACCCGAACGTCAGCATTGCGAACGATACTCTCGTCGAGCACGTCAGGACAAACATGCGCCGCGGCAAGGACATGTCCACCGTCTCTCTTGCCGACCGCGCGTGGAACGATCCCGGTCCGCGACGCGGCTCAGCGGATGAGGCGGCCGTTAACGCCGCCAAGCCTTTGCTGCACGCCATCGTCTTGGACTTCAGCTCGGTCTCGCAGATCGACACTACGGCTGTACAGACGCTCATCGACACGCGTGTCGAGGTCGAGCGCTGGACGGACGGTGCGGTCGAGTTCCACTTCGCGTCTATACTTTCGCCGTGGATCCGTCGCGCGCTTGTAGCGGGAGGGTTCGGTACAGGAGCGCCGGCGTCCTCCCGTCCTCGCGAGATCGCGCCCGTTGTCACGTATGGACACGAGCTGCGCGAGCGGAGGCATATTGCAGGACGAGAGGGAGATGCCGAGTCGGGCAAGGTCGACAGCGAGTACGCAGATTCAGTGGACGGGCTCACGCGCGAGCAGCTTCTTCCGCCTCGAGCGGCATTTGGAGATCATGTTGGCAACGATGCCAGCTTGATCCCCGTCGACACGCCGTTCTTCCACCTTGATCTCGAGACCGCCGTACGCGCTGCGGAGGCGGGCGTCAGAACACATCCTCGTGACAGCTCGAGCGACTCAGACAGCGTTGGTGAGATCAAGAAGACGGACGCGTAGAAATGTATTTCCTCCAAAAGTTATCTATCATGCTGTTTATGTCGTTGCTACAGTGCTACTTCGCACTATAATGTGTCTTCGCAGAGTCGGACAAGGGATAGAGCTCATGTATAGTAGTGTACACATACTACCTCACGTATACCACGCTTTCGAAGAGGTCACCGGACCGCAAGATGAAGAAGACGCAAGAGTACGTACCGGAGAGCGTGCGAAATGTTAGCTTCGACTCAAAAAGAAGAGTGATAGAGCGATGAAGAAGAGGCGCTACTGCCGGAGAGCGAGGACTCGGAGCCAGGGGAGGGACAAAGTAGAAGGTCGCGGAACTCGCTGCACGAGATGACGAAGGACGCCTGAGCGTACTTACCGGAGAGACAAAGGGACGTTACGAGACGCGCACGATGGAGTGAAAAGAGGCGGTCTGGTGACATTTCGCGGAGAAGAACATGCCGCGCGATGCGGGAGCCCCAACGTGGGGGATACATTGAAGCAAAGAAAGAGACACGAGTCATTTCCATGTGCAAACCAGGGGCGAAGGGACAAGTCGCAAAGAGCCGGAAACCTCGTCCCGCCGGAGCTCAGCTCTCGCAGGCCAGCTCAACCCGTTCTCGTGCCCTGGGATCAGCAGAGCGTGCTCGGGGGTGATCAAGCCCTCGCACGTTTACGAGGGTGGGGAGCGGCAGGGTGCACGGCGGGCGTGAGGTGCAGCGCGTCAATACGACCGTCGGAAAGTGGAGACGAGATGGGCGGAGACCGAGACGCTAAGTAAGAAACGCGCGTTGACCGTGACCGATATCCTTCGAGGCGTACGATGGCGAGCGAAGACCGCTGAGAGAGAAAGGTGTGAGAATAAAGCTAAAGAAGGTGTGGGGCTTGACTCACCGTTGTCGCTGAAGACCGAAAGCCACGAAGCAGGTGTACCGATGCATGCTCCGAGGACGACGCGGCGAGGCGAACAGTGGCGCGCTTGCGTTCGACGGCGTGCGATGGCGAGCGAAGATGTAGAGGCGAACGCGTTCGTCGACCGCTGAAAGAGGAAGGCGTGAGAGTAAAGCTGAAGGAGACGCGGGGTTCAACTCATCGTTGTCGCTGGAGACCGAACGTCGCAACCGAGTGTATCAACGCATGTTTCGAGGACGACGCGCGCGGCGAGGCGAAAGGTGGCGCACTAGCGCGAAGCGTGAACCGCCAGAGAGGAGCACCGATACCAGGCAGCCGCAAAACAAGCAGCAGTGAAGCCACGAGCGCAACTGTCAGTACGGGCTTTGGTGAACCTCAAAAAAGGAGGGTCAGCGTAGTGTTTAGGACAAGCAGAATGAGAAGAGCGAGACTTGCACCGCTAGGGCGCATCTCGACTCGGGAGTCGAGGGGCGGTCGGTCTGGTAATACCAGAGCACGCAGCTGACGCGCCGCCCGAAAGCAGCGCCGCCTGGGCTAGCTCGCAGTCATATTGACCAGCGGTCACGAACCCCTCCGGATAGAGACAGCCCCAGGGCAGGATAGTCTGACCCGCCGTCGACAGCGCGAACGGCAGGTCAAGACCTCCTCCGTATAGAGATGGTCCAGGGCAGAAGAACGATCACGAAGGTCCTCAGACACGCGTCCATGCGGACGCGAGTGACTGTCCTCGGTCGAGGGAGGACAGCCTGCGAGCATCACCCCCCGCTAGACTGCACGCAGAACCAGACTGCGCGCGGTCAAGTTTGGGCGCACAACAAGGGATATGAATGTGCCACCCGCCGCTAAGGGCTACCGCTAGGGCATAGCTCGCCTGGTAGCGAGGAGACGGTCGGACATGTATACAAGCGTGACAGCCCTCGCTCATCCGCAGCTAGGCCCACAAGCGGCGTCGCTGTGACGGTACACAACCAGCGCTGATCGAGAAGTGATTCCCGATAGCGTGGCGCAATCACTCGACGACCCGACGGGCCCGTGTACGCGTCAACCACCTCAAAACGAGAACGACTCGACGACCTCCCGGACCTAGGAGATGAAGTAAGCACTTTGTTTTGGAACGATGGAAGCGAATGCACTTACTTCACCCCTCCCCACACACCAAGGACGACCTACAGAACAGACGTGAGAAGAAGTTTGTATGAGAGAGGGAAGCGGGGGCTTACCTCTCAGAAGAGGCCGTGAGGATTGGGAGAGCTGCCGACCGTCTTTATATACGAGATGGAGAGTGAGAAGCACATGTTTACGGGTCAGAGACACTTCTAGGAAGTTTCAAAATAAACGGTCCATTGTCCAGCACCGTCCAGGCCATCTCACAGATTCGTCGCGGGTTGTCTTGTTTGCTATGCCGTAGAACGGTCGGCACACGGTATCATACAGTACAATCGGACGACGGTCAGGCTTCCCAGCGCGGCAGCGTCAGACCGTGAACTTCATAAAGGAAGGTATGTTGTAAGGAGGCAAGTGATGAGGAATGCGGACAGACGCAGAGGCAGCTGGTTGGGTATTCACCGGCACCGGAGATCACCGATTCGCGCGGACGAAAGGCCGAGGTCTGGCCGAGGGCTCGCGATGAAACTCGAACGCGACTCTGTTTCGTGCTCCCATTGTCACACCTTTTCGGCTCTCTGCGATCCAAGGATGCGATTTCACCATACATTGACGAGCAAGAGGGATGATATACCGCCCACCGATCGTGGCAGTCGTGAGCTCGCGCTCGATTGTTGCAAGATGCTTATTTCGGTTGACGGGTATGGCCCCTCTGATGTTCGCATCCAAACTCCTGGTGGCGACTTGTGCGCAAAGACCAGACTGTGTGATGCGTCAGAGACTCATCTGGCTGAGAGCGGGCGGCAGGTGATTCCCCGTCGACTATCGGATGGCTGCCAGCACCAAACATGGGACGTTCGAACGCGCGGGTGGTCTGTTATACAACACTTCCCCGACCGCCACAGCCCAGGGCCTCTTGCCTGACTACCACCATCTCTATCCGTCCCTTCTACACTTTCTCTGCCCACACTACCTACGTATACTATGGACAACCATCCCGACGGGCGGGGAGTAGTGCGTTCTTTCTCTTGCCCCGCTTCGCCTGACGTGACTCATCTTCTCACCAGAAGCGACCCCAGGCGGGCGTATCGCCGGAGCCCATCGAAGCGCCGCTGAAGCGTGCGAGGGCCCCAGAAGCAACGACACCGACACACGCTGCCACGTCGACCGTCACGGCGGGCTCCGATCCCGCGGGAGTGCCGGCGAACATCGTATACCCTTCGGCGTCTACCCTTGACCCCTACCTGTCGATGGGACGCTCGCGCGTCTTCGCCGCACAATACGAGGAGATGCACCACTTCCAGTGGTTCGTTCAGACCAACGACACCATTGAGGGTATCCTCGCTGAGCATACCATTGAGACCCCTTCGGAGCGCACACCTTGTACGTCAAGTCATCGATTGCGACGCCTAGGTATGGCTCTTGCTTACGCAGCATAGGGGCAATGTTCCTCGCATTGAGCAACGAACATCACGCCGCCAACAGCGAAATTGGCCGGCTACGTCATGAGGTGGGGGTGGCCCAAAGTTCGGCCATCGAAGCCTATGCCAGAGGCCGCGCAGCGCAGCGCGATGACGTCCGGCGCCTGGAGGACCGCAACACCCGACAGCGGACGATGATTTTCAACCTCGAGAGACGGCTGGAGGAGAAGGCCGCTGACAATCAACACTTGGAGCTCGCGGCACAGCAAGCTCGCACCTCGTACCAAAGCGCTACCGAGGACCTGCGGATCGAGCGCGAGGCTCATGCCAGGACTCAGACCCTTCTCTCGCAAGCTCGCGCGTTCATCGGATACATCATGAGCGGCTTCAAGGGCGGTGTAAATCGCGCAATGGTTGCAGCTGCGCAATCCCTCAATTCGCAGGACTCCTAGGCCTCTCCCTTGCATGTTCAGACTTCGTTCATCCTGTCTATTACATAGTATTGTCCCGCCTCCTCTCCATCCATCGCTACTATACCACAGTCCTTCTAGCCACGTCTCTCTCTTCATCATGGTCTCGATCGCGCGTCTCTCCTGGGTTCCTGTGTTGTAAATGTCTACTATGTTCAGCTCGCGCTCCAGCTGATTGTCCATCACGATAATGATCAGCGCCGAGATCTACGCTCGCGGTCACATGAGCTTTTCCCAAGTATGATTTGACGAGGGCATATTCAGCCAGAGTCCGGCCCGGGGATCGAACAGCGTTGCTGCCGCCTTGCAGAGCGAGCGCGCGGCAATCCTGTGACACAGCGGCGCGTCAATCAGCTGGTGGAATTCAAACATGCCTGCCTTCCATGCTTATATGGACTTGACGGCTTGTCCAAGTAGGATCGCAATCCTCATCCTCCCACCCGCTACTTCCGCATAGACATGGCCAACCCGAGCGGCAAGACGGCCGTGGCAGGCCCATCGAAGAATGGTGATAATCGCTTCGTCATTCCCCTCCCGCCGTCGAGTATGTGTGACTCCCTGTCATTGATCACCCTGTTCGCTAAACGCGAGTACCTTCAGATGCGGCGCGGCCATCGCAAGCGAGGCCCACCCTAGTTCCTCGCAATGTTCTCGCGCCTAGTAATCAGGCGATTCTTAAGCAGGAGCCCGGCGATGGTGCGTACTCTGCAGCTAGGACTTGATCCATGTACAAGCTTCATCGGATCCGCCCTTCGTAATAGATGGTCTTCCACTCTCCGCCGCTGAGCTTACGGAGCTGGCAAGCGCGGTCGATTCCGGCATGCGAACACTCTTGCAACAGAACTCCGTTTCCGTTCCGTCGACGACCGACCTCGGTCCGTTTCATACTTGTTTACATACCGAGTCGCACCTCACTGAGTCTGACGCTCGCGCAGCTGTGACGCTTGAGTCGCTCCTAGCGCTGGCCGCTCGGCTTGACGGTGTATTTGTCCAGGCACAAGACGAGCTTCATTCGAGCCAGCAGATCAACCAAGAAACAGGTGGCCGGCTTGCCGACGAGGCGCAGAAGCTCGGCAAAAAGGTAGCGCAGAAAAGCAAGAAGCTCGCCAAGACTGAACGGGAGGCTCAGGCATCGGACGCCGCCAAGGACGAGGAACTGGACAAGGTGAACAAGGAGCTTATTCTCGCGCGCGCAGAGAACCTCGGCGAGCGCCTCGCCCGCAGCGCGCTTCAAGCCGATGTGGCCAACCAGCAGCACACTAACGCCCTCCTGGGTGAGGCAAACCGTTGCAAGCTGGAGACCGAGCAGAAGAGGTCGCGGGGCGTCCTCGTGCCCATTGAGGACTTCGTGAATGAGGCTCTTGAACGGGCGCAGGAGATCTTTGGCTCGGAGGTGTTGACGTCGTGGTCGTGATCGCGCCGGGATATTTTCACTACTTCCCGCACTGCGCCCCATGTATCACCATAGAGTCGAGTACGCTGTGTGGTTTTCGATATGCATACTATCTCATCGTGGACGTCTTTACGGTTTCAGGCAAGTTTCAGGTTTACACGTTGCGTCGTCATCCGTCTCCTCGGCGATTGCCGACGAATCTCGCGCGTCGGAAGCCCCGTAATGCTTGCCCCAAGCTTGCCCCCTACATAAACTTCACGCTTGTCATGCGCACCGTACAGCTTGGCGACGATCCTCAGGGCTTTGGAACGAGATCGTAGTTGTCGGACTACTAGGAATACTCCGATTTCCTGATCAGCCGACATTCCGATGATCCGCTATTAGTAAGTAATAGCTGCTGCCTATCGGTCACGTATGTGCCATATCAGGACTTGCCATTTAGAGAAACTATAACTACAAAGACACTACACGAGAGCTTGGAGAACGACCTCTTTATCTATTGCGATTTCTAGCGAAAACTCGAAACTCGGTCCGTACATCCGGCAGTAGCCATGTCGAACGATACTTGCAAACATGGAACGAGGATGAACGACAGGATCCTTAGGCCACAAGCTTCAATGCGCGATTCCAGTGCTGAAGAGCATGATGAGCTCGACTTCATACTTTCAGGATGCTTCACTTACGTCTGGTAATCAACCCATGATGGTTGAGGAGCGCCGAACGCCAGCAAGGGGATGTCGGTTGGGATACCCGATTCTGGCGCAGTAAGTGGAACACTTGTAGATGGTTGGGCGAGGCCCATGAATGGATTCCAGTCCCTCCGTACGGGTCTGGATCTTGTACGCCCCATATCGGCCGCGAGAAGATCCGCGTCGCGGAGGATCACATTCAAGATAACTGGGGAGATAAGGTCAGATGATTGATGGGACATTCGAAGCGCGCACAAGTCAATGCCTTACCCACAAACAAGACGACAACAATGGCGGACAGGGCAACCGCTGAGAAGGACTCAGCATTGTCATCGAGTTCTGCAGATGTGGAGTCGCACATACCGCCAGCCCAGAAAGCGTTGTGAGCAGAAGTCTCCTGCGACGTCGGAACAAGTACCATATAGGCGCGAGAGCCTAAGAACGGCCTCGCAGACCCACAGTAGCACGTTTGGTCGACCCCCAGTGCGTTCAAAACAGACATCGCGATTACAAAGATGGCATTGGCGATCGCGAGCATCTTGCCTGAGCAACTCAAGAAGACTTGAAGAGCTACGGAATCGATGACAGTAGACAACACCATCACAACCCAGATGAAGGTTGATGCACTCGCGTACATGAGCCAAGGGCCAGAATGGCATCCAAGTCCTCGGGGAAGCTGGTACATCTGTGTAACTACTATTAGCGTTGTTCTGCAATGAGGCAGACAAAGCCTACTGACCGATGTCAAGATAGCCGCGCCTGAAGTGCCCCATTGAATCAAAAGCGCCATCATTGAAGCATAGATCAGGCGGCGCGGGAAGCCTGTGCTGATCTTTGTCTCCGGCATCTCAACGATTCTCCATTTGTCTTGACCCTGCTCAGCGCCGCAATTGCTCTCAGAATCTCCTTGACGATGGAAAGTGGACCCGGCGGACGTGCGGTGTGGTGCGTCGTGCGCTGCACGGCGGAGGACGACTAAGACTAAGTCCACACAATGCGACCAGGACTTGAATCTCGAGTAGTTGAAGATCGGAGGTGTGGCTTGCATATCACGCAAAGCAAGGTGATCGGTGTAATCGAGGAAGAGGGCAGGGTGTTGCATATCACGTCCGTCGGAGACGTGCATCAATTCTTTGACCGACTCTCTGAGGCGAGTGGAACTGGAGATCGGGGACACTTGAAGCCATCCTATGACTTGAAGCGGATTAGTCCACATTGAAACCAGAAGCGTGCGCGTACGCACCGACAGGAAGTGTCCAAAGAAAGACGGTGCCGATATCACCTCCGGTAGTGTAAGACGACGTAGAATTGGTACTCAGAAACGTGACCAACACGGTCAGCACTAAAGGGATATCAGCCATAAACGCTCAGTTTGACTGGTTATACGCCGACCGTATGCAAAGATAACCCAGGCCATTTGGAATGCAGCTACAGTCGTCCAGGTATGCACGTCAAGCCCGAGAGTTTGTAGCCTATCCCACACCTCATCGTCCAGAGGGAAGACGTCAAGCCTTTGGGATATGGCACCTCGTGTGTCGACGCACAGTGGAGCCTGTTGAAGCTTGTCGAGAATGGTGTACACCCGATCGAGCTTTGGGTATTCGATACGTGATAGAGTGCGCGCAAGGTGGCGTCGGTTGAGTGCCGTGAGCACCAATGAATAGACGGCCAATATAGGCGAGCCTAATGCCAAAAGCAGTGCCATAACGTTCTCTGCGCCAACGGTCGCACCGTAGGGAAGCTGAGATAAAAGGGCCAGCCATGGGACCAACCAACTGCTGATGTTGGTAAGGAACTGGCTCCAGTCTATGGTGTGCCATGGCGATTGGAGTTTTGAACACTCAGTGTTGCACTTGTCGTAGGTGATAGCGGTCGCCGATTTCACGTCCAACACATACTGACCGTTGCTGTCCAAAGCACCCGCACTATGAGCGTCCTGGCCAAATGAGCCATTTGTGAGTTTCTGGCGGCATTCCGACATGGCTGGCGACTGAGCTCGTACGTGTGTCGCCAATAGAAGGATGTGGATAAGTGCGAATCCGACTGTGCGCATCTTGAAGTGAGGTCTGTGGGTTGGGATCACTACCAGCACGACAAATCAAGAGGTACTTATAGTATTCTCGCGGACGATACTAGGGCGACATTTTCCCGAAGGGTAGAAGAAAAGAGGTCATCCGCCGCATGACGAGTCCAGAGCGCACGGAAGATATCATAGCCCTGCTTGAGTGCGCTGCGTACCGCCAGTATGCACTTAGGTACCCGGAATCATCATCGAAGTCACAACACAGCAGTTTGTCAGGTCTACTCGAAGATCGTGGATCTGCCAACCAGGTCGTTGGTCCATGACGACCATAGAAGGGTGCCGCTCGTCCGAAAGAACGACGTAATACGTCTCTGGACTTCATACTAGCGATTCAGAGAAGGACAGATACAAGGTTTGGGGTATCCAAACTCATAGCCATTCCCGTCGACTGAATAGCGACGTGTCGTGAGACAGAGCGGTTTTGTCGGACAGCCACTTTCTTTGGGACCCCGAGCGTCAAAAGATCGTCGAGTCTCGCAATGGGAGGGAGTAACCGTCATGAAGAGGGGAGGGGGGCTGGCCTTCTGGGTGATGGTGATGGCTCGATGATGGTGGTTCGAGGACAAGCCACTACCCAGGCCGGTCACACGGTCACAAACATAGAATAAAAGGGTGTATTCAGAGTGTTCATGCAGGCCGTACGCTCCGAGTCTACTTCCACTTTAATGCGACCAGAAAATGCTATGGAACATGTACGAGAGTGATGAGAGACTAGAGGTATACATGCAGTGGGTATATTCGCATAATAATATCTGTCGTGGGAGGCTCGGCCTGCAAGCCGCCGCATCAATCGAACGGACCACATAGGCCCTGTTGTAACAATCGCATCTCCCGCCTACTAGGCCCTTGCCGCACAGCCCTCAGAACGCTCGAACACTTCCAACCCAGCTCGGTTCGCAGCCGCTGGACATCCGCCACGAGGCAGCGACCCCGGTACCGCTTCTCCCGCTCTGGGCGCATGATCAGAAAGGATTCGTTTCCTCGCCGCGCAGCACCCGAGTCGAGTTCGGAATGCATCACCGACTCTGCCGGGCGCGGAGCGAGCGGCCAGCCCTCCCACTCTGAGTTCTCGGGGTGTATCATCGCCCGTGCCTGCTCCTCCAGCGTCTCGCGAGAGCTTGCGCAGTCGAAGGCGAAGCTGGCATTACGCCCTAGGCGCATTTCGGCGTCTTGCATGATCCTGTGCATTCGTGTGGTAAGCATATGTGGTTTCAGGAGACAGGGGAGGGCGAAAGTGACAGCGCGCTTGTACTCCTTCAGGAAAGCGCCCACTGGCTACTCTCGTTTGAGCAAGCTCATCATGGAATCTCATCATGTCTCATTTAGCCATGAACCGGCTATGCAATCGTATGAGGACAGATGGGCCCCTACTAGTAGATTGCGCAGTTGCGAGTTGCACTCGCAACACGTGAGTGTTCAAGAACTCCGCGTCATGATAAGTACAGGGATGGGGTCTCCCGGCTTTCATCGATTTCATCTCCTGAGTAACCGCACCCCAGAACTAAGATGCACAGGATCCCTCAAGCGCCAAACAAGTGACGGAAGCCGTACAACTTCAATGAAGACTTACCCGGCAAGAGCAGCACATTCACTCCTAAACCGCTCCGGGTCCTCCACCGCCTCCACATCCGAAAGATCGTACCAAACATCAACGACCGGCGCACGTGTGCGTCGGAGATACGCCTCGTATTCGAGTGTACAGAAAGGTTTGAGGGAGGTGTCGATGGGTGCGCCGTAGAGATCGCGCGGCGTCGTTACTGAAGATGTGGGCGAAGGAGAACGCGATGACGATGAGGTGCTGCCGATGAGCGAGGGTGCAGAGTCGGAGTCGGAGTCGGATGGGTGGTCGGAGAGGGATAGCCAGTCCTCTTCGTTTTCATCTTCGTCGTCGCTGTCGGTCATGCATAAGAACGAGTCTCTACGGTGCGGCCGGATTAGGCCGCCTTCGCCGTCGTCGGTCATGTGCAAGAACGAGTCTCGCCGGTCCGGTCGAGTAGGGCCGTCTTCGTCTTCGTCGCCAGTCATGTATAAGAACGAATCCCTCGCATTTGGTTGAGAAGGACCAGCCTCCGCATTGGCACATATGGGCCCGTTGTCGTTGATGAGCGACTCGTTTTCAACTGCCCCGCGTGAGGTTGGCATGGTGGAGATCGAACGGGTCTCGAACTCCAGAGTCCAATATGATCCCGACGCGCTTGAGGCGCTTTCCGTCCTCCGCTCACGCAGAGCGCGTTGTTTGGTTTGTGCATGCTTGAGGCAGGCCTTGTTCACCCTCGCGAGCTCCTGCGGACTGACGCGTCGAACGTCCGTATAGTCCCGTTCAGCGACACGCACGCGAACATCGACTGCTTCGGGCTCCAGATGACGGTTGGACCACGGAAGGTCGAGAGATTCCTCGATGCGTACTCCAGATGCAGTATTGGATAGTAACAAGACCTTGTGGTTGACTGTAGGGTGCAAAGAGTCGGTCGGTTCGTCGTGATACTGAGATTGCACGTCAGTATGAAAGAGGGCAATGGGAGATCGAGCAAGGACGCACATCTTTCGAGAGCGCGACATACTTCCTAACCGGTATCAACGCAGCAAGCTCCCGTGCACGCTCATCAAGATGCGCAACAGAAGCGACCGGGTCGATCGTAAGCACCATAACTTCGCGCGTCCGTGGCGCGAGAACCGAGTTCGGGCGCTTATCACTATTCGCCGACATATGCCTCTTCCTCCGCTGCAAGAGACGGGTGGCGTGTAACGGAAAAGAGCGTTAGCAAGTCAGCACAACTGACAGCAGACAACGGCAACGGAGGGGCAGTCGGTATTGTCAACGCCTTCACCGCCCAACCTCACTATATATCCGCTATGCGCGAACCACGACCACGACACAATAAAGGGACAAAAGGACATTGGCGCCCGACGTCTGACGGTGTGAGCGCTTCTCGACAATTGACTGGCCAACGTGTTAAAGTCGAGGTGTGAGGTGCTTTGTTATGTGGTTGAAGGGCGGACGGGAGGTATGATACATGAGGGCGGAGGCGCCGGAGGTTCTTTGTTGGTCTTTGTGCGCGGGCGCCTATGGAGTCCGGATTTGGACGTCGAGGGGGCTTGAATGGAAGAACGTCAAGAGCTCGTGACGTTGATGTAAAGCTCGCACGGGAATGGCATGTTGCAATTGGTAGTGTATACCGAGACCGAATATGAAGGAGCACAGCGAAGGTAGGTACTTATAAGCGAGCGAGAGCAAATCTAGAAACCCTTCGGGTTCTCGCGTTGTGTGACCTGCAAGCGCGAGTTGTCAGTCAGCAATTCAGTATAGTGAGAAGATAGGACTGTACGCACGCGAGTAAACTTGGGCATCTTATGTATACCCTTACGGTACCCCCTATCCCATTTGGAAAATACGGTGTACTTGTCCCGTGGCTCCATCTCGTGCTCTTTCGGTAATTGAAGTGCGCGTTCCTATAAAGGCTTTAGCAAGAAACCATGCTTGCTAGTAGTGATGTATACGCACCAATGCGCCGCATTCGACTCCGCTGGCACGGACTGCCTCGATGACAGCGTCGACCTTCTTCAACCGGTCACGGACGTTGGCTTTGCGGGTACGTGACAGCCGCCAGGGCGTCTTCCTATATCATATTCAGTACCGTGTTACATTATCATATAGGATGTGACATACCATAACAAGCCCGAGCTAGCTATTGACGTCGGCCTAAACGCACCAAAAGACATGGTCAAAGTCGAGTCGCGAAATGCAGCCAGCGCGTCAAGCACGACGCGCTCGCGCCGTTCCTTTCACACGTTCGCGTCCTTGCCTCCAACCGCCACCACTATGAACGGCTCGGCATCCCCCGCGCCGCAGGTCAATGGAAACGGAGTCGCGAATGGCGACGCGAACGGACACGCAGACGGGTTCCTGTCCAAATTCTCGAGCGGACTCATCTTGCCTCCGCCAGAGGTCAAATGTGCGTCCTTCCCATCTCCCAATATATTGTAACAATACTTATATATTATACATGTACACAGCCATAATCGACCGCACAGCAACATTCGTCGCCCGCTCCGCCAACCCTCCGCAATTCGAGGACAAAATCCGCGAGAACCAGCGTTCGGACCCAAAGTTCTCGTTCCTCAACCCCGCGGACCCTTACCATGCCTACTACAGACACCGCATGGAGAAGGTCGCGCGGGGCGAGGTCGACGACGAGCCTGCGGCGCCCAAGGAGGGTGCGGAGGTCGAGCCGGAGAAGCCGGTTGTTGTTGAGGATATGGGCGTCGAGCCGCCCGCTGCGGACTTTATATTGGATGTGCATAATGTTTCGGCTTTGGATATGTGAGTTCCGTATATAGTATGTCCACATCAGACCAGTACTGATAATGTTGTAGGGATATCATGAAGACCGTGGCACTGTTCACCGCCCAAAGGGGCCGCCCCTTCCTCGCGTCACTAGCCGCCAAAGAAGGCCGCAACCCGACATTCGAGTTCCTCAAACCCACACACCCCTTATTCGGCTACTTCAACCAGCTAATCGAGCAATTCCAACGCGTCGTCCTCCCTCCCCCCTCTTCTCTTCAAAAGATCGCCCAACGCGCCCAGCCAAACTCCAAATGGGCCATCCTTGACGCCGCGCGGAGTCACGCGACATGGCAGCGCAAAAAGGCGGAGCGCGAGAAGAAAAGGGAGGAGGACATGGAGGCGGAGAGGCTGGCGTTTGCCGAGATTGACTGGCATGATTATGCGATTGTGCAGACTATCGAGTTTACGGCTGCGGACGCGAATGCGGAGTTGCCGTTGCCGATGAGCGTGCAGGAGGTCGAGAGCATGACGCAGGCGCAGAAGAGGATGGCTGCGATGGTCATGGAGCAGGCGGGCGAGGACGTCGAGGCGCATAGGGCCAGCCAGGCCGCGGCTGAGGCGGCGGCGGCGAATGCCGTGGGGAGTGTGGGTGTTGGGGACGATGAGGCGGCTATGGAGGTCAGCGACGACGAGGGTGGCGCCGACGAGAGGGCGCAGCGCGAGGAGCTCGAGCGTCAACGCGAGATTGAGCGGGCCAAGGCTATCCAGGCGAGCTCCATGGCGGGCGCGCCTATGAAGATCAGGACGGACTATGTCCCGAAGGGTAAGCTCTATTCTTATCCCTATGATAAACCTCATACTGACATGTACACTCTAGTCGGCCAGAAGAACAAGGTAGCAATGACGACCTGCACCATTTGTGGTCAGCAAGTCCCCGTCAACGAGCTCCAAGAACACATGCGCATCGAGCTCCTCGACCCCAAATGGAAATCGCAGCGCGACGCCCTCGAAGCGCGCAAAGCGCAGGCGTCCGAGCTCCAGCGCGGCGCGAACGTCGTCGAGTCGCTCAACAACCTCGCCCGCACGCGCGTCGACATATTCGGCGCCGAGGCGGACGAGGAGCGGCGGAAGCGCGAGGAGGAGGAGGAGAAGGAAAGGCGGAAGGCAAGGGAGAAGAATGTGTGGGACGGGCATACGGCGAGCAAGGAGGGCACGCTCAACAAGTACAGCACGAACGTCAATTTCGACGAGCAGATTGCTGCCATTCATCGCGCGAAGGGGCTTGGGCCGCAAGAGACGAACGCGATCGGGCCGGGGATCGGGCCTGCGGCCGTGCCACCGCCTATGGCTGCTCCGCCGCCCGTCGCGCTGCCGAACAAGCCCGTAGGCGCCAGCACGCACTCTGCGCCCGCGTACGAGGCCGCGACAGTCTCGTCCGGTCCACAGCCCGCGTCGATGTATCCGAACGCGCCTCCTCCCGTCATGCTTCCTCCCCTCCACTACCAGGGCCTCGAATCGGCCCAACCCTTCGGCTACCAGCCTCCAGTCGGCGTCGCGCCCTCTCCCCGCCCGCCACCAGCGTTCTCGCCACCCGGTACGAACTCGAACTCGACGCCCGTAGGCGCAGGCATGGTCCGCGGCGCGGACGAGATGGACCAGGACTCCATCCCGCCGGCCAAGCGCCAACGCGTCGCCAAGCTCCCGGGCGGGCAGTACTACCCCGAGTCCGACTGGATCAACCTGCACCCGCACCCCATATCCCTGCGCGTGCAGCTCCCGCCCGCCGAGCCGTCGAAGCCGGAGTGGAAGTTCGAGGGGCAGGTCGTGACGATCCCGGAGATCCCGGTCGGGTACATCGTCGGCGCGTTGAGGGACCGGATTACGCAGGCTGTTGGGTCTGCGCTCGCGCCGGGACGGCTGAGGATCGCGTATGGGGGCGTTATGTTGAGTAATGGGAATACGATTGCGAGTTATAATTTGGAGGATGAGGATTTGTTGAGCGTTAGTGTGCAGGAGAGTAAGAAGAAGAAGCATTAGGTGCTGGGCGGTGGGCGGTGGGGGATGGGGTCCTGGGATGTCGTTCATTGTCATGTACTTACTGTAGTGCATTATTACTTTTGGCGTAATATGTATGTCGTGCTATAGCTATCTGATGCTCTTCGTGCATGGTCTACCAAGAACCGCAACTCTTCGCCGCCTCGGATATGCCTCGGGCATGCATGCATCGATGCCCCGTGCTTACGTAAATACCATAGTCGCCGCGTGCGAGCCGCAAGCGCCCTGACCTCGACCACGACGAACGCGCGCGTTGTCGGTCTCGGAAATACAACTCCTCAATCTAGTGCTCGATACTCTGTAAGGGCTATGAAAGCTGCCAAGGATCGAGAAGCTGACGACGGACTCGTCTATCCCGACAAGGGCGAGGCAGCCTTGCTCCTGATCAAGAGAGCTCCCAACATCGTTACTGCCCAATTACGGGGCGCATGGAACGTCGTTAGCGCTCATGTGGCCTCCGGCGCGACGGAGAGCGAGCTTCACGATGCCCTCGATCAATTCGCTCTGGTGGTGAAAGACGTGTATTACGCGCTGGGCGTGTGCCAGCAAGATGAGGCGCACGATAAACTGAGCCTCCAAGTCTGGTCTCGCATGTACGATGCGGGGCTTCCTGACCTCATGCAGGATATCATCATGCAGAGTACTTTCTGGACGCTGCCTCGGGTGCGTGACTAGTCTACCTCGGATGCTATGTACATCGGGGCTAATGATGGATGGCCCGCAGCCAATTATCGTCAATTATCTGTTCGCTATCCACGTTGCGGTCTCGTTTTCCAGCCACTTGGAGTACGCGCCTCTTCGCCCTCGTGTGCTCGCGCGCTCAGATACTTTATGGGCCGCTATGTGGGACAACCGACATCTTATCGCGGCGTGGTTGGAGGTCAGGCCGGCACACCTCGGGAGTAATTCGAAGGAGATACCTCCCGTTCAGATGCTCTTGCTTTATCACGCTCTATACCAAGCAGAGTACGTCGTGGGATAACCTTTGTCTGCGTACGGAAACTGATTTGAAGCACTTGCAGAAAGATACCTGTCACCATCACCTCCCGCATGCCTCACTTCGCACTGTACGCTTGGGCGACCGCGGAGTGTCAGAGCGAGAGGTTCAGCGCAGTTTACGCCTGCGACAACGGGCCCAACCATCCTGCTACAGAAGCGGAAAGGTTTCTTCGCGAAGTCGTTGTAGGCGGAGTCGGCATAGAGGCGTGTATGGCGCGGTTGGAGGAGGTGTTACGCGGAGAAGAGCCCTGGCAATGGTCTAGATTGGAAGACGTCAAAGAGTGTGTCCGGATTTTCAGCGTCCTCATGCGGCCGAGCACACCGGAATCTCTAGCCCTCCTTGGTTCTGCAGGACAACATTGCATACCGCATCTCTTGACGGGCATCGCCAGGAAGTATGCTCTTCAAGACGGACTACGGGAGTGCCCGATCTTCTACCATTCAACGTTCCTCATGATGGAGTGAGTGCGGTCGCTCTCAACAGCTCGGATGGACTTCCTGGACGTCATGCTCATGATACTCTACGCTCAGCCGGTTTACCCTGTACGATCTTGCCACAAAGCGATTCGCCGCCGAGAGTCGGCCGCTGCTCATCTCAGGCGAGGACATAATAGCCATGATGGCCTGCGCCATCGACCTCATGGCAGCCCACGGAAGCGACCCCGATTTGGACAAAGATGCAGAAACGAGTGCGTCTATACCCTCGATTCGATTCCTTAAGTCTGATATGCCATACAGCAATCCCTCTGATTGAGAGCTTCATTACCGTGAAAGTGGAACAAGAACACAAGTGGGCCGAGTCGGTCCAAAACGCCCCTCTTGGTTCCCTCTCGAAACAAGACACCGAGATTATTGCTGGCTACCGGCGGGGCATGGAGAAGCATTGGTGGCCGAGCCTGCGCGCTATCAGTTTGGCCAAGCGTCGTTGCAAAACCGTTCCCGAGGATTTGGTCCGACTAGGCACATTGTGGACCGGGTTCGGCGCACTGTTGGGACGGGATGCTCGACGCGAACTGGAACGTGACAATAAGAACAGAGCGAGTCGCTGTACGCGATTAGAGTGCGAGTTCAACCGGAAGCCAGGGGATACGGAGAAGCCCTTCATGAGCTGTAAAGGTTGCCGCGTGGCCTACTGCTCTCGCGAGTGCCAAGTCAAGTGAGTACACACACACTCAAAACTCAATAGACTCCAGGTGTGCTGAACGGGTTATCTGACCAGGGATTGGAGGAAGGGCCACAAGAACTCGTGTAAGCGGCTGAAAGATGGAGAAGTGAACTGATGTTATTCAACACGGTTGTACTTCTTTTGCTCTATTTCATACCTGGTTGGCAAGCGATCATGTCTGCACCAAATCCATGAACATGGCCGTCCTTTACCAACACATTACTTGTCCCTCTGCTTCGTACCCCTATTGAAAGTGACCTCTGCCTTTACCATCCCATCAAACTCAGCAACGGCTGGTGGAAGTGAGTGCAGTATTATGAGCGACGATGGGTAGCAGAGGCGCGCGCTCGACGCTTGAACGTCGGCAATCACCGTGGCCTTCTCAGACGTGCCGGCAGCCGAGCGTGTACGCAGCTGCCGTCGACCTTGTGTCTTCCACCAAGGATGCATTTTGACCGTCACCGTCAGCGCCCAGTTTTGAGCTCGCACGTACGCTAGCGACGAAGCCTCGCCACGCAGCCGACACTACATGGATCTTGTGTGCGGCCAAACTCTCGAAGTTGCGGCCGACGCCGGAGATGCTGTCGTTCTGAGATCAGCGCCACCCGGTCTCTTAAGCTTACCCCCAGAACTCCTCGCTCGGATAGAGGCTCCCTTGGACAAGGAATCCATCGTCTCGTACATCAGCACTTGCAGACGTCTGCGTGGGGCAGGCACTCGGACTCTACTATGGCAGCATCCAGTGATCCTGACCACAGCCGCAGGCCTGCGGTCGTTCTGCCGCTTCATGCATGCCGACCTATTGGATCGGAAACGGTTCCTTCGCTCTTTCACATTGGACACGCCCTTCCCTTCGCCAGAGCAAGTCATTGCCTTACGCCGAAGACTTGCCGAGATCCTAGTAAACGCGCCCGGCCTGGCTTACCTCGAATTTGGGAGGTGTCTAGCTGACATCCTCGAGCACTCTCCCGCGCTGTTCAGTGCCATTCATTCCCTCCGCTCCCTTACCTCATTGAAGATAGGAGCAGAAACAGGGACATGGTCTTATACCATACTTCGCGTTTACAACGCACCTTTGACAGCCCTCGACGTGATGGGCGATTCTGTCATAGATGCCCCCAACGTATTCGCTCGCTATGCTTCCACGTTGCAGTCTCTTACCCTAGGCGGTCCCTCTCTTAGAGAAATGTTAGGTCCGACCACGTATATGAATGTCACGTCCTTCACTTGGTACGGGCGACCGCTTGAGCAAGCGTGGGGCATATCGACCATGATCAGTTCATTTCCGAACCTGGAAAAACTATCGGCATGGATGGGACCGGCCTCTACCCCGTCTCCCCCGTTTATTCTTCCAATGTACGAGATAGTACGCTCTCGTAATGCGACGGCGCAATCTCAACGCCGATGGCCACGCCTTCGCTCCCTCAGTGGTGACTCTAAGGCGCTATTCACATTAATAGCCGCGGACTGTGAGGTGGACACAATGTCAATCTTCGCCAATCTGGAGCCATGGGACTCTACCATGCTAGTGTGCAAAATCGTTCGGGATCTTCGTCATCCATTGCACACCCTTCACCTTCAGTTCTGCTCTGCCTGGCCTCATGGTTCTGCGGAGCGCCTCAGTGCCTCCCTCTTGGGCGAATTGGTGCGAAGAGACGTGCCTCTCGAGGTTGATACCCTGGTTGTTGAGTTGATCGTACCGAGTGGAGCGTCTTGGAGGAAGATCATGAACATACTGGTCAGTTTCCGTTGTCAGTGTCGTGCATACGATGCGACTTCTAACAAGTGTCTTAGGCGGGTTGGCCAATCGTGATGGGCAGAATTGCACCTCGCTACATCTTGCTTCACGTGCATGTCGAACCCAGTGAACCGAGGTGGAACTGGCTCCCCCAATCAACGGCAGCCGAGGAGTTCGTACAGGACGAGCATATCTTCAGGATGGGTGAAACGATAGGAGCCTCTGCACGCACTACGGAGGCGATATACATTAGGACGTCCTGGAACGGAGGGAAAAAGACAACGTGGTGGGAGAACGTATCGGGACCTCGGCTTGAAGTCAGATTCATCCAACTCACGGAAGCCGCGTTTGGAGATGAGGCGGAGCAGACTGTCGATGGGATATTGTCTAGTCTGCTTCAATAGAGAAGATAGTGTCGATAGTGCAAACCCCTATTCCAAACCAGTATACCACTTGTATCGCGTACATGGACTGGATGTCAGAATAACACAACTGTGATCTTTCCTGCTCTTATACCGCGCAGCACTTCGGGAGCTCCCAGTACCGCCTTGAACACCTCATCGCGGGTTTGCGGTATCTCCAAAACGTCAAAGTTCTTGGCGTCCTTGTGAGAGATGTCGAGAACAATGTGCGTAAGCGCCGATATACTCAACGCGTCTACAATGATCAATCAGCCGCATGCTCCGAACATGATTCGATATCATTGAGGCGACGTACCGGTATCATTCAGCAGTTTGCCTAATCTTGCTGGCGTACCGACGGCAGACCCAACCTTGGTCTTCTTCAGGAAGGCGACCTGCTGTTCGAGCTTGAAATGTTTTGCGAACAGCTTCGCGACATCACCGCCCTTCTCTCCGCGGAGCTTCTTGCTCCGAAGAGCGCGAGTGGCGTCAGCACCTCGCATGGCCGCTGATACGACGAACAACATCGTTGGTGCGCCAGGTGATCTAGTTCTTTGCGACAATCGGGTGTGTAGCGAGGGAACAGCTGATAGTTCGGGTCAGGCTGAGCGCATTTGAAAGGCGCATGGGTGTAGCTTACCTTGCATAATGAACTCCTCCAAGTCCTCCAAGCTCCTCGATCCCTTCCATGAGGTCGTGTCCGCTATCGAACTCTCTGCCTAGCAGTCAATCTCAGAGAGCTTCCCAGAACAAACGGCGGTGAGTACTTGCCTGGTATTGAACGGTCTTGCAGCTCTAGAGCTGTCGATTTTGGGAAGACTTTCGCCTGCATGTTGGCGAAGTACTCGGCTATTGCCGCAGGAGATTGTGCCGCAATGGGTAGTGATGTTGCCGATTCATCTTCAAGCTTTCTCCTCTGGACAGACGTAAATGAGAAGCCTAACAAAGGAATACGCTTGCGAATGTACCTTGACCTTCTTCTCCCTGAGCTTCTCCTTCCTTTTTCGCTTCTTCTCCAGCTGCTTCTCGTCCTTGGCCTTCGAAGTAACCGCCGCCTCACCCTCGTCTGCGCTCAGTAGGTGCCCGACATCCTCGCCGTCGCCCAAGCCCGAGTCTGCTTCTTCATCCGAGTACGCGACGATCTCGTCTAGAACAAAGTCGTCTTCGAGGTCATCCCCACGGTGGGTAGCCATGACAGGCAAGATGGAGGCAAAAGTAAAGACGCGGCGAAGTCAAGAAAGTCGAGTTTGAGAATGATGGAATGTTCGGCGGAGATTCGGTCCGATCAAGACATCCGGATAAATGGTCCGGAATTTGGACGGCGCGGTGTTGGCGTGCTAGCGGCGAGGAACGTCGTTACATGGACTCGACTCTAACCGCGACGACCACGACGAACACGCTCGCCCGGCTCAAGGCTGGGCTCTTGGCCACCCGGGACACCCCGTCCTACGTCTTTCTCTTCACGTCTGCCGTTCTATTCGTCCTCTTGTGTGTTCGATGGTACAAGTCCTTTCACGCTACACTTCGCCGCCACACAAACAATACTTCATATCCAAAGTCGACCTCTCCCACCACCCTCCTTTCTAAGATGGTCGCAGTTGCTACGCAAACTTTCCATGCCACGTTTCGTCCCCCGTCCGCTACACCCACAACGAAGCAACGAGCGGTTACCCCGGTCATTATCACACCTGAACGCGAGAAGGCTATCATTCAGGCAGCAGAGGCTGCGCTGAGCCCAACCTGCCGCCAAACCTTCGACGCCTTTCTTGTCTTAGACGTAGAGGCGACCTGCTATCAAGGCTCTGGTTTTGACTTCCCGTCCGAGATCATTGTGCGTGGCGTCCTTTGTCGCGTGACCCCTATTCACACGAAAAGATAGGAATGGCCGGTTGTACTGCTCAAGTGGTCCGATAGGGACCGCAAGGGCTTTGCTAGCAAGCTTGAGATTGCGGGACAATTCAGGAGCTTCGTTAAGCCTACCTGGAGGCCTACACTCAGTGGGTTCTGCACACAGCTCACCGGCATCACCCAGGTAAGCGCGTATTTGCCTCACCTTCTACTTGCGGTATCATGCATGTCTAAATACGTGTCTTCTTGGCGTTGCAGGCTCAAGTGGACCACGCACCCACCTTCCCTCGTGTTCTTTCCCAGTTCTCGACATTCCTTGCTCAGCATGGTCTTATCAAACCGAAGACAGGCGAACGCCTTGTTCGGTTCTGCTGGTGCACAGACGGACCTTTCGACATCCGTGACTTTGTTGTGAAACAGTGTTTTATTTCTAATGTACGCATCCACCTCTCATTGCGTCGCGTCATACGCCTTCTCACTCACGCCACCAGATTCGGATGCCTTACTGGTTGCAAGGCGATGTAATGGATGTCCGTCAAGTAGTCTCCGACTGGTCAAACCCCACACCGCGCGGCCCAGTGGGTGCACTTACTCTTTGAGGCTACCCTCTCTCATCGTTGCCTGTAGCACCAGCGCTTCTTACGCCGCCAGTCCCCCAATATCACAATGCAGCTTCGTTTGTTGGAGCTTGCCGAGTTCCAAGGCAGGCAACATTCCGGCATAGACGTAAGAAACCATATGCTGCTCACGAGTATGCCTCGCTGATTCCATATGCAGGACACGCGTAACATTGCCCGTATCGTCATTGAGCTTGCTCGACGGGGTGTACGTCTGCAGCCTAACACCGCCATCCGTCCGGACCGTCGCTGGTACTGGATGGGGCGCTACGGCGAGATCATTGAGGACTACTTCCCTCCCGCGCCTACGGTGGTTACGCCTGCCGTGGTGGCGCCAACTCCCGTAGGACCCGCAATGGCAGTTGCTGCCTCGTGAACCACCGCTATCACCCTTCTCCCGTCTCTTCGCTGCACCTCCGCAGCACATACACGTTACCTGCCTTGTGACGTGCATCGCATCTTGACTCCCCGTTCGCTGTCCGTATCTTTTCTGCTGTGCTCCCTGTTCTGTGCATCTTGTTACGTTCTGTGTAGATTACTCACGACCTGGTCGGCTTCGTATGCGACACCCCTTCTCCATTCACCACATATTTCTCCGATTTGCGGGGGCATGACCCGTTACGGCGGCCGTAGACCGCGTCGAGGGCTTGTCGCGATCCTTTGCGGGGAAGGTTTTCATCCGAGCTAGGTACTGCTTGTGGTTAAATCACCCATTGAACCTACCCCGCTCCCACTGCCCGCAGTGGCAATCAAGGATAATATGCAATGCATGAGGCAAAGAGGGAGAAAGGTTGCATGCGCTTGGCAAAGCTTGTCTGCTAGACGCCGGAGGGTGCCTTGCTATTCCGAGATCGCACTGACACGCACAGGAAAGCTCTCATAGCAATCTCATAGCCACCCCTCATCTTACCTATCACATCTTGTGCAAGCCATCCTGCGAAGAGGATCCACTCCCATGATACCGTGTCGTTCCGTGGACAAATTAGGCTAATTCAATCTATGAGATCAACATGCATGAGAATCATTATCCTTGTCGCGTATCCTACTGATTACACGGCCAACGAGGATGGGAGCGCAAAAGAAACAGCGAGCACACGCGACGTGGTTGGTGGCGCACTCAGTACTTCCACCAGCCAACAGTCGCGGAGGATTGGGGAGAGAGATGAGAAGACAGCGTGTTAGTGGATACAGCGAGAAGAGCGAGATCTAGTATGTGCGGCGAATGAGTAAGAGGGCGTAGGTGTGAACGTTAGCGTATTATCATGACCCTGGCCCCTTACTACAACCGTTGTCAGTGCTCGGCACACTCGGCAAGGATCGGAGAGGATAGACGTACGAAGTCCCACAAAGTCCCGAAAGCGGGGATCCCAGCCTCCTTGCAGCCCTGCATGATCTCCGAGTTTCCAATGTAATTGGACGTGATGAAGACGACTGTGGCAGAGATGTGAGGACGGGCATCGCGCCGAACCTGTAACTACGTACCTTCAGCGTTCCACGACTTGTACACCTCCTTGAGAATCTTCATCGTGTCAGGACGACCGCCGCGCGCTTTCGAGTCCCAAAGGATGTAGCGCTCGGGCTCAAGGTGGCGTTTGATCAAACCGCTGATGGTCGGGCCGAACGTCTTCTCCTGGTCGGAGCCTGCGGGATGGAGTGTGAGCATCGCCCGATAGTCAGAAGAACGCGCTGTGAGCGTACCGATCCAAATAAGGAACCTGTAGTTGGGAAGGGAAGCGGTAGATTAGCAGCCGAATCCCTGTGAGAGCATGCTCACGACGTACCAATTCGGTGATTGCAAGCAGGTGGAGAGCGCCGCGCCGAGGCCGGTACCAGTGCATATACGAATACCGCGCTTGTACAGTGTGGATGTGTTCGACACACCGGCAAACTGCAAAATTGACGCGGTGGTGAGAGTCTGTTCCGGATTGGGACATTCACAGCCACGCACCTTCAGCTCGCGCGTCCAGATAGTGCGAGGCGGATCGTTCACAAGGCTACGCGTGAAATCGCCTGTGGCACATTACATGCGACGCATACGTGATAGGACGAATGTGCCTACCTTGTACACCACAGATGAGGTAGTGATACTTGGCGTGGGTGCCCTCCCTGCGACGAATGAGCATTCGAGGCAGACGCTTGAACGATGAGAACACTCACGAAATGATGCCGAAGGCGTGGTATTCCATGATCGATGAGCGACTAATGCGGGCAAGCAGTCCCTGCTGCATGCCACGCTCGAAGCGGAGGATGGCAACCTTCGGCGACGGCAGCTCGATGTCGACTGGAACCTCGCGCACGAAACACCACGGCAACAAGACAAGGATCGTCATACTCATGATGAACCAGAAGTCCTGCTGCTTGAAGACATGGCGAGCGCTGAGGTCCCAGGTCTCAGTTTGAACGTTGTAGATATCGCCGAGAATGACGAAGGCCCAAGTGAAGACGATTCCCATCCAGCCGGCGAACCGATGGTGACGCTCGAAGATGCTGAAGATGCTGCTTCAGCAAGCTATCGCCAACAGCGCTGTATCTGACACCTACTTGTGATGTGTGTTGCGGACCCATGGGAAAGCACTCAGAGCGCTGATGATCACGACGATATTCGTAGCGGTACCGGCGACAAGGATGGCCTTGTGAGTGACGTTCGTGGCCTTGAAGTTCTGGACAACTTTGAATACGAGCCAGGCAACTCCAGAAAGGGCGCAGCCGCTGTGAATGCCACCGAGATGCTACCGAACGGATCGATGAGTCTTAGCAAAGCGCCGAAGAGACTGCATAACTAACCTGAAGGACCGACGTGCAGCCGAGGCGCCACCATAGCGGTGTCCACTTTGCAAAGCTCTTGTTGATGAACAGATATAGAAGGCGACCGAAGACCTCGTTCCGCATGAGGATAGCGAAGTTCAAGTTACCGAGGATCATAGCACCATCGTACCGAACCGCATACGGGAAATGTCCGGAGGCGGCGAGGCCGATAGCGATCATGTTGAAACTGAAGGCGATAGTGAAAAGCTTCCTGTATGCGTTCAAACGACGTCAGCGAGTGAACGGGCCGATGTTAAGCCTTCGCCTTCGGAATGACGCTACTGACCTGTATGTGTTGAACCAGAGTTGCCAGAGGATCCATTTCGAGACCTTCTTCTTTGGCTTCGGAGCGGGCTTTGCGGCAGGCTTGGACAGTTGGGTGACGGTGACAGACTCCTTCTCCTTCAACAACTTCTTCTCCTCGCTAGCATCGAGATGGACGGTGGTGGCTTTCGGCGGCGCGGGAATCACCTCGAGAGTACCGCGCTCCGCGGCATCGTAGGCCGGTACGGGCGACGCTGGTGTGATCTGGTTGGACATAGCGAACAGCACAAGAAGAGGATCGACGACACGAGACGCGCAAGTCGGAAGCGATCAGCTCAAGGCGTCGTACGGGCAGGAGAGTTGTGCGAGGGAAACCTGGAGAGCGAGTTCGCTCATTTATAAGGAAGCGCTACTTAAACGTCAGTGCGGGGGAAACAGGAAAACAGGGTGAATGAATGAAGCTCTCAGAAACGCGCAACCGAGCCCAGGGCAGGGTAACTGTGCGGCAGCTGCACACATGGTCAGGTAGTACTCCGAGGCACCACCGAGAAGTGTTGAGAGCGGCCAGCGCTAGTACCCACAGTGCGGCTCATTCAGTAGCCAATCACACACCCTACGTACGCAGCGTCCAGTACAGGCTGGACAAGCCTTTCCCACGGGTAAGGCCATTGATTGATGGCTTCAATTGTGCGTTCGTCGTACAGTGTTCGCCCGCCCGGGATGCCCATGTCGCTGAAGGAATGCCGATGGCTTTCAACGCCACACTTGAATCGAGCGCGACTCGTATGCGGTCCAAGATATATCCGTTAAAAATGCGCCATAAGCTTACCACAAGTGTGGAAGCGCCATAACGGGCGGAATGGTAACAGCGTGTGGAGCTGTCCCGAGAAGGCAGCTCACGACCAACCAGGGCTGAGCCCTGCGAGTACAGGCTCATCCGGACCGCTTTCAAAAACTGTGTTTCATCGGCATAGCCGTCCGGCGAGAGTGCCACACACTGCCCATCATACATGATACCCATGTGTAAAGTACGAGCCTATGAGCTGCGCGTAAGAGGATGACGACAAGTGGCAGATTGGCGCAACTGACCATATTGAATATGTCGTCCCTTTGGGTACCACAGTACTGCGGTCCCGGTCTAGCCGACTGTTCGCGCTCAACTGTCATCAGTAATCGACGTCCCGCTCCATTGAAGACGAACAATGCTCCTCACCTTTCTCAAGCCATCCCGAGATGCCTTGAACGCGGGCGCCATACCCACAAAGAGCGGCGCCGAGTCGGAAAGCGCGTGAACAGTATACACGGCCTCGAAAAATGTTGCCTAAACAGGTGCGTAGGTCGCGAACCGACGGTGCGGTAAGTGTTAAGCAAACATGGAGGGCAAATGACCGTACGTACCCCAAACGAGGCTTCGGATATCGCAAGTTTGACAATCGCCGCCACACAGTGACTTGCCGCCGGCAAGATTGTTTGTCCCCCCGCAGCAGAGTCAATATTACTCTTGCGCACACTTTCTCGTGCTGATACCTGCGAAGATGTATCAGCAGACTTCCTGCTATGCACAAGCCAACGGTATGCACATTACCTGCCTGTTGCGTGGACCGCGTCGTCAGACATACGCATACGTGAGGACCGCCTTGCCAGAGATGCCGAGAATAGTGTGTCAGGCAGACAGGCACACATGTCAAGAAGACGGATGTGAGTGGCTGAGTACATGCGGTGATGATAGGACAACGACGTAGGGAATACAGGGGAGAGAGACTCAAAACAAGGCTACAGAACCAACCAACGTAACGATCGAAGATAAGAATGCGAGTTTCCAATGGCGTGAGCAAACGTGTGAAATCGGTCAGGGCCGCCCAGTTACGTGCTTTCGGCAGTGTCCAGCAGATACTGAAGGTTCTGCGAGACCTCTTCCTTGAACGCGACGATCTCGCTGGCGCTTTGGAGCATCTCGCGCATGAGCTCGACTTTAGCCTTCTCAAGCTTGTCAACTTGCTCGCGGAATCTGGATACCGGTCAAAATGTGAGCAAGAGCTGTTCCAACAGTGCGAAAGGCGGAACACGCCAACGCACGCGATCTCCACAGCCTGTAGGTGTTGACTAGCTCCTAGCTTGTGCATGTTGCCTTGATTGCTGGCTCGAGCGATCTCGCCCTCGAGACGTGTAATCTCGTCGCTACTAGACAGCATGACCCGCTGTATCTCCTGCAAGCACGTACCCACAGTCAGCGCGCCGATTCGCTTTTGGGACACGGGCATGGGAACGTACATCTCGGAGCTCGTTCGTCTGCTCTTCACGCGCGGAGATGTCCTTCGAGAGGCTGAGAATTCTGATCTCCAGTTGTTCGCACGCCGCCACGACCTGGTCAATTTCGTGGTCGGTTTGCATGCGCTCGTTCTCAACGGCACTGCTTTCGACCCTCTTCGCCTGCGAGATAGCCGCGAGCGTCGGCCTGATCTTTCCGCGGATGTTCAAGCCACGTAAGAGATCCTGAGGGTTTGAGGCGGCTGGATTGAGCCGGAGACTGATGTCCATATCCTCATACGGCGGCGGTAGCGTCGGCAGGAACCCAAGCCCGGCGAGTTCGCGGTTGTACTTGTCCATGATGTCTTCGGTGGTAGCGGTACGGTTGGCGACAGTGATCTCGAGCGTGGAAAGCGTTTTCCGCGCGTCACCGATCTTGTTCTTGAGGTCGCCCAGGTTACGTTCTAACGTCTCGTACTCGGTGTTCATGCGCACGACTTCCTCGACGGAGAGGTTCTGCGTCTTCACGACGCGGTTGACTTCCTCTTCTTGTTCGCGAAGCTTCTGCAGTTCAGCGCCTAGAGCAATAGTGAACACCCCGAACACGGCGATCAATCTGAAACGCACGTATAGCCTCGTTTCCCGCTTTCAGCTTCGCAATAGAGTCAACCAGGGCGATCTTGCGTTCCTCCCAGCGCTTCATAACCTCATTACCCTTCGCCTCATCACGTTTCAGGGCAACATTCTCAGCCTTAATCTTCTCGATTGGCGCCTGCAAACAAGGTAATTAGGAGAGCATGAAGTTGCGGTTCGGAGCTTCACTTGCCGGAGAGTTCTTGAGCTCTTTCAGCTTGGACTTGGACGCCTTGTATTCCGCCTTAAGCTCCAGAATCTCGTCCTTGATGCGCCTGTCGTTAAGCTCTGCATGGTTCATGTTACAAGGCAATTCGAAGGCAGGACTGTGCGTTTACTGACCGTAACGCGCCTCGAGAGCCTGCTTCTGGGATTCGAAACTGTCCGATCCGGCGAGGAAAACATCGTAGGCGTCTATCATGAAGTCCATGGCAAGTGCACGATGATGGTGAGGGTCGCTGAACTCTTCAGGGACATCTTTCGAGTCCTGTAGAGTCGGATGATGGCTCTCCATGTAGTTCAACTTAACCTATGATATGCGTGAGAATCGACTGGCGAGCAGGAAGACGATCGGCGCTACCTTACCCATCTCGACGAGCCAGTGAAGAACGCCAAGTAGAGATGGCCAGGCATGCATACTCGCAGGCGTGACGAGCCATTTAACGTCCAGTTGATTGACGTGTGGGTATACCATCGCCTTCAATGCCGGAATGAAGTCCTCTTCGAGCTTTGCATTTGCATCGAACGGATAGTTCGGGTCAAGGAGTAGGATGAGATGCTGAAATACAGTCTTGAAGTCCTTGGCTGTGATATTGGCAAGCGTCTGGGCAGTACATGGGCAACCTGTCTCGTTCAACCACGCTGCGGTCTCCTTGCGCATCTCAAGCTGATACGTTCGGTCACGCAAAGGTCGGGTATCACGTGTGGTGAGAGCTGCAGGTGCCGGCGTCGCGCCTCCTTGCCACATCGAACCGCGTCGATTACTATTCTCACGTTGAGGTGCTGATCTAAGGCATGAATATATTTCAGACGCACCCTGCTGGTGTCCGACCTACTCCAGCCTTTGAAGTACTCATGAGCAGAGGATTCATATTATGCGATTTGTACATTGCTCCCCCTTGTTGTACAGAGCCTGGGATTTGTGGCGGGAGCATCGCGTTTCGTAGGGCAGGGCCGGCCAAAGACATTCGTTTACTATTCTGCGGCTTTGCTAATGGAGTAGGCATGGGCATAGGAATAGCAGAGCGAGCGCTACCGGGAGGCTCCGGAGGCCGCATCGTGGACTGTCTTCGTGATTGGGAGAACGCCATGAGGGGCGAAGGCAAGTGGCGTGTTCAACCGCGAGCGCGTCAGGACACGTGAGGGCGTTCAACGACGCGGCTCCGACGGCGCGTGAATCGAGTCTTTTGCGAGTCTTTCCTTGTCCACCATCACCCGCAACCGAACTGTCTATAGTGACTAACAGTGACTTCAGCACACGATATATAAAGAGCGCGTCTCACAGCCGAAGGTTGTCAGTCTATCCCCACCACCCTCTTTCTCCTACCATCATGTCGACCAAACGCGATCTCTTCGGCGGCGCCATCACGGCAACTCTACCAAGTTCCCTCATCGACGCATCGTATGTAGCCGTAGTATACGATATGTCTACATAGTGTGAAATGAATATACTGTCAGCGATTTACGCCAAGTGCCTGATACTCAGGAAGTTTTCCTCTCACCTACTTCCGATGTCAGCATCATTCTTGAGATCCTCGAAAGCGTCCCGCCAACCGATCTCGTCGACGCAGCCAAGTACGTCGCCCTCATGTCAGGCTCCCACGAACGGCATTCTCATCTGAGCCTCCATGTAGATTCCACTTTGACTCGCTTGCGCACGACAATGAGGCAACAGCGCCGACCGTGCTGGACGTGACTACGATACCGAACGATCGCGGTGACGGCACGCCTTCACCGACCGTACTCAATGGGACCCAGCAAGTGCGCAAGTTCAACCGCTCGAACGCGGATGACGTGCGCATCTATATGGCAGTGTACCGTGTACCAGGGAAGGGTGTCGACGTGGTACTCACGATGAATGTGCCGTTCGTCGACGAAACGCAGTTGGCAGAGGCCAAGAGCGTCTTCAACGTCGCGGCTCGTTCACTGGCCATTATCGACTATTCCCTCTTTGCATGAGATCCATGCATCATGTTCCGAACGAAATATGTAATTGGTGCGACTCTACTCCAAGATGAAAGGCGAATGAACACTGAATCAGTCCCCCAGATATATCGAGCTTGTCGAAGGCATTCCTATACGTATGCCTTCAGCAGCGCAGACGATGTCATCACATACCGATCACGTCATATGTCATATCTGACTCGCGCTTCTTACAATGTGCGAACCACTCTACGTACCCTGACCCGATCCCGTCCGATTGTCAAGAACTACAAGTCGTATTTGTTTGTTCACAATCCGCGGATCGGTCTAGATGATCGCCCCCTTATCTTCACGGCATGCAATATCGGCCTGGTTGATGGGGTTTTCGTTCGTATAAATCTATGAGCAACGGATCGAGTCTCTGCAGCTTCCTCCCACACCACCATCTCGACGTCCCCGACATGGCTGCTTCGGCACCCGCTGTGCCTCGCCCAACGCCAATCTTACGTCTAGCATATGAGCTCCATGTCGACATCATCAAACTTATTTGCGACTCGGACGCGGGGCCGTACTATCTTGACACACCACCTCGCTCTGTCAAGAATCTGAGAAGCATAGCGCACACTTGCCAACGTTTTCGGCGGATTGTCAAAGGCGACCCCAAGCTTGGACAGATATTCACACGTCCGCGACTCATGCGCGATCTACCTCTACTTTTCGACTCTTCTTGGGTCGTCGCCGCCGCTGGCAAGGGCACCTCGCCTCTCATTATCCGCGCAGAGATTCCCAAGCCAGATACTCGCGCCGAACGCGCGTTCACACGGGCGATATCGTCGATCTCGCGCGCCAACACCATTATCCTCCGTGGACACGAGAGAGCCGATGATAGCTCTGACTCTTATACGCGATGTGATATATTCTCGGTGACTGGATCGCTACCTGCGAAGTTGGAGATATTGCGTCTCTCCGCTATGAATGTAGATGCAGTACAGTCTGCAGAACGCTCATCGAACCCGGGGAGCCTCAAGATTCTCCAATTGCGCGACTGCGTGCTCTCGAGAGGCAACCCATCACTCCCGGCGGGCATGGCGCTCACTTCATTTGTTCTTGAACATGTCAAATTTGAGGGTGGTTTCTCCCCTGACACTCTCATACGAGTTCTGCGCTCATGCGGGATGACCTTGCGCGAATTGATCATCAGCGACGAGCACCTATCTGATACTAGCCATATACCTGACGGTCTGCATGAACGCCTCAACATCAGGCATGATCTGCATCTATCGCAGAAGGCTAACCTTCCCGCCTTGAGGAAGCTCTCTCTGCGCGCCCACACGTACGCTCTGGGGTTATTTATTAATCGTCTGCATATGCCCAACCTATTCGTGGCACATGTTACCGCCATTCATGGTTACACCCGCTTTGATTGCGACTATCTTCGTGATGACGTATCGAAACCAATCATCGACTACCTTCTTGGACCGCGGTGCTCCTTCAAATCCGTCTTGATTGATCGCACACACCCATCTTTGCTAGAGTTCGCCCGTATTATCGCAAAGGCAGACGGCAAGAGGCCCCATCCGGGTCCTGTGCTGGAATTGTCTCTGTTGAACATTGAGCACTCCCAGCACGCGACGCAGATGAGTTGGCCGCCCCGCGTTCGTGACCTTCCTTTCATGCTCCACGACCGTATCCGCGAGGTATACACAGTATATCTCGCTGAGGATGTCAGAGCGGGTAGTGAAACCGATGCAAGCTATTGCCTTCTTGCACACGTCTTTCCCGAGGTCGCTTCTGCGACATTGCTTGGTCCGGGTGCGGCATCTACATTGCACGCGCTTGAGTCAGGCCCTGCAGACTGGATTTCGCCAACACTGGTTGAGATCATCATCTCAACGCTCGATGTGTCGGACGAAGCAGAGTTCATGGATGGCATAACAGAGAAGCATCTAGAGGCCATACGGCACAAGTATGACATGTTCATTCACTACGATTCAACTGTGGCAAAGCGCTACGGGTGTAAGGAGGGTGGTTATGACGAGATGGCGAATGAGCGGTGGGGCTTATTATGGGACGTACGGGATGGATGGGAAGAGTTCAAGCATTCGTATGCGGCGATGGAAGTGGACTGCGGCTTCGAGCCTAAAGATCCTGAAAGCAACTATCTAGGGTCCACCTGTCGCTATGAATGGTCGCAGAGGGAGCTACTGAGTTGAAGATGGGGTTGGTCGGTACACGTAGCGGGTGATTCAAGTCGGTAGTGGGTTGAAGGAGGCGTCGTTGTCGAGGACGATCCCGTGGGCTCGGCGAGTTGGGAATAGATCGATGTATACTGTTGAACCTGCATTTAGTTAGTGATGCATACGCTTGCTCAGCCTTCGGCACTGTAGCCATCGATTTAGCTCAAATTGGTACGAGATCATGACGGTGCGATCGCAAGTGGTGAATTCGAACTCCAGAAGCCGGGCCGCGTGGGCCGCGCATGTCCGACCTGTCCGACGCGGTACAGTGACTTAGTCCGAACCGTCACCATTTGCCATTGTTGACGATAGTCGGCACCTGCTGCATTCATCCAGTGTCCACAAACCTCCAGGCTTCTATGGCAGCAGCTACTCGGGATGCCTCTCCCATCTCGAGACTGACCGACGATGATCTGAGTATCATATTCCTGTACTTTCCTGTACCGGTGCTACCCTCAGAGACAATGTCCGGCGTCCAGGATCTCGCCCCATACGAGCAAAACTCAGACAAAGACGACAAGACGTGGTTGCACATCTCCCATGTATGCCGTCGGTGGCGGTCTGTCTCCTTATCCTGCCTCTTAATCTGGTCGAACATCAATATGGACCCATCACGATACGACCTGGCCGTGGCGTCGTTGGAAAGAGCTAAGGGTGCACCGCTCACAACTATCATCGACTGGACGATGAAGCGCTCTGGACAGTTGGAGGTCCTGAGGGATCTGACGTCCAAGGCGCTCTGGGAACTCTCCCACACCCGACATCTGATCTTCCGGGGCAAGATACTGGAGTCCGCCCCCCAACGGGTCAAGACCCCCAACGGGTCAAAGATTCATTAGGCCCGCTCAAGTAGTATTTAAATAGTGAAAAAATCGAATTCGAGAATAACTGAGTACATGTCATCTGGCTTGGAAGTCTGGTACGATTCTGACGGATGGTTCCCGTAGTACGGGCCTATCTTGATGCGGAATTCGAGAAAGTGTTTCGAACCTGGAGCCGCGTCGTGCTCCTCCATTGCGACTTCGCTCGTCGCGAGCTCCATTCGACGCTATACAGCCCAGAAAACGACACAGATCATGCTGAGTACGTAGTCTACCATAGAAATGAATCTTGTGGGAATCCAACCGTTGGTGCGGCCTCTAGCACGTCAGCACCGAGTGCCGTGTGAACCTGGTCCTTGATTACTTACACCCATGCTGTCTAGCCCTTTGAAACCTCACCGACGCGTTTCATCCTCCCAGAATATTTCCAGCGCTCGGGACGAAGGTATGACGCTGTGCTGTCTAACTGTCCGATTTATTGCCCTCCTGATGGTGCGGATTGATGCGCATATAAGGAGGCGCGCGTTTCGGCGACACCCTCATCCGAAACTGTGTCCAACGTCCACCTCATCGTGAAAATATTCCGGTAAAGTACGGATCATTTTTTTCATACCATTATCTATGGCCTCAAGCTATTTTAGTGTCTACATCCGGCCAGAACGATTCGCACGAGGTGCCCAAAGATGGCTCTGTTCCTGTCATGCCATCGGGCGGAAATAGTCCAAGTGGTACGGCTACTGGTTCTACCCATGTTTCTCAAGACTCGCAGACCATGCCCGAGAGGTGGGTTATTGTTATATGCCGCGGAATAGCGCAAAATACCCTATGTGATTCAATATGCTGATGCTGCAAACACCAGAGCAGGAACACCAGCTCCAACTACCACATACGAAGGTGCCTTTGCAGAACTGCTAGAAGAGCATGGCCCCCCTCCACCAGTCCAGAACTTCGACGAGGTTGGGACCACTCTACGTGGCACCAAGCACGTCTCTTGAGTGTGCGGGACGACTCGTGAGAAGATGTGGTGCCCCCAGACAGCCGAATAGTGAAGCGAGGTGTCAGAAAAGTTGCTTACTGTACTACGATCCTCTTGTTGTATACCACCACCTTCTCGATGCCTTCCTACACTGCTTTAGCTAAGAAACGTGAAGAGTCGAAGGTCAAAGACGCCGCAGTAGAGAAGAACCTGCAAGAGGCACTCGCGGCCGTCATCGCTTCCGGTTTCAAGCCGGGCAGCACTCGACACGTCCTGTCGATCAACAAAGCGGCCGACGACTGGCACGTCTCAAGTTCTACGCTCGGCGCACGTTACAAAGGGCGATGCACTCGCGCAGAGGTTGCTGTTACTCAGCAGAAGGCCGCGCCCGCGAAGGAGGCGAAGCTTAGTGTATACCTTGCCGGCTGGGCTCGACGTGGGCTCCCCATGTCCCCGCGCGTCTTCGAGGGCGTAGCATCTAACGTGCTCGGGATGGATATCACCGAGTCTTGGGTTAGAAAGTTTCGCGCGCGCCATCCGGAGCTGAGGGGAACCTGGACGACGGGACTCGAGGCATGTCGAGCTAGGGCACTGAATCATACAACGGTCGACAACTACTTCAAGCTTCTCCGCGAGACCATCGACGAGTTCGGCATCATCCCTTCGAACATATACAACATGGACGAGAAGGGGGTGCAACTTGGTGTCGCGAACAAGGAACGCGCTCTCGTCGACCGAGACCAAGCCACGGTCTACAAAATTGAACAGGGCTCAAAGGAGATGGTCACGATGATCGAGACGGTGTGCGCGGATGGTTCAAATCTTCCACCTATGGCGATCTTCAAGGGCAAGACCCGTGATATGGAGTGGGGAAGGTATAACCCGAGTGGCGCGGCGTACGTTGATTATGTTCGCTACTCGCGAAGGTGTAGACTGATCCGATTGCAGGATCGGCTTCTCCGAGAACGGATGGTCAGACAACGAGCTAGGACAGCTGTGGTTGCGAGACCATTTCGAGCCACACACCCGCACACGCAACCCCAGCGGCGGCTATCGGTTGTTAATACTCGACGGGCACAACTCCCACTGCACGTATGGGTTTGCGTTGTTCGCGGAGCTACACAAAATTATTGTCATATGCTTGCCGCCACACAGCACACATGTTATACAGGTGCGAAACATCACCACTGACTTGCACTACACGACTTAATAAGATGCAGGTATGCGACGTCGCCGTCTTCGGCCCTCTTGCTGGCTACTGGAAGAAACAAGTCAGTGAGCTTGCCCGAGCGTACACGACGATATCAAAACGGAACATACTTCCATACTATCAGAAGGCCCGAGAGCAAGCGATGAAGCCGCAGACGATTATCTCCGGCTTTCGCAAGACAGGCACCTGGCCCATCGATCCCTCCCAGATCCCTGAATCCGCCTTTGGCCCTGCATTGGCCACGACAAGCCAGATGTCCTTCCCGTCTGCGACGTCTACTGTATCATCCCAGACGGAGTCCCCTTCACGCGTACTGGCTGCCGCGATCTCTGCGATGACGATGCCCCCTCGCACACAAAGGAACGCTACTCGCGATTCCCTGCTCGCGCACGCTGCGACTATTCGCAAGACTGCCGACGAGTCGAGAGCTCTTCTCGAAGGGACTGCGACGGAGATGGCTTTGATGGAGGAGGAGAACAAGAGGTTGCGCGCGCAGCTCTACGGGCGGGAGGAAACACGCAGTCGTCGCGAGGGATGCTCCGATGCACGAAACTTGACGTGTCAGCAAAACCTGGAGGAGCTCGCACGATCAGATTGGAAAATCAAGTGGAAGAAGGTCCTCTCACAGTTGAAGGAGTTGCATAAGCAACAGAGGCGAGAAGAAGCGGCGGCGGTGGCGGCGGAGGAGAAGGCGGCCAAGCAGGCGGGACAGGAGGAGAAGCGCCGAAAACGGGATGAGGAAGCCAAGAAGAAAGCGGACGGGAAGGCCGAGAAGGACGCCGAGAAGGCCGCCGAAAGGGAGCGGAAGCAGGCGGATGCCGCGCGGAAAAAGGAGGATGCGACGCGGAAGAAGGAGGACGCCGCGCGAAAGAAGGAGGAGACGGCGCGAAAGAAGGAAGAGACGGCGCGAAAGAAGGAGGAGGCGGCGCGTAAGAAGGAGGAGGCGGCGCGTAAGAAGGAGGAAAACGCACGCAAGAAGGAAGGGACCGCCAAAGCAGCGCCGGTGGCCAGTGGCGGCAAGCGGACGGTGTCCGATGCACAGGAGCCCATGTCGCAGGGGGATGCTGGGGTTCCCGCGCCCCGGTTCAGGTGCGGGCCGCTGCCGCGGAACTTCTACACATCGGGCAGGAAGAAGTACGCGAGGCTCGTCGAGGAGGATGGGGACGATGCAATGGATGTCGATGGAGGTGGCGAGGATGCTAGGGACATGGATGTGAGCGAGGAAGAAGGGGAGGTGGGAGAGAAACGGACCCTTGATAAGGCCGGCGATCGCGCCGAGATGCCCTTGGCGAAGCGCCTCTGTCGCCCTGTAAGACGCAAGGCAAGAGCCCCAGGCGTGCAGACACCAGCAGACGGTCACTGCACCATAGATCCTGCTCTGCTCGCACTTGATCAGTAGCAGATGGTGTCCATAGCAGTGGCGGCTTGGGCGCTTTGCACGACGCGACTTCTGTCAAAATGGTTCACACGTTCGACCCGTTGCCGGGTGGCCAGCTTTTGAGAGTCACCCCTCGCCACGATATTCACGTACGCGTACTCAGATCCCGTAAAATATGGATACTCTTGGTATACACGTATGAGAAGCTTAACAATAGCCTTGTACAAATTTCAGAGCTAAAGTACGTTATGAGATTATCGTATGAGCCGTAGCCGCTAAAATGACCCGTTGGGGGGCGGACTCCAGTATCCCGAAGCGCATGCGAGCGCATCATCCTCATCATGCAGATGCGAGAGGCGGACAACTTGGAGACCTTGCAGCTCACCACGATACCTCACTGCGAAGACCCCTACGCAAGTCCCGTCCCCATCCCGGACACGTTCCTCAAACAACGCGTACCGCGCCTGCGCAGGGTTGCACTGCACGGAGGGTTCATCTTCGAATGGCGGAGCGCCATCTTCACCGGAGGCCTGACGCATCTCGCTCTTTCTGAGATTGCGCCGTCGGCGTTGCCTTCGATGAAAGAGCTTTTGAGCCTCTTGCGTCGCTGCCCGGGTTTGCAGACCCTTTCTCTCGTATCGGTCCTCCCAGCTCTCCCGGAATACCCGGAAGATACGATGGAGTTGCCAAAACTCAAGGACGGGTACAAGAAGACGAAGCTGCCCTGCATGACCCGGTGCTACCTCGAGGACCATGCGCTCGAGGTTGTCAACTTCCTCCGCCGCGTCGACATACCCCAAACCTGCCACGTCTCCCTCTATCTCGGGCGACAAGATGCCGAAGTGGATGCCAGTGGCGATAGCCCGTCTCCATTCGCCCCGGTTTGTCGTGCCGTTCGGGATTTCTGTCTCACACGCACAAAGCTGCACGACGCGTCTTTGCGGTTCGAACAACGAGTAGGAGCGCGAATCCATTGGACGTTTGAAGGCAAAATCGACGACGCTACGGATGCCTCGCAGTCGGTCCTCGAAGTCTCCATGGGCGGCACCTCCGATCCGAGCTCAGTACACGTGCCGGTTGAAAACGCGCCGCCCGGAAGCTTCTTGAGCGCCATCTTCCTCATGTTTTCCCCGGCATTTCCTCTCGCAACAGTGCGCTCGGCCCACTTCAGTGTTCACTCGACAACATCAATCATGTTCTGGGACGTGATGATGAACTTTCCACATCTGGAACGTATCATCGTCGAAGGATCCTGCGCACACGGGTTGGCAGAGTTGCTGTTGAGATACGTGGAGTTCCCGCGCGCGCTGCCGCATCTTCGCGACGTGACAATCGCACACGTGGACCTATCGTTCCCCGGCTCTCATCCAGACATCGAACAACTACTAGAGCTCGCCCTTCGCGGCCAGCGATCTCATGGACGACATGTATGGGACATCAAACTGGAAGAGTGTTGGGTAGACGTGGATCAACGGCACCGGCTGGAAGAGGCGGGCGGGAAGTCTATCGCGTGCATTGGAGAGCCAGATGTATGGGAGGTGGAGTCACTTGAGGATGACGACTCTGCAGCGGGTGATTCGGTTGACGACGACGAGCATCTCGATTCCGACAGTTCTGAGCTCCCCGATCTTGAGGTCGCATAGCCGACGTGCATTTGAAACTGTACATACTGAACTCGCTTGCTGGGATCTTATCCTTGTGCTGATAATGCTTACGCAATGTACGCGATACGACTTCTGGTCACATTCTATACAATACGCACATATACTCCTGCACAGCCCATACAAGTAGGTAATCCACCAATAGTAGGTCAGTCTTGTTGATAGATTTCTGGCCGTAGATACGGGACTGTTAAGGCTCAACAGATGGAAGATGTGATTGAGGTTCCATTACCCTAGACATGCTGTCGGAATAACGGTCTGATCTCGATTCCGGATGATAGTTCTCACAATTCGCAGAGTTGTATTGATACACTACTGATACTGTACATGGCAGTTCCCTATATATACATGACTCGGCCCATATCAGGAAGTCAAGTAGGGCAAGATACTCTGACATAGACGATCGGACGCCGCAGACTTCTATATGATTATGTTGCCTTTCAGCGACTTCAAAATCCATATCCCCTCTGCGGTCGTCTCAAAAGTCGATGGGCCCACTAGGCCCTGTCCCGTTCCTCTCTCCAACATTCAAAGCCACCAGGAAGCGGCTCACGCAGTTATAAGCCGCGATCGTCGCCACGAGTTCCACGGTCCCCCTCTCGCCCAACAGCCCTCTCACGGCATCGAACGTCGCATCGCTAACCTCTACATTCCTTGTCATCTCGTCGGCCAAGCATAGCACTGTCCAAAGCCTCTGGTCCAGACCGCCCTTGGCCTCGGCGGACGCAGCGAGGTCCAGCGGCCCTGCAACCTCGCGCACGACACCGTCGACGATGGCCTGGCTGATGCCGGCGGCAACGGCGAGAGGCGCGTGGTGAGCCCATTCGTACCAAGCGCGATTGATGGCAGCAACGCGAGTGATGGCCAGCTCGCGGGCGTCGTCGGGTACGGCGTCAGTACGGGTCCGGATTGCGCCGAGGAATGCATTCCAGCCGTCGGCAACGGGCGGCGAGTGCAGCAGGGTGAGGTCCAGGGCCTGCAGCGGGCGAGGAGCACGGCGAGCCGCTATACGCTCAACAATTGCTTGCTCCTCGGGCGTGGTCGTCGGCGGAGGGTTGTGCACATAAGGGAGGCGCATGTTTCCCAGGGTGAGGGTGGTGGTGGTGGAACACAAGGCGCGCTGTCACTGCTTGCCGGCTACTACCACCAGCATTACCATCATCATTCATCATTGAGAACTCGAGCATAGCGTTGAAATAAACGCTGGTGCACACCGCTAGTTACCATGTCCGCCATCGCCAAATTGTCGGACGACGACCTTATTCTCATATTTTTGCATTTCCCCGTTCCGGCTCCCCAGCCCGATACGCAAGCCCAAGATCGTCTTGTCTCTGACGACGGCCGACCATCCGATGCCGCTGATCTGACATGGCTCAGCATCTCGCACGTATGTCGACGCTGGCGGTCGATCTCACTCTCGTGTTCAGCCATATGGTCGACCATATCGTTCACCCCGCCCGAATCAACTTCCGCGTTCTTGGGCAGAGCCCGCGATGCTCCCCTTGACGTCTATGCTCACTGGCGCCCTGGATCAAACGGAGATCTCATGGACCTCGCTGTCACCGAGGTGATGAGCCATCTAGACCACATTCGCCGCCTCTCCATGGAAGGGACTACCCATAGCCGCTTATGGGCTGTTCATCTTCCGCTGTTCGCATCTCGACAAGCACCATTGCTCGAGGAATTGCGTCTCACTACCATAGGATCATCTCGCGAACTCGTTCTTCTTCCAGACTACATGTTTGAAGACGACATGAGGCGCTTGCGTCGAGTCACAATTTCTGGACCGTTCAGCTTCAGCTTTCGCAACAACATCTTCTCCGCCCAATTGACCCACCTTACTTTGTCACATATCAATCGCAACCGTCGATCGGCCACCGCCGAACTATTCGAACTCTTATCCCGATGTCCTCTGGAGACCTTGTCGCTGACGGCTTCTCTGCCGTCCGATCTCAGACCTTTAGGTCTGCGAGGGTTCCCGGATCTCACCGAGGACAAAGTGCACCTCTCAAGCCTGAAGTACTGCTTGATCGAGGACGGGGATGCGAAACTGGCGAGCTTCATACGCCGCGTAGAGTTACCCCAGGCATGCGACGTATTTCTTTACATAGGCGTCCGCGATCCTATCCAAGACACCACGGGGATAATGCCAGAGATCATCATCACATCGGAAGCGATAAAAGGTCTCTGCGAGTTGCGCAACGAGTTACAGCGGCCCACATTGCATTTTGTACAGGAGTCAGGCTCGCGATGCCTGTGGACATGGAGCGGAGAGCTTCCAGAGCACTCAGGATCGCACCCGACAATCGAGGTGTCGATGGGCGGCACATCCGATCTGCACGCCGTTCATGAAAACCTTGGGGGAGGAGGTTCAATAGGTGACACCCTGGGCTCGCTCTTCCTACTTGCCACACTCCAGACGTTCCCTCTACAAAGCGTGCGCGCGCTACATGTCAGCGTACGGACGGCCTGTCCCGACTCGATGTGGATTGCGCTGGCCATGCTCCCAGCCCTTGAAGATATTTCCGTCTGTGGCCCTTCTGTACCGGGTTTCACGAAGTACTTGATGGACTACGCCGTGTACGCTGGTATGCTTGCTTGTCTCGAAAGGTTAACCCTTGAGCATGCGGATTTATCGTCGGTTTTCAACGGCAAAGTCGCTGCGGCCATGCTTGAAACAACCATCATTCAGCGAGGAGCGCGTAATGCGTCTGTGCCTCGGGTCACCTTACGACATTGCCAGGCCAATCCAGAGCATCTAGCTCTGCTTGAAGCGGCAAGTGGTCAGCCAGTGGAGTGTATCGGCGATGCCGACGTTTGGTCGGCTAGGGAGGATACGCAAGAGTAGCTTCGCTTCAGGTCAGCTGCGAGCGGAAGCTTCTGAAGGTGAGTCTCTTCTGGGTCCTACTATGTGCAGAGTCTGTTCATGAGCTAAACGACTCACTCTACAGGCACGGCGATATTATGAAGCTCCTTCGCCATCCGGAGGAAACTGGTGGGGAAGTTACTACCATAGTGATTGAGAGGGATAGCACGTGTGTGTATGTTGCTTTGAGTCGTCAGATGTACTACATACAAAGCCATACGATTGACCTTCTGCTGTCCACCAGCTCTCACCGAAAGAACGCGTGGGAACTAAAACCCGGTTATGATAACGCCGAGGTCCGCATCGCCGCCGCCGATGTCTCTTCCAAGCTCTTCCCCCAAACCGTTACCATCATAAGATCCTCTCTGTATGCGTGTCTGCGATCTGGTCGACCGATAGATGTTCATGCCTCAACTCGACCACGTATCCGCCATATCCATCCTTCCTGACGATATTCTCACCGTCATCTTTCTTTACTTTCCCATACCGACGACACCCATCCGAAACGCGGTGTCTAGGGATATTGACCTCGCGCCTTACGAGCCAGATCCAGATGCAAAGGACAAGACGTGGCTACGCATATCTCATGTGTGCCAACGTTGGCGGGCGATCTCGCTATCTTGCTCTAATGTCTGGTCCACTATCAACGTCACCTCGCTGCAAACCAAGCTGGCTCTAGCATCGTTGAAGAGAGCCCAGCGTGCTCCACTGACGGTCATCGCCGACTGGACAACGCTGTACTCGAGTGACTTCGACGTCCTTGAGGATACTACGGCAGAAGCGCTCTTTCATCTCTCTCACACTCGGCATCTGATAGTCCGCGGGGATATGTCCCGCAGCGCTTATGAGCGCATCATCCCTATCATGCAAGCCCAAGAGGCCGATCTCTTAGAAACTCTACAGCTCTCGACAAAAGCCTATGTCGAAGACTCCGACATGGTCCCAGTCAACCTGCCGGCCGCCCTATTCCTACAACGGGCACCGCGCCTACGCCGACTCGCACTTCATGGCGCTTTCAGCTTCGGTTGGCATAACACCGTATTCTCCGGGAGTTTGACCCATCTTTCTCTCAGACATATATCGTCGACGGCTATACCAACGTACGAGGCCCTCTTTGATGTGCTTCGGCGCTGCCCGTTGGAGGTCTTGTCCCTCGTAGCCTCTTTGCCCGCACCCGTCGGCTGGACATTCAATCCCGAACGCGACACCGAGAGGCTGCCAAGATTGAGCGCGGGTGATGCCAAGCTCCAGCTCTCGCAGTTGAGAACATGTACTCTGGAAGACCACGGTATCGAACTTGCCGAATTCATTCGTCGCATTGACGTTCCACGTACATGCCACGTTTCGCTCTTCGTCGGGCGTCAAAATCCCATCGCGGATCTCTCCGGCGTTATCCCTTCACCCCTCTCCCCCGTCATGAGCACCCTCCGCGACTTCTGCGCTTCGCGCAACACTCTGCACCAGGCCGATCTACATTTCGAGCAACGCCGTGGTGCACGCTTCCAGTGGATCTTCTCAGGGAGGGTCACTGAAGCGGAGGATGCTCCGTGTTCAATCATCGAACTGTCGATGGGCGGGACCGCTGACCCAGACCTTGTCCATGTCCCTGTGGAGGATGCGCCGGCAGGAAGCTTCTTGAGCGGCCTCTTCCTTATAGGTTCCCGTATGTTTCCTCTACCAGCAGTGCGCTCTGTACGTGTCAGCGTGCGCTCTGTGACATGTGGACTCTTCTGGGACGTCTTGATGTATCTCGATAACGTCGAAAGCATCACCGTTGTCGGTCCCGGTGTGCGCTCATTTGCAGTTTCATTGGATGAATACGCGCAGTTGCCAAATTTCTTGGCGCGATTAGGACGAATCGTTCTCGCTCACGCGGATCTGAACTTCCCTTTCGTCGAAGTCGCATGTCTGGAGTCCGCCCTTCGCAGGCGCAGAGGCAACGCGCTGCCCTCCCCGGCAATTGTACTGGAGTACTGCGAGATCCCTCAGGGGGCGCTCGAGACGCTCGAGTCAGAAAGTGATCAACCTATCGAATGTGTGGGGAAACCCGACGTCTGGACGCTCGACGCACTGTCGTCGGATGAAGAGAGCGACTCGGATTGGGACAGTGAGAGCGAGAACGACGAGTTCCCTTACAATGCGATTGTCGAGTCCGATGCTGGGTCTGATGCTGGTTCGTTCGGGCAAGATGACTGAAGTAGGCATTTCCTATCCAAGCGATGAAGATTGTGTTTCGCTTAACCCTCACTCAACAGTATAAACTCAGGCAGACCTGTCGAAAGAGGGTCAACATGGATTGCCCCGCAGTTCCGGCAGTGAGTCGCATGCAACATCCTTCGTGAAAGGTCTAGAACGTACTGATACCAGCCAACAGCCATGGGAGGGTACGACGAGCTGTGGTTGTCTGCTCGCGTGACGCTCCGTGGTGGTTTGGCTCGCGTAAACTCTCGGTCCGATGTGGTTGATCGGGAGAGCGTCCGGCACTCTATAATCAGCGTCGATAACACTGGTCTCTTCCACCCATACCGCCACCACCACCACACCCTCTCGCAGGACTTCGGCCATGGACACGCCTTCTCCCGCTGAATGCTTCATATTCAAGCTACCATATGAGCTCTGGATCCGCATTATCCGTGTGACCTGCGCTTCTGAGTCAGGCTATTATATAGAGTCAGCCCACTGCTCCATCAAGGCTATGAAGGATCTCGCGCATACCTGCCAATTCTTCCGCCACATCATCATGGACGGAGATGGACCGGGATCATACCCGAATATCATGCAAGATCTCCCTCTCCTCTGCGAGGAGAAATGGGTGAGCGTCGCCGCGGGCACCGGCACTATGCCTCTCGTCGTTCGCGCCGAGCTTCCCGACTCCTACCGCCAATCCAATATGCGCAACCTCGCCCACGCTCTGTCGTACATCTCGCGAATCGAAACATTGGTTTTAAAGGGACGCGACCGCTTCAGGATCAACCGCTACCCTCGGCTCTATAACAAGGACGCCCCACAACGAGCTCTTCATACGGCGTCTGTCCTGACGACGCTCCGTTTCTGCGACATGGACGCGGACTCAATCTTCTCTAATGGTGGCATACTACCTGAGATCCCCACCCTGGAGACCGTTCAGCTGCGCGATTGTGTTGTCCAGATGGAGAGCCCCCTCTTCGGCTCTAAGCAGTTGGCAGTACTTGTGCTAGAGAACGTCATGATACGTACCAGAGCCGATCCACGTCCGAGATTTGTGGACATGCTACGCTCGTGTAGCCCATCGTTGCGCGAGCTTATCGTCCATGAAACGCCAGGGTCTCACGGCCTCATTGGGGATCGCCCATTCCAGTTCTCAGGACGCAAACCGGATCCCTCGGAGATCGTCTACTTCCCTGCACTCGAGAAGATCTCGTTACGCGGGGCTACTGGAACCATCGCGCACATCGTCACCCATATGGAGATGCCCTCCCTTCGCATCGCCCACGTCGCCCCGCAGCCGCACTTTTGCCTCTTGCTTCCAGATTACATCCTACCCGTACTTTGCGACAGCATCTTACGCGGGAAGAACACTTTCGACGCCGTCCTACTGGATCAGACTCGTGATAAGGAGCGCATGCGCGTCGTTGCGAAGAGCGAGAAGCACGTACTTGAGCTTTCTCTACTCGCTCGGTTCGCCGTCGCCGCCCGTCGCCTCACGATGGGCACCCACATGCCATGGGGCTCGTTTACCCTGCCATGGGGCTCGTGCAACTTCAGCCGCATTCTTCCGGACTGCATTCTCAAGACGACGCGGTTGGACGTTCTGTCGGAGGACTGCAAGACAGAAGCCAACGTGCAGTATAGGGACTGTCGACTGCTTATGAGCGAGTTCTCCCAAGTTCAGACCCTCGCCCTTCACGGTGTCGTCGCCGTGTACTTGATGCGCGCATTCGCTCGCGGCAACGACTCGTCTGACGTGCCCAGATTTCCGCGTTGTCTCAAGTCTGTGGGCGTCTCGTCTGCGGGGAAGGAGGAAACCGATGCGGGATCACTTGAACTAGTGAAGCAGTTGAAGGATATGCGGGGGAACAACACCGCGCCGCTCAAGCTAGGCAAGATCACCGTCCTCTACGACGCTGTTTTAGCAAAGCTGGTTGGCGGCGTCCCCGACAAGTTGGTGGACGATGAAATGAAGGAGTACATGATGCGTTCTTTGACCGCTGTACGCGAGTGGGAGGAGTTCGCTAATTCCCTGTCTGCCAAGGATACGTTGAGGGAAAAGGAGGACCGGTCTGTTATAGACGCCTTACTCAGTGCTATCTGAATCGCGTGGACTTTGTTTTCCATGTACCACGTATGCGCTGTTGTAATGATATGTAGATCGAACCACTCACTATGATGTAAACCTGACCAAGTACACATGAACGTAAATCGATCGTAAATGCAAATCTAATACAAAACATGCATAGTCTGTGCCGCAGCCCTACACTACACCCACCCAAACCCAATTGAGCGCACGACCTCCCTACCTCCCCGCAATATTAGCCTCACTAGCAACTCTACTGATATTCCCTGCAGCAGTCGCAACGTCCTCATGGAACGCCTCTTCTCCGAGCAACTTCACAACGCCGGCTTTCTCGAAGGCCCTATACGGTCCCCATCGCAAGTGCGTAATGTGTACGTCGACGTCGCGCGCTTTGTACTCTTTAAATAGCTCTTTGAGTATCATAACGGCTGAAGCATCTGCGCTCTCAACGTCCGCCATGTGGAACACCAATACGCGCGCTTGTTGTCTGCGCGGCGCCTCGGAGGGGTGAGAAGGGTCCGTGCCGTACAGCTCCAACCTCCTCAACCGCTCCTTCAACTGCGCGGTGTTGGCGAAGTCCAAGGACTCGCGTAGTCGGACGATGAGTACGCCGGGCAGATCTTCAGTTGCTGCAGGATGCTCGTTCAAGGGTTTCCATGAGTCGGTACCGGGGACGTGGCCGAGGATTGTCATGCGTGTGCGCGAAGAGCGGCGGACGACGAGTAGGAGGGAAACGATGACCGAGACTACGACGCCTACTTGGACGTTCCAAATCATCGTTAGGACGAATGTTAGAGTCATCAGGCCGAGATCGACCCAAGAGCGCATGCTGTGGGCGCAGATCAGGAATCGGGGATCGGGACATGAGCTGTGGACGTACGTGTAGTAGTAGTGGATGTCCTCGGGCGTTTCGCCTAGCAGGCTCAGGACGACCATACAGATGCTATCAAGATGAGTCAGCGTTTGTGAACTTCGCGAACGAAGGGATGGGGGCATACATGGCAGCGAGAACGCATTTGGGGAGGTAGTACAAGAACGGCAAGAGGAAGAACGTCGCGAGCAGCACAAGTACCGCGCAGACGATACTAGCCATCTGCGTCCTCCCACCAACATCCGCATTGATCTTGCTCCTCGTGATACTTCCCCACGCGGGCAAAGTCCCCGGTACGAAACTTGCCGCCAGATTCGCTGCTCCGAGCGCTACGAGTTCACGATTCGGGCTGATCGTGTACCCGAACCTCGCAGCGTTCTGCTTCGCCGCTACAATCGAGTCCAAGAACCCGATGATGCTGATGAGCACCGCCGCGCTCGTCGTCTCGTGCACATACTTCAACGCCGTGTGTTTCAGCGGGAAATGGATGTATCCCGCTCCGCCTCCAAACTTCACCTCACCCAGAATATCGATGCCCATCTCGTCCCAGTCGAACTTGTAGCACAAGAACGTGCTGCCGAGCACGACGAGGAGGACTTCGGGCATGCGGTATAGGATGGGGATGTGCGAGACGAAGCGCTTGAGGTTGCGGATGGCGACGAGGATGGCAAAGGATATGAAGGAGAGGAGCACGGTTGGTTTGTGTGCGTGTGTGAAGCCGTATTCGACGAGGAACAGGAACTTTTGGAGGGTCGTTTCGGGGTTCACTTTGTGTTCGAGGGCGACGAGGCCGAGCATTGGGATAAGCTGTTCGCTGTGGGCATGGTCAGTACTGTATAGCGTCCACCAGAGAGACCGGACGTACATAGCGATGACGATAGCGATGGCTGTGATGAAGCCTCGTAGCAGCGCCCGCGACAAAACAACATCGATGAATCCGAGGCGGAAGAACCCAAGAACGAAGGATATCAGACCAACTTGCGCAACGATGACACTGGCGATGATGAGACTGAGCGTGGCTGGGTCGATGGGATGCGTATGCGGGTCATTATGCAGTATACTCTGGATAGTCTGCCCAACAATGAGACTGAGCGCGGCCTCCGGCGCAACGTTTAGTTGTCGTGATGTGCCGAGTAACGCGTATACAAGTGGCGGGATGGCAGCGGCGAACTATACACAACCGACGGCAAAGCCGAAATCAGCAAGCGGATCGGCAGATAAGAACGATAAGAAGGCCGAGAAGAAGTGGACAAGGCGACAGACGCGCGGCTGATCATTGGGTGGTGCCACGAGGCACGCAATGCGCGATAGCACTGACGTATTTTGATGGCGGGATGCGCGGGATGTGCGGGTTCGGGTTTGGGGGAAATTGATAAGTACTCACCAAGCCGGTCGTGGGCGACAGACGGGCGAGAGACGTCGCATAGGATACACTCTGCGGTATGAGCATAGCTGCGACGGTCACGCCTGCGAGAATGTCGCCACCGAGGCTGGAAGGACGGGAGTAAAATATTGAGTGCGGGGCCAACGGTGGGGTGCGCGGGGACTGACTATGAAAGCGAGTAGTTGGGTATCCATTCAAGCGAGGGTATGTAGTACCGCGCCTTGGCCGAGAGCGGTACTCGCTGGCCAGGATACCGCGGCGTAGAAGGCGCCTTCTGAGACTCTGAACAAGATAAATTCAATCAAGTGCCGCTGACATGCAGCAAACCTCGTACCCGAATCCTCGACAGCTCCGTACGTTCCTCCTTGATCGTCTACCGTCCCAGACCGGCTGAGTAGTCGTGCAGCCTCAGATACGTCTTCGGGAAGGGGCGAGTCTTTGCCCGAGCGGGCGCCTCTGCCCGAATTGAAGGAAGGTATGCTGAACATGCTTGGGCGGCCCTGACCCGTGGGCGGCATTGGGAGCTTGAGCGTCGAGGACCCGGAAGGAATGGCCATCTTTGCCTTCTTAAACGCAGGGTCGGCGTGATAAGCAGGCGGCCAGGATAAGGATGAGCCTTATATGCGATGAAAGTGACTGGACAGGTGCTGTGTTCGTAGATGGGAGTTCGGAGTCTTCGGACCGCACTCAGCGCCAGGCCTCGCTGCCGCATTTCGCCTTTGGCTTTCTCCTCCTGCCCTGATTTCGAAGTTACTTCACTTCACTTCGTATTGCATTCCAGAGACTCCACTCATCACATTTCGCGATGCCGAACACATCTTCGCCGCTGTTAGCGGTGGGTATCATGGCCTTCATATAGCGCAGGCGTTTAAGCGCGGCGGTTGCAGGCACAGGAGCAGGCCGCGAACGCGGACGAAGCCCTTGCGCAGGGCTTGCTTATCCCCTCGGCCGAAGCGCACCAAAAGGCTGCTCAAGCTTATCAGGAATGCGTAGACGCATCCAGCGACGAGAGCGTACGTCCCGCCATCAAATAACAGTATTAATATTTGCCTCGTGTTCAACGGTCAATCTTTTCGATGAACAGGCGAGAACCACACTTCGCCGCTTGGCCGCACATCACGCAAAGCAGGCTGCCGACCTCAACACTCGCATCGCCCAACTTCGCAAAGACGGCGTCGACCCCGCACGCCCACAGAAGACGAATTATCGCGCCGGCCCTTCGTCCATTCCGCCACACATGCACCCAGGACCGTCAGCCTCGCCTCCTCCGCACGGCTCGCGGAGTAGACTGAGCGACAGCCAGCACACCGTCGACGAGTCATTCATGTTGCTTGGTCAACAGGTAAGACCATTCATATACTATGAAACTCGCGCCCGTGCCGAACAGTACGCTTATGTGTGGCTCTGCCTTTGTGCCACTTGAATATCCAGAGCGCAGACGCGGGCGATGCCTTCAACCATTTCTGGAAAGCTATGGAGCGCCTCGATACACTTGCGCAACCGGTCGCATTCGCTACGGCCTCACTCGGCCTGACCGAACCAAAAGGTCACGGCTCGCAATCCTCGACCGAATCAGACGACTCGGATATGCCCCGCTCGAACCGCAAAAGCCGCAAACCCGCGCGCGACGATACATTCATGACCGCGCACGAGGGCGAACTCGGTCGGAGTGTCAAGGCTTCCGTGGTAGACTTGAAAGGCGACTTCGATGAGATAGCTGAAGAAGGTGAGACGCTTGCCTCGTGCTGTAGAGCTTGCGCGCTTACCACCTTCCATTCCTTCGTGACATTATCAGATTACGACTCGTCCGACTCGTTCTGCTTCGTGCCTTCCAAATCCGAGCCCTCGCCTGGCGTACTCAAAGTCGAAAACGACGCGCTCAAAGAGCAAGTCACGCGTCTCCAATCCCAACTCGCGTCCGCGCAGAAAGCGCTACAGCAGCGAACAGAACAAGATCAGGTATGTTCATCTTCTTGATACTATTATTACACCCAATCCTGATCGAGACGGCCTTCTTTTCCAGCAACTCCGGGATAATATCGCACTCGCACGGCGCGAAGCCCAGCGCGCGATGGGCGCCTCGCTCGTCGCGGGCCGTTCCGGCATCCTGCCTCCCCAATTCGGCGCCTCACTACACGTGCCCGGTCAGCCGCCGAGCGCCAGTACATCTCCCGTGCGCGCGCCTATCCCGCCACCAGCCGTGACATCACCCTCGCACCCTCTCCCACCGATCCCGATTCCCGCGCCTCCCGCGATCACCGTACAGTCCCCGTCCATCTCATCATCCTCTTCGTCCGCCGCCGCGGATAAGCGTGTGAAGGAGCTTGAGGAGGAAGTGAAGAACGTGAAGGAGGAGTTGAGGGCGGCACGAGTGGAGAATGAGAAGCAGAAGGCGATGATTGCCAAGTTTAGGGAGAGGTGGGATAAGCTCAAGGAGAGCGCGAAGAGGAAGAGGGAGGCGAAGGCCGCTGCGGAACAGCCGGAGAGAATCGTAGAGGAGCCTGAGGCGGAAGCGGCTGCTGAGGCTGGAGAGGGTCTTTGAGAGAAGAGGGGTGCGAGAGACGAGAATGGATCCCAGTGAGAGGCGGGTGCGGAGCCTTGCGTGGACGCAGAGACGGATTCGTGCTGGTAGCGGGTGGGCTGTGGAGGGGAGCCGGGTCGCGAGCGCAAAATGTACCATTACCCGGAGAACGCTCGGCGACGTGTAGTGTGTGCGGATGGAGGGCGTTGGGATATTCTGCTTTGAGTACATTTTTGCTTTGTGTCGATTATATGCTCTCTCGGAAGGTGTTGTGTACAGATAGGCATCTATGTATTATCGCGAGTCTTCACTTGGATAGTCCGCTATGCCGAGAGTCGCGTAGGCTTGCCGTCAGACCTCCCACGCCTGAACCTAAATAAGAGGGCCGGGAGAGGGTGTGTCATTGCGGAGTGCTCGCATCCTCATAGACTCGCAAGCCAGTCCCTTCGCGAGCCGGATAATCAAATGTCGCGTCGCCGCAATAACTCTACATCTACGTGGGGACTGGGTTCGAGTCTGCTACTAGTATTGTCTAGCATCCTCCCAGAGTCACTCAATAGCCGGGTTCCGAGGCTACGACTTGAAAACGTAGAGAGTCTAGAGTGTGAGACGGTCGAAGCTCGGTTGATACCTCAAATAAGGGCTTGCAAGTCCAAATTAACCCCAAAATATCGGCCCGTGTGTCCCGCCCCCTCATCGACCGCAATTCACGCAGTCCACGTTGCGAGTGAACCATCATCATCATCATTCAACCCTACGGAGGACACAGTCACCACCATAGATCTTCATATCCCCACATGATGGATCGCACAGCACGGCTTCCACCAGAGACCCTTACCCATATCTTCCACTCAGTTCGTCGCCTAAGCAGGATCCCTCCACTGGGCGAAACATTCTGGAATCGCCGAGCCTCAAATTCTGAAAGTCTGTACTTTCTTGGCTGGTTAGTGGTCACTCACGTATGTGCCCGCTGGCGTACGTTTGCCCTCAGCGACGCGACGCTTTGGGTGGACATCCCTCTCGCACTTGGGCAGCAATGGACGTCCGCATTCCTTTCGCGGAGCAAGCAGGCACCTATCTCAGTAGATTGGAGCTTCGCCGAACTCAGGCCTTTTGATTCCAAATATGAGGAGCGGTTTTTTGATCTACTCATGGCACACTACCCACGTATGCGCGAACTCGATGTAAGATATGCTGAAACTGTCCCATTCATTCAAAACGGAGCTTGGCCCACTCTTGAAACCGCTAGATTGATCTTCAGCGAGGGCCATCATACTACGCTTGACCTCTTCAATGGCCACGCACCTCTTCTTCGATCCCTATCCCTCCATACTCGATTGCAATTGCATCAGTTCAATTGGGCAAGTCCGATACTCCATAATCTTAACTCCCTCGACATCCAATTCGACTGGGCCGTCGATGCACAATCGATGCCCAGCTTCCTTGACGCTCTCTCCGGGATGCCAAGACTGCGAGACCTCCGTCTCGTGGACTGGAGCGTCAGAGGCGAGAGCCCGCCTATCTCTCCGTGCATGGCGTGTTCTACAAGTCGGACCGTGACAGCAGCGCTGGAGACATTTGTTTGTAAAACAACGCTCAACACCATGTGTCATGCCATGAATCATATCATTTGCCCTCCAACTGTCCGCTTTCTACTTGATCTGGGGCCATATTACGCGGAGGACATCGATCAGCTCGCAGAACTTGTACCCATCCTGTGCCCCCTCCTGTCCAATTGGTATCAGGCTCTACCGCGCCCCAACCCATTCGTCGCAGCATGTATTCTTGTGGAACCGGAATGTGCTCGATTGAGTGCATCTCGTTCGTTGCACAACATGGACGGCATGGGCGCAACATCGTCATGGGTTTCGGACATTCATAACATCGAAGCTGATCTAAACCTCGCTTTACCGATGGATCTAGCGGATTGGGCTTCGCCGATGGTCGACATAGTGCGGTCCTTGATGCCCAGCACTCTACGTGTATTGACCTTCGACTTCGGCTCCGAGTACCTACTCGACGAGCTTCGCCTTTCGGACACCCTCTTCAAAGGCGTCGAGGTCTTGCGCTTGCGAGACGCCACGGCGCTTCCGGAGATCCATAGACATTTTCCTAAGCTTTCTGTGCTAGAAGTGCAGGAGCCTCAGTTGCGGAACATCGTCTACAGATGGGACGATATCACCGGTGTTCTCAATGGACGGGGCGATCTGCGTCCCATACGCTTTCTGTACCTCCATGTGGCCGAAGAAGTTGAATCTGTGCGACGTGGGGAGATCTCACGGACGAGCTGCAATGCCCTACCGCCGAGGATTTCGCAGGACGAGATCAAGTCCGTGATCGACGAGATGGAGGCCGTGCCGGAGATACGCGTTGTGACCGAGAATGAAGGGATTGACTATGAGGCCATTCTTGAATGTTGCCGCGAAGCACAGTGACGTGACGCCGGCGGTCGTGCTGAAACCTGAGAGCTATGGCCCTTCGTTTCCTATATGACCACTACGTACGAGTTGGATGTACGATCAAGAGCACTACTATTCTCATTTTCCCGACTGGAAGTGAACCGCATGTATCAATATATATTACAAATACCAATATGACACACGGAGCCACGGTAACTAGCCGTCAGATAACAAGGCAATCATGCCACTATACACTCTACATATAAACGATGATAGTTATACTTCTCTCCATGGACGCTACAGGTCCGGCTTTTCAGGGTCCGTCGGGACAGACCCATCGCTACCCCGACTACAAGAATTTGTGTCCAATATGCGTGGTCCCATGTTCTGCTCGCCTTGACCGCGGATCTTGTCTCCGAGGCCATCGGTCTTCGAACTACCCTGTTCAGGGTCGCCGGTTGATCGCGACATCCTAGATGCGGTACATTTCCCAACGGCGGCGTTGCACGCCGTGTAGAGGGGAATGGAAAGACCATGTACTATGATCGAGCTGAGGACGACGAAAGTGACGATCGGTTGGATTGTCTGCTCAAGCACGTCGGTTTGTTCGGTGCGCGTGGGTGCCCCGTCAAGCTTTGTGATGACAAGGGTGGAGACGAACACAGCGCTGACGCCCATCTGAACAAGATATCAGCGGTCCCATCGCATACGCGTAATTGATCGTGGAAACATACCGGTCCGAAATGACCCGCAAAAAGCGCTTCGCGCCAGGAGGGAATCTCCTCGATCCAAGTGTAGAGAAATAGAACGCTAGGAATCCGCCGAAGGATCAAGATACCGATAGAGAGCACAACAAGCCGCCAAGGCGTTACGCCTAGCGATGGCATGTTATACTGGTCGAATGGTAGCCATGCGCCGATGTATAAGAAGCACGCGCAGTTGAGAATGAAGTCGATGGCGCCCGGGAAATGTTGCCCGTTGATCTGCACAGACAAGTGTGACCTCTTCGCGTCGGATGCGTCTACGTCGTCTGACTTGGGCGTCAAGTTTGATGGCGATGTCGACGAGGAAGATGAGTGAGGCGTGAGTCCGTGTACCGGCCTTGGGGGCAGATCCGCGTCAATTACGCTCTTGAACTCGCCTACAGGAGTGGCACTAGAGTTCCTTCCTTCTACGTTTGGTTCAGCCCTACCGATACTCCAATTGATCGCGCTGCCAGCTGCGAACGCAGCGAGCAGCTCATCGACTCCAAGGGTTGTAGCCACGCCGGTTGTGAGAACCGCCACAGCTATGCACTGTACGAGGTAGGCTTCCCGGCCGGTGAATCCTTTCTTTTCGGTATATTCCATGACGCGACTGAGCGCCCAGCCAAAGAAGGCACCAAGAGCGGTGCCCAGAAGAACCTGATCTATGAGTGCATGTCAGCCTTGGGTTCAGGGACTACCCTCGAAGGAGCCATCGCGCGTGAGATTGTGTACAAAAGTAATACTCACAGAGACATCCGATGACCATCCACTTCCCGATAGCTGTCCCGACGTTTGCTTCTATGAGCACATAGAAGGCGATAGTCAAGAAGGGGTAGGCCATCCCGTCATTGGAAGCCGACTCGGCCTCGATGAGTGAACGTAGCCGTCCGTGCACATTCTCTTCCGCAAACTTCCCTTCTACACGTCACATGTCAGCCATGATGTAGATACCTGATAAGATCATGACATACCGAGGATGACTGCACTGATGATCGGGTCCGTGGGCGTAAGGCAAGCAGAGATCAAGAAGCTTGCGACAATGCCCAGACGAGGTGATAGTGTGTATATTAGTACTAGGACATGCCGCAGGTTAGCCTCCGTTTACTCGCATTGCCAGTCTGAACAAGCGCCTACCAGCAGATATGAACCATCCTATGGCCATACTTGGGACGACCAGTACCAATAGACTCTTCACTGATCTGGCCATGTATGTGCGGGGTAGTTTGACGCCAATGGCGAAAAGACCAATGACGAGCACAAATCGCGTAATCTCGAGTGTGAGAGCATTCGCGTCCGACGTCCAGCTCCGCGGATTGACGATATTTGCACAGTGCGGACCTATAAGGATGCCGAATATAGTCCCGAGAACGACTTCATTGATATATAGCTGACTTTTGTGTGAGCTTCCGAGCGCCACGAGTACTCATCGAGGAGGCATACTCTCTCCTTCACGAGTAACGACACTGCACTGAACTAGGCAAGTATCTCAACGTCAAGCTCGAGATCTGAGATGACATAGAACGAACCGCGACGAGAAACCCTCCGATAAGCATATACGCATAACCGATTTCGCTAGGCTGATCAAGAGAAGCTTCAGCTGTGACCTGTGTCTGAAGAAGGACAGTCACTCACGTCTGCGAATTGCCAGTGCATAGAGTATACAGCCTGAGCGATAAGGGGGTGGGTGAGGTAGTACTAGCCAAGGCGGTCTGCGCCTCTTCAGTGGCTCGCCACAGCATCGCATGGCAGTACCGCGTCATAATAGTCTTCAAGAATGGTTGACAGGGTCCCACTTGCGCAAAACCAGCAGGCCGCGAGCCATTTGCAGCGTGTTGGCGATGGATCCACTCGGTTTCGGGCAGGAACAGCCCAGGAACACACGCGCTCGTCCAATTGACGCGCTGGTAACGACATGTGAAAAGGGTATGACATTGGGAGTGAGCGCGTCGTATATACAAGGTACCGAGTAGTATGGAGATGGTAGTGGTCGAAGATCAACCTCGTTCCGAACCACACGCGATGGCTCAGGGCCGCTGCGCATCTTCCCGCGCGGTCGCTAACCTGCTACTTACCATGGCCGTACAGTCCAGTCGCTGTCCTCTGCAACGTGCCTGTCGCTTTATGTATTCTGACAACCATAAGAACGCTGCGTCTCGCGCAACTCTGCCTTCAATGAACTCAATATTGCGTCCCTTGACTCCCTCCAGACGTTCAGCGCTCAAGCGCTCAAGCGGTGTCCGGCTAACCCAAACCCCGGCAACTCGATTCTCTCTCCCGACGCCACTTGGACGTCCGGAGTCTGACCGGTTTGCAAGAATCGCACATCATGCCTAGAAGAGAGCCTCTCGCAGGGTTGCGGTACAGGCCATTCGTGCGCGCCGAAGGCCCCCCGCGCCACCGAGGCGGCTTCTTACGTCGGACGCGCGGGCCAATCGTCGCGCTTCGCTCACAGGCATCACTGTCAGAGTGATGTAGAACTCAAATCGGTATATACCACACATGTCGAGCTCTACAACTCTCCGCAACCAATTCCAAGCAGTACTCTTGCGCACCCGAACCCTACTCTGATACAGCTGAATCGGACTCGTCCACGGAAGTTTCGTCTTCATCCTCGCCTATCCCCCACGCATCAGGGCTTCCTTTCACCTCTACGTGCCCTCCCAATGCCCTTTCCAACTTCTCCAGCTGCGCTAGAGAGACATGACAATACTCGAGCTCGAGACTCAACGCGGACGCGCCGATCGCCTTGCGCTTGACGAGCGCGCTCTCGAGCTTCATAGCCAGCCCGGCCCGTCCGAGCGGGTATGACAAGTGTGCATGTGTGACGGCGAGGCGTTTCAAGCGCGGCAGCGCTTGTGCATCCTCGGATATGTTCGAGAATGCAGAGGCGAAGGTGTAGCAACATGCACCCTCCACGTCCAAACCTTCGACACGCTGCAGTTCACGCAGTATGACGATCCACGCATCTTCACTTGCTACGAGGGTCGAGGTGGTGCAGATAGATAACGTTGTGAGGGAATGAAGAGGGTAGAGGCGCGTCACTTGAAGGAACGCGGTGGCGAATATGCCCATGGCGCGGATGATGTTCGAGGTCGTAGACACGGGTAGGATGTCGAGGGATAGCGAGAATGGTCCGCGCATCTCCTCGTCTCCGTTCTTCGGTGGAGAAGAGGACTCGTCTGTGAGAGACCAATGACACTCGGGTCGATCTGTTTGCCCATATTGAAGGCGAGGCTCTCGCAAAGCGTGAGGGGACGCCAATACGGAGTCTATCTGGACATCCAAAGACTCTAACATGACGGATGTGGGTCTGTCTCGCCAGACGTATCGATCAATGAGGCCGACGCTGCAACTCGCCGGCAGGCGCACACGGCGCAAGAGATCCGCGATCTCCACGGGATTCCCTTCGACTGCTAGTAGTTGAAGCGCGGCGAGGTTGACTGAACGATGTTTGTCGGCTGATGGGGCTGTCACTGACGCGGAGCTTGCCGGAAAGCAATTGCGGAGAACTAGCTCCTTCAATGGGCACCTGCTGAGACAGCCGAGCAGCTCGTCCATCGTGGGAAGAGAAGCACGAGCGATGTTTATGATAGAAATATGTGTGAGATCAGGATGAAAGAGCGTATTGCGCCATGTAAACTTGAGGTCGCCTTCTAAGGCCAGTCTCCGCAGTCGTGATACGGGCTCTGCGAATGGTTCGTCTGGAATCTCGATATCACCATCATATGGGGACGCCATAGAGTATCGGACGTTCGGCTCGGTGGATATCTGTAGGATCTCGAGCATCTCTGCCGTTTGCTGCTTGAGTGATGCCATCGCTGGCCTCAAGAAGTGAGCGGGTGCGTGAGTCAGGCCAAGACGGCGTGTGTGCGGGAGATGTTTGAGCGCCTCGTCCACCATGTCGTTTGTGTGATAGGAGCCATAGAGGTCCCACCTGACCGTGACGGACAAGGGAGCCCGTCGCGCGCGCTCGAGGAATACGGGGGTCCATGACAACCGGTCAAAGCGTATGTCGGTCCAGATCAAAGGACACGCCAGAGAAAGATACCGCCATCGGCGGCAAGTGTGCGTTATGTACATCCAGGTATAACCAGGGATGGCATTTCCTGTGCTCAGGGCCGCACCCGAGCCCGCGCTGTATACCCAATTAGAAGGTACTATTGCTGGGAAGTAGAGGAGGATGCCCAAGAGTACATCGTCTGGCAAGCGTTGTATAGGTGACGGTGCGAGTATCATGCTACAGGAGCTCATGGGGATGGTTGTCACGCCACGAGGGTGTTCGATGTATGTGCTCAGGAGCGAGGTGGTGGTTCTGTTCAACGCGACGTTGACGCGCCGCCGCCGACCGTGACGAGATGTTCACTTTGGCAACCGGCCTTTCGGCCCGATGTTCACGCAGCTGCTAAGCTCGCTAGTCTATGCATGGGAGTCGACAAAACGTGATCGCATAATAGATATGCAATTTACAGTACCACAACACTATGAGATTGTATACAAGGCGCTCTACAAGAACAGTGTAAAATCCCAGCTCCTGTTAACCCTCAAGATCGGCATCATTGGCATTGTCTCCTACACCCCACGTCTCCGGATCTCCAGTCACAAGGACCCGGCCACCAAGTGCCGTCTCTACCTGGAATAGCTGCGCGGGCGATATGCGACAATTCCAGAACTCGACGTTCGGCCTCAGAGCGCCAACCTCATTGCGCATGTGAAAGGCATTCTCCAGTTGTATTGACAATCCGCTTGGCCCCAAAGGATACCCAAAATGAGCGTGCCTTATATCTATCTGCCTGAGGTATGGTGCAATTTGCTGGTCAGGGGCGAGCAGCGCAAAAGCGAGGCCAAAGGTATAAGAGCAATGACCCGAAACCTGGATTATTTCCAAGCGACGTAGCTCGCGCAGCAGGACTACCCAGGACTCCCGCGTAATCAAAAGCGGGTTCAACGCCTGAATGGATAAGATTCGAACGGATCCGAGGTGGTACAGTGGTGATATCCGGATTAACGCCCCGGAGAAGGTATTCGTATTGCGGATATGTTCCTCGAAAGTCGTGGGTCGCATCTGAGACTCTAATGTCAACGTGAACGATCTGGGTCCAATGAGATACCCGCTGGCATCGCCTGAGGATCCGGATGATTCCGTTTTGAGTTTCGATAGAGTCCAAGTGCAATTGTATGGCCGATACTGCATGACCTGTAGCGAGAGATCTTGCGACGCATAAGAACTCCTTGACAGTACATGGTCGACTTCTGTGGCCAGCGCTTCTGTCGTCGCCGCCGACGCGCTGTGCGGCTCGTGTTGATTCCCGAGTTCGACACGGCAGTCAGCGGGGATGTGCAAGCGGCGCAACAGATTGGCCACGTTCACGGCAAGGTCTGAAAGCCTGATGACCCGAAGAGTAGGTATGTCCACGAATGGGTGACCGTCCGGCAGAGGCACCACTGGCGTTTGAGTAGCATGCCGGGGAAGGCATCCATGGAGAAGCAATACTTCCAGAGGACATGCGCGAAGGCAGCTGAGTAGTTCATCCATGGTGGGAACCGACGCACTGTCGGAGATAGCGAGGCATAGGTGTGTTAGGTGTGACGCGAAGAGTTGGCTACGCCAGGTAATGCGGAACCGGCCATTCATTATCAGCCGTCGTAGCCGCGATGTAGGGCGCGCGAATAGACGATCTGGCAATTCGATGGTAGAGATAGACGCTCCAAGCGTGATCTTCTGTTCTTCGACATTTGAGAGGTGTAAATGCTCGAGAAGATCGGCCCCCTGCTGGCCAAACGCGGCAACCATGCGCTCTACGAAACCAGCGGGCGGATTGGAAAGTCTGACGAGACGAGTGTGGGATAGATGCTCAAGCGCAAGCGCCACCACATCATCGATATAATGTCGAGAACCATCGCGTTTCCAGTCCACATCGATGTCCAAGGGAGCCTGTCGTGCGCGCTCGAGAAATCTAGGTGTAGAACACGGCGGTTTGAAGGATATACTGGTCCATATGATGGGGCAGCCGAGAGAGATACTGCGCCAGCGACGGCAGACATGGGTAACATGCAGCCATGTGAGATCGGGTATAGCTCCCTGATTGGGGAGCGTTGTATTTGGCCGTTGAACACAAGCCGTGGGTATTGCCGGGAAATAGAGGAAAATCATGACGAGGATATCGTCGGATAGTCCGTCAATCGGACATCCTTGCCCATGGGACATTGTTCCGCCTTTGCCGAAAGATGCTGGCTCGATAGATGGTGGTATGAGGCCAAGAACGAACGCGACGCGCGTGAAGATGGTGGTTTGGTGTCCAAGCCCTTCAATCGCGGAGCGTGTGACTGGTACGGACTTCTGCGGCTCGCAAGCTTGAAGACTCTTGTGCGCGACCACCACCACCATTTCCAGTCTCTCATCTCGCCGCAGATATGGGCGGCCCAAATCTCGAAGTCTTCAAGTTCGGCGTCTACGTATTCTTCCCAGTACTCGTATACTGGCACTTTGGTGATCCGGAGTGGTACGAGCGCAATGTCTCCCCAGTGCGTAGCCCCATATTCGCGCAGTCATATTGCACTAACTTGATGTGTCGTATAGTACAAAGAGAAATTGTACCCCGCGGAGAAGCATAACTTGAAGCATTTCCCGAAGGATAAGACGGCCGTACAGGAGACATTACAAGCAGAAATTGCAGCGGCAAGAGCGGCGAAGGGGCTTGACCCGGCGACGGCACAACCTTCGACAGATGCGCCTGCTGCTAGGAAGGGGTGGTTGAGCTATATTGGGCTTTGAGTCATCCACAGTACGTTCTCGGCCACTCTACATGCAGACTAGTGCTGAGCTGTTGCTGCAGAATTCATACGTTTCACTATCACTTTGCTCTCGCATCTGTACCTGTATGTCTACGCTTGCATATCACAACTCCATCTACGCTCCTGTCAAATTAGTCATCCTTGTCTATACTACTCCCAGCTAATATCCTACGCCCATTTCTGTGCCTGGATCTCCTCTCCCGACCCCAGCCTGACGGTATACGCCGGCGAGGCATCGGCCTCAATGATCGCCTTATACAGCGCTAGGTCATCAAGTGAGATCTTGAATCCACCGCAGACGATGAACACCAGCACAGTCTTCCGTCCGGAAACCGGTGGAACCAGCGCCTTGAGGAGTTCCGGAGAGTACGCTGGGGCCAGCGTCGTTGAACATGCCAGCTCCACCAAGGTCTTGTGTTCGTCTGCGCAAAATGCTCGTCAAAAGAAGAACTCGTACTCCGGCTCAAGTCATCAAGACGTACCTGCGAACAACCTCGAGATGTGCATAGCCATCTCGTCTGGTATCGTCGCGCAGCGAACCTCGCCTGCGCGGTCCAATGCCAACTTGATAACCCCGGCTGCTGCCTCGGTAGCTCCGAGAGAGGTCGCCTTCGACGTGAGCTTCTTCGCTTTTGCGACTTTCACCCCATGGGTTTCATCGGTCCTGATAGTGATGTTAGAGGGCACCACCGCATCGGGCCGCCTATTCGCGGCCATGGCCTCATAGAAGACGTTACAGCCGTGTGTCTCGAGCGCCACGAGAGGAACTGTACGTATCATCAGTCTCTGTACGGTGGCAAAGAGTCATTTGCTGACCCTTGTCCCAGCCAGCGCTCTTGCAGCCGAGGATTATACCGCCCAGAAGACCTGCGCCGCCAACGCTGCAGAAGATCGCATCCGGAACAACGTCGTCCGGCAACTGCTTCTTGATTTCGCCAACCATATAGGAATGACCCTCCCAGACCGTCGGATGCTCGTACGCCGGCGCAAGAACACTATTCTGCCTGTGAACATCCGGCTTCACCAATATCACACATCGATAGACCTACGCGTTCTCTTCTCTCTCGACGGCTTGTACAGCAGCTTGTACAGCCTCGCTATACACTGCGCCGGCCACTACAACCTCTGCACCGAGGTTCACGAGGAACTGTTGCGTGCGCGCATCGACGCCTTCCGGCAAGAAGATCGTGCATTTCACGCCCAATGTTTGGGATGCAGCAGCTGCTGCGATCCCGGCGTTACCACCAGATGCACAGAAGACGTGCAGACTAGGATCGCGCGCTTCGACTTGCTTCTGGATGAAGTGGGAGATGCCGCGCGATTTGAAGGCATGGCCGGGCTGGAGGGTCTGTGCGGAGGCGTTGGGTTAAGTCAGGTAAGAAGTGCACACTCGATTGCGATCGCGGCACTGACCTCCATCTTCAGATATACTGCATAGTCATCGCCCAGACGTTTGGATATGTGTGTCGAGTAGATGAGAGGCGTCTCGCGCCACAACTCATTCTTCGTGTCGGGCATGCTGGTGGTTGAGAGCAAGAGTGCTGAACGTTGAACTTGTGCTGCGGTAGTCGTGGATGACTCGGGACGTCCGTCGGCCGTATATATACACGCGGTCACATGTTCTACGATCTTCTAGACGTAGAGATTATTGCGGTTCTGTTTGTCATGGTGTATGGATTCGAAGCGCAGATCGAGTAGAGAGACGCTGTGATCGGAGTGCTTTGGAAGCGCGATCAGAGAAACCCGTGCTCCGCGGAGTCCGACGAGGACCATGTCAGCCCGATATCAACCTACGCCATCGGTGCATGCCATACAGTAGGCCATACTTCGGCTTGTGCGCGGAACGTAAAGAGGTTTGAAGCATCTACGCATCCTTCATCTTGGTGCGTAATCAGGTATACCCCGACGAAGTACGGACTCGCAGTCCGTAAATATCAGCGTTTGGCGCAGTAACAGTCGGTACGGCTACAACATTCGATTATAATACAAACGTCCAACCTCAATCTTACAGCTTCTGTACAGCCCACAAATCATCCCCAAGATACGTGACAGACTCGACACCGACGTCCTTGTTGACCTTCTTCATCGTCTCCGTGCTCATCTTCATCAACCCAACACCACAGGGATGCTCTTTGCCTTCTGCGAAGATAGCCACAGCCTTCCCTTCCCCGATCTCTTCCTCTGCTGGTGGAAGATAGCCGCCCTTCGATGTCAAACCCGGACACATCATGTGCGCGCCCGCGAGAAGGAAGCGGATGGCGCCGCGGTCGATGCCGACACGGGGGAGAATGAAGGGATCTAGAAAAAGGTTAGCAACGATACGAGTATAACAGGTATGAGAGTACATACACTTGTGTAGTAACCTCAGAGTCGGGTAGAACGGCCCGTCAAAGTGCTGGAAGAACAGCGGTTCTCCGTGAAGGGTGTAGATAGCGATATGTTCTCTGCTGCCCATCGCGAGTCTTAAGCACGTATTTCATTGCTCGAGAATCGTAAGTCACGCACCACTTGACATGTGTAATGGACTCCTTCTTGGGCCAGATCGACTCGAGCGTCTCGGCGTCGATCTTCCATTGGGAGAGGATGCTCGCGCGAATGGTGCGCTGCACCGAGGATTTTGGAGGCGTCTGCCCGGAAACGTCCGATGTTGCTGACCACCTAGGGCGCGAGTCTAAGCATCATTCTACGAGTTGAGGGTTGGTGTGCGTACTTCTTGAACATGGTGGTGATGGTCAATGTTGAGAGGATCGGTGCTTCGGTGAGCGCGGAAAGATCTCAACAGCGCATCATCCTTGCCGGCGCTTGTTGGCTTTGCACAACCACCGTTCCCGGCATGCGCATATCTTATGGCATTTCCATTTGCTATCTGAGACTCTGCGCTCTCAGCGCAGGATGTTGAAGTCGACATCAAGCACAAGACGTCAAGCTTTCGAAAGACAGCCGTTCGTTTTCAAGTAACCCGGGTATAAGTATGATATCTGTACACTTTAGGCGGTACCAGCCTTCCTCATCTCCGCCCACTCTTCCGGCATCATGGTGAACATCCACTCCTCACCCCACTCACCCTCCTCAGCAGGAATAAGACGTCCCTTCCACCCCATCTTCTTCATAAGATTCACCATCGGCTCGTTCTTCGCCAACATCGTCGCCGTGACCTTATCCAACTTCATCACGTCAAACGCATAGTCCGTCGTAAGCCTCATAGCCTCGGCTCCATATCCCTTCTTGCGCGCAACCGCGTTAAGCATGACGCCCGCGTCCCCCGTACGCTTTCCCGTCTCCTTATCAGTCGCGATATGGCCCATGCCTCCGACACCCTGCACCGCGCCGTCGACGACGACGACGATAGAGACGGCTCCGGGCTTCTCTTCTTGCTGAGACTTCTCCCAACGCTGGATCATGCCTTCCACCCTTTCGACGGTAAACTTGGCGGGATTGCTGACGACAGGATCGTATTCGGTGTTGGCAGGGTTGCCGAAGACTTCGCGGACGGCGGCGACATCGTCGAGGGTTGCGGTGCGGAGCTCGAGTTCGGGGTAGCGGGTTGATCGGAGGGAGATTGGTGCCATGGCTGTGGGTAGTGTGGATGAGCTGGCTAGTCTGCGCGTCAAGTGCGTGAGTCGGCGGTGGGATTGCGGGCACGGTCAAACTCAAACTCACGTGGGCGAGTTGAAGCGGGCTGCTATACTGGGCGGTCCCGGTGAACTACACCCATCGTTTATATCGTTTCACCACGTCGGGACCCTGGTTCGCGCTACCGCAAAACCGCATTCACTCTGACTCGCGATCACCTGGATAATAGCCGGCGATAAGAGAAGACGGGACCGGATGGTGATCGTCATTCACCGTTGGATCACCGCATGGACGACCGGAACAGAATCAACTTCAACCCAAGATGTGCGCAGTTGCTAGCGGTTGTGCGTGGTATCCAGTATTGTATAGACAGCAGGGATGTTATACATTCAGTCTGACGCCAAGTTCACTCTAGGTCCATAAGCAGCAATAGCTCGAATGTATCATCACTTTTCGGTGCAGTAGTGCCCCGTGCTCCTCTTCCAGCTAATAACCCCTCATCACTCTCAGGTATCGCCCAATTCAAGGACTCCGGCCGTCTCCGGGCACAAAACACATACGCATCGGCATCCTCTCCGAAACGTGTCCATCCCGCCTCTCCGCGCACGAACACCGGCTCGAAGGTAAACCATAGACCGAAAGCGTTCCAAAACGCCGTCTCTTTCGCAAGGGAGCGAATTTTGTAAGATATCGTTATGAGTGGAGAAGGTGAGGAAGAAGTGAGTTCGAGGAGAGAGCGTAGGAGTGGGGCGAGTAGCTCGGGAAAGTAGACCTAGTTGAGGGGAACAGTTCAGCGATCTAGGCATCGGGGAGGCGTTTGAACACGCACCAAGTCGCTACAGACGATATGAGTGATGGCTCTCCCGTCTTTTACAATCTCATCCAGGACATCTTTCGCGTGTTGTGCGTTGCCCCAAGCGAGCGGGGTCACTATCACATCTGCAGAGCGCAGTGACTCCTGCAATCGCAGATTCTCTTGAAGTAGGTCGCAGACTTCAGGTAGATCGGTCAAGATGATGCGGTCTTCCTGGCGACCAAGCGCCAGGAGCCTCTCGGCGAGCATGAACCCTGTCACTCCCATCCCAGCTCCAAGTTCCACGACCGTCATCGGCTCAGCGGGAAGATGAAATGGAGGTTCCAAGACGGACGAGTCGAGTTCATGAAAGTATCGCAGTAGGATGTAGGCAGCTTCCCTGATCGCGGTATATTGATGCGAGGTCGCGGAGTGATAAGTGCGCATCTATTCACCAGACTCTTCCCGCGATACCATAGCGTTGAATAGCAGTCGTCTGAGCGTCTGCGCCGAAAGCAGATGATGTAGTCGATGCAGCGAAACTGCCATCTTCCGTAGAAGGGCTGATCGCGAGGTCACGAGGGAAGTTCGGGTCCATGGCTTTGACGGGCTCAGCAAAAATAGTGATTAGATACTGTGAAGGACGTCAAGATCGTAGTATGTGGAATGCGCTCATCGCGGTCTGAGAGAAATCGCGCATGGCGGGATACGGCGCCCAGACCGGAGGTTCGGAGCCGAAACGCGCACACGTGCCACCAAACAGAACGCGCGCCGTCGACGCGTCCCGTCACTTCCATCCCACCACAACAGCCGTCCGCCAGCCCTCACGCGCCGCTCGCCCCTCGTACAAGTGAAAGCCGCCCGTGACTCTACCTCGTGTCAGCTGTCTGCCTGATGACCAACAACGCTCCTGGTCCATCCCCCTGTCCCGCACGTCGCTCCGTCGCGTCGTCCCACCCGGCTTAGCCACAAAGATACATCTGCTAACCCGGATGATTTCTAACCCTAAGTCCTTGTAACTTCTATGCTTCCTCTCGGCTTCGGTTGCCTCGTACTCCGGTCGGCAGATTGCGAAGGTGCCCGCTCTGCAAGTCATCTCCGCGTCGCGGTGGTTCGAATCTCGGGCATTAGTGCGGAGGGCCTATCATGGGCCCCCTCCTTCCTCTTTCTCGCATGCAATGACCTCTTCGTGCACACTCTTACGTGTCTCCGGAACGTGAGAACCGGCAGGGTCGTTCTTGTCGAAGCATGTGCACGTACAGAAGTCTGCATGCACCGTCTAGGGACCCTTGGCTCCGTGCAAAGCACGAGATCAAGGCAGACGGCGCCGGAAATGCACGGCTTTATGCACTATGCCTAGAGAGGAACCCCTGTTTGGCTCACCAGAGACACGTCGGGGGAAGGGACCCTATGGGTGCTGCATGTTGAGCGAGCACGCCACATACGAGGTGGAGTTGCGGCTCGTTAACGCCTTCTGCAGCCGGGCTCACGTACAGACCTTCGGGTCATCCGCCCGGTGGCGCCTCGTCTGGAGCTCTTCGGCCACTACCTTCGTGCGAATGAACTTGCCTCGCTGTCAATCAATACGAGGACCGCCTACACACAGAGCATAGAAGTCTGAGTCCTCGGACTCCCCACCCGGCGCTCTTCCGCATGCTTAGGCGCCGGGGCCGTGCCGCAGACTGTCTGGTCTTCGCGACCGGACATATGCAGCACGGCAGTGCCTCCGTGCACAAATTCAACGTGCATGGCTTCGCCGACCAAGACCCGCGATACAACGGGCGGTCGTGCTGGGACCGACGGGATACACACAGGGCAGCAGCAGCGAGATTTCGAGTCCGGCGCTTTCCGCGCCATGTACGAGTGAAGGATATGACGACCGTGATATGGTCGTACGGTGTGGTGGGAGTACAGGATCGGTTTAATCCGCGCTGACAGTCCTTTCATGACAGAAAGGTTGCGCTCAACATCTTCAGGCGAGCTCTTGTGCGCGTACTTCGACCTGCGCCGTCATCACGGACTCTAGAAAAGCGCCTTTATGCGCGCCCAACGTTGACGCCGCCGTAGGTGCAACCTCGAGTGGCCGTCCCGGAACGCACGTATCTTCAAGTGTTCGCCAAGACCCGCCTCCTCGAGCGACTTTCGACCGCCCTACTCGCTCCTTAACGCTTCTGTCGGGCAAGCCACCTGTCACTTCCCTCGGATCAGCCTGCGACCCATCACGCGCGCCTTCCGCATCGTAGCGCTCCTCGTGCGAAACTCGTCCAGCGTTCGTCCGTTGCAACGCTAGCCCGTGTCACGAGGTTGTACGTTCTTTCGGGATACGTGCAATAGAGATGCGCTCTCGCTCTCGTACATAGGCGATGCGATCTGCCGGATGGACAAGAGCTGGCGGGCGCGAATAGTCGCGCCCAGTCGTCGTGCTCGGTCCGTATGCATCGGCTCTGCCGACGTCGAACCAGCCTTCATGGCAACATACAGAGCACACAAGCGATATCTCACCTGAGCGCACTTTCGGAATACGCACGCGATGGCGAGGTGGTCCGAGCCAAGTGAGAGGTGCCGACGAAGCACACACATGAGGACGAGTAGTCGTTGGCGAAACGAGTTCGGAGGTGGCGAGCGAGCCGATAACCTGCGCCGGGGAATGGCTTCAAGGTGCGACGGTGTCCGTCGGAGGAGAATGTGGTGGTGGGCGGTTTGGAGCAGGGGTCGGGGGAGAGCGCTCGAGTTTGGTCGTTTACGACGTGTTGAGAGCGGGTATGCCTTTGGGCATGGAAACTGGCCGATCCTGGCTTACCCAATTTTTGCACCTTCTACCTTCGTGGTAGTCTTCTGCGTTTCTTAATTCCATACATCATGCCCCTTGATCACTAGCCGAAGTCTTACATGCTATCCGCGATGTACATACAGGGTATCAATGGTATTGTGCAGTCGTCCGCGCACAAGGCATGAGCGCTTGAGCTGTGATGCCTTCCCGCGATCAAGCCGGAAAAGGCTTCGACGGCGTGGGTGGTGTGAGCACAAGCTTGACGCCTCCCGCCGGTCCCTCATCGCCTTCAAGCGTGATCACAATCGGCTGCTCCGGTACAAGCTTAAGTGAAGCGAACGAGTGCGGCGGCGTATACGTGCTCAGCCTCCCAACGAACGGCCTTGATGGATCATAGCCAGGCGCGCGCAAGTGACGCGGAGGCGAGTCGGCGAATTGATCTTCATTGTACTGGATGAACGTGCTTTCGCGGTCTACTGCGGTGGGCGCGAAGCGCGTGTGGCGGATTCCGCGGGTGAGCGCGCAACGCGCTGTGATGAAGACGAAGGCGAGGATGCCGAAGATGACAGATATGCTGCCGAGGACGACTGAGTACAAGTTAGTGTATGCCGATGGTAGATCGGGAAGGTCAATCACTGGTTGTTGCGGTAGTCATCGCGACGAGTAAAGGAGTGTGTGGTGAAAGAGTGTGGGGCTCCGCGCGCGCAGGGAGATAGTCTGTGGTGCACCTGTGGTGGTTGTAATTGGGTTGGCTGTCGCCAACACCTAATAAGGAGCGTCAAGATAGAGGTTAGTCTATGGTCGCCATTGTTGCCAGTCGCCTCTGACGTATGGCTGCCGGAAGTGGCACCAGGCGCGCACGCCTGGTGATCGCGCCGATGGATGGCAGCTTCGATACACGAACATTGATCAACGCGCAGCTACTTTATGGGTAGTAGTACATCACGCATGCGCTCGTATGCATATGGGTTCATACACCGCAATAGTCAAAGAACAACAAGCTTAGAGACTAGGGCGTCTTTGCTTAGAATTTGCTCCTTCAGCTTCTCGACGTCGCCGAGGTCCACGGTAGCGTCGATGAAGCTATTCGCGGGACGATACATCAGCAGCATGCTTCACTAGGACATCATTCGAGTACGCACCGTCCGCTCAACCAGTCATACTCTCCAGAAGCGAGCGCGAGCGCGGTCGCGGCGGCTAGCTCAGGTTTGTCGATGAACAACTTCTCCGGCGACCCTGCATCCTACGTCAAGCGCATGAGCATGTATGCCTTTCAGCCGTATCCGTCCTCAATCCGTCCTCACCCGAGACAAGTCGGTCCAAACGGCGCCGGGATGGATGGCAAAGCTTTTCACGGTACCGGCGTATTCTGTGGTCGTCGAAGATGGTGAGCAAGTGCGAACGCCACAGATCGCATTTGGATCGGTCTTACCGAGAGCGACGAACTCGACGAAACGGTTCAATACCTGTTTGCTGATGGCTATACATAACCCTTAGTTACCTGCCTAGTTCAATCAAATCGAAAGGAGGATACCGTAATCAGATGTACTGGCTGAACGTAGGAGGGCGCTCCAGGAGCTGATCACAATGACGTATCCATTCGTCTTCTTGAGATGCTTGAGCGCAGGTCTACAATGGGTCGAAGTTCATACCAACGCGGAAGACATAGTGTGGGATGAGGACGTACGCGACATAGTTCACTGTTCCAAGCAAGTTCACTTCTAGAGTGCTCCACCACTGCGTCACATCAGCCTCTCCGATGACTAGATCATATCGCGAGTTAACAATGCCGCCGTCGCCGCCTCCGTGGTACAGCACTCACGAGCAGGCTTGCTGGCGACGCCAGCATTTGCTATGACCACGTCGATCTTGCCGAAGTGCGCAACCGTGTCTTCGACGATCTTAGCTGCGGTCTGCGTATCCCTGACATCCTCCGCAAACGCGAGAACTTCTACGTCGAACTCGTCCTGTAACTTCTCCTTCACGTCTTCGAGGCCAGAGTCTCTGCGTGCGATCAGCGCGAGTTTGGCTCCTGCGCGCGCAAAGAAGGTGGCAATAGCCGAACCGATCCCTTTGGACGCTCCCGTAATCAAGACGACTTTGCCTGCGAACGATTTGTGATCGAAAGCGAATTGAGGGTCTACTGCGGGATACACGCTGCGTAGCATTAAGCATCCGAGGCAAACCAGCAGTGCGAGACGAGCTTACTCGTGGCGGTCGGTCAGTCCTTGAAGCCTCTCATCAACGCCCTTCGTCTTGAGGAACTCCTCGAGCATCTCTTCCACACTCGGTCCTGACATGCTGGAAGTAAGATGCGCGAAGCTTGAGCGAGGGTGAGCGTCAGGGATGACTGGCGTAGGCGCCCTGCGGGCTTCGCTTTATGTGTTCGATGTGCTTGCGTGGCCCTAACCTCACGTATGAAGAGTGAGCAAACAACACGGAGATGCGAAGGGCACATCAGTCTTAGGTCCAAGGTGACGCGGCCTTCGAAGCTGACGCGGCTCTCGTACGGATGCGAATGCAGAAGTCGAATGTTAAAAGGGGGAACTCGAGTCACAAACGGACGTCATGCGCGCATGCATCAGCTGATGGTAATCCTGCATCAAGACAGTTGAAGGAAGAACACAAGTTGGTGATTGTAAAGGACAAGGGCGGCTATGAAGGCGAACCTCCTACAGGCCACGCGATACCGCGTACGGGAAGGCAGTAAGGTCTCTTCGCTCAGAGAACGACAAGCTTGGAGACGAGCGCGTCGTTGCTCAGAATCTCCTCCTTCTTCTGCTCGACCTCACCAAGATCCAACGTTGAATCAACGAAGCTGTTACGAAGCCAACTTCAGCTCACGGCTACCCGTCTCGAATAGGGATGCACACGTACCGTCCGCTCAGCCAATCGTACTTCCCGGACGTCAACGCCAGAACAGTAGCGGCAGGGAGTTCGTGCTTGTCGATGAAGAAGACCTCAGGGAGGCCAGCGCCCTATCATCGTAGAGTGAGTACAGACGATACGAACCTATCGACTGATTCTACCTTTGGCATATCGGTCCAGACTGCACCAGGGTGGATGGCAAAGGCCTTGACGGAATCGGCGTACTCTGGTGGTTTCGTACTCTGTCAGCTTAAGCAATCGCGACGCTCAAGATTGGTCTCACCGAGCGCGACGAACTCGATGAAGCGGTTCAGTGCCAGCTTACTGATGCCTATACGACCGCGTCAGTACGATGCCCTGCTCGTTCGAAGTGAATATCTTACAATAGTCCGACGAAGAGGGCTGACGCAAGAGCGCGCTCCACGAACTGACCCCGACTACGTATCCGTTCGTCTCCTTGAGGTGCTTAAGGGCAGGCCTAGCATAATGAGCGGTGAGCACCGTGCACATGGACTTGAAAAAAGCACACACCCGACGTAGTTCAAAGTCCCAAGCAGATTCACTTCCATGGTGTTCCACCAGCGCGATATATCACGGTCTCCGATAGCTACACCAGTTGCACGGCACGTTAGCCCCCCAAAGCGCTGTAGTGATGTGGCACTCACGAGCAGACTTGTCCCCAGTACCAGCATTTGCTACAACCACATCGATCCTGCCAAAGTGATCGAACGTCTCCTGTACGGCCTTCGCAGCGGCTTCCGTATCCTTCACATCCTGCGCAAAGGTGAGAATATCTAAGTCCGACTCTTGCTGGATCGTCTTCTTGACCGAGTCGAGGTTGGACGCATCGCGTGCGACCAGTGCGAGTTTCGCTCCTGCGCGCGCGTAGAAGGTCGCTATGAGGGGGCCGATCCCTCTTGATGCTCCGGTGACCAGGACGACCTTGCCATCGTATGCTTTCGTGCTGAACGCGGTAGCCGGGTCGATCGCTGGATAGACGCTATATGGGCGTCAGTGCATGATCAAGCTCGATGGAAGTGTAGATACACGTACTCGTGGCGATCGGTAACGCCCTTGAGCCTCTCATCTATACCCTTCATCTTCCAGAACTGCGCAATCATCTCTTCAATGTTAGACATCGTTTAGGTCGAGTAGGCTGGGGTGTGCGAAGCGTGGAAGTCGGGCGCAGCGGACAAGCTCAGCGGCAGCGGCGATCTGAAGGCGTTGCGGAAAGGAGTATATATGTGATTGCGTCTGCGTCTCCCACACACGAGAGACATGTTAGTCAGAGGATAGGCTACAGGTTCTCGCCTGGTCTCTCAAAGATATACTGGCTCGTTGGTTCGCCGTTCAGTGACGCAACGTGTAGAACCTTTCGGTTCCGGAGTACCAGGGTGTACCTTGAGACACAATATGTCTGGAGTTTAGGAGGACAGCCATCGGCCGGAGATGTCACTCCAGACCTGTACCATCGCCAAGTGCCATACCGCAGTATGACATGGATACATAAGGATATGCCTATGTGGTGGTATGGGACAAGGATGACCGGTCCGATTCCGGCCGCGCCAATATATTCGCGGTCCACGTGGAAATTCGAACTTGTCAGCTCGCTCACGCTTTGACTCTTCCGTTGCTCACCCTTGCGCGATCCCGAAAATCTGCACCTCCAAATCCGAGCCTCCGCACAGGATGCCTCTTCACCAAACTCGTCGCTCTACACTGACGCCATCCCGCCACCCTCTCCGTCAACCATAATCCCAACATAAAATGGCGACCAACATCACTTTCCACCCTGGTCAGTCTTCCCGCACGCGCCTGGAAGCCTGCGAGCGGTCCTAACGCGGACCCATGTGCACCAATAGGCTCAGTAGCGGCGACGGAGCGCGCAGATCTGCTTAAACAGAAGGGTGTCACAATATGGTTGACAGGCCTAAGCGCCAGCGGCAAAGTGCGTTCTCCATCCAGTCTATGAACTACTCGAACAGGACCAGATTCTGACCGGGCTTTAATCTATACAGTCGACGATCGCATGCGCACTCGAACAGCACCTCCTACACCTGCACAAGTTCTCGTACCGCCTCGACGGCGATAACGTGCGTTTCGGCTTGAACAAGGATCTCGGCTTCGACGAAAAGTCTCGCAACGAGAACATCAGGCGGATCGGCGAGGTATGTGCCTCTGCTTCTCCGTCGTGCTGTTTCCATGCACGTTCCGTGTACTCAACGGTGCGATTGTCCTAGGTCTCGAAACTGTTCGCGGATGCAGCATGCATCGCTATCACCGCTTTCATCTCGCCGTACCGTGCCGACCGCGCCGTCGCACGAGAGATCCACGATAAAGCCGGGTTGGGATTCGTAGAGGTGTTCGTGGACGCGCCGCTCGACGTCGTAGAGCAGCGCGATCCTAAGGGGTTGTACAAGAAAGCGCGCGCAGGAGAGATCAAAGGTGCGTGCTTCGATCTCACGAAGCCGCTCTAAAATTTGCTCGCAACTGTGTTCTATGTTCGTACTTGGCGCTAACCCAATTGCAGAGTTCACTGGCATCTCTGCGCCGTACGAGGCGCCCGAGAAGCCGGAGATCCACATCAAGACGAACGAAGTCGATGTTACTGAGGCGGTCAAGATCATCATGGAATATCTGACCGCTCAGGGATACGTCTCATGAGCGCGAGAACCACAAAATGTACAACAGCGCAGTGTGTATGCTATGTATCTGGACCAATTAGACTGACCAGGCGAATCATTCAATTGAGCCTGGGTGAACTTGCAGGACGCCGACTTCTGAACTGAACATGTGAGTGTAACGGGGCCTGTACCACCCTCTCCTTGTGAGACCCGTCGCTGCGAATTTACGCCGCATCTGGCATACGGACCTTGCGGGTCGTAACAACGTGAGCTCGGATAACATGAAACACGCACTGAAAGCTTCAAAGTGGCGGCGCGAAGCCATCCTTCCTACACTTCCTGCACTCACCCATGCAAAGTTTTGAACTTCCGCCTGGGACAGCCCACCGCTTCGTGTGCTCCGTAGCGCTCGGCCGACACGGCCGCTGCACCCGCCGCTTCTCTACGAGCCACGCGCTCCTCGCCTTGCCTAAACAGAGCCTGACTCAACTTCACCGCCCAACTCTCTTTTCCATGAACGTCCCAAAGCAGAAGTCGATCGCACACCCGTGCCTCTTCCTACCATCGGCCCGATCCGCCCTTTCGATCTATAGGGCCATAGGGTAACCAAACACTCCAACTTCGGCTTCGCCCACTACTGGAAGCGTACAATAGAAGGTCTTCCTTTACGCTCACAACTCACAAAGAAGCGACACTTCTCCGCACCTGGCGTCTAAATGCCATACCAGGCCAACCAGGCCGCTCGTGATTTCTCGCTCAATGGCACCTCTGCGCCCCGATCCTCGAAAAGCCCAAGGTTCACTCACCCCGCGCAGGCGCAGCGCGCTAGATGAATTGTAGACCCCCGCTCGGCAGGTCCCGTCACGGTCGACCCTGTGGCCCTCCGCCAAAAGGTCGCACAAACAGCACCTTCCGTCCGATGCGATGCCTAGTTGAGGGTTTCTCGGCTCAGACCCCGCCTGCGCATGCGGTCTCGCAAGGCCTTGAACACACGTTGGTCTGACCGAGTCTACTTGGCCGCGCAGGATTAAATTATTTGATTACCTTTGCCGTGTACGTGCCGACGCGGATCTCAATGTGGCCGCCACAAGCCACAACGAATCTGGGGTGCTCGAGATTGCTGATCGCGCACTGCGGGGGAAAAGCTTGTGCGCTACCCCATTCGTTTCGAGTGGGCGCAGTGGGTAACTTCTCTCTACTGTGTACAGTGCATAGCAGAAACCATACAGCACTCGTACAACATCCGCAGCGAACGCGTGAGATGAGACGGAGAAGTTGGGTTCGCGGTTCCCGCGATTGAACGAGATTGAGCGCCCAAAGGGATCGGGGTCGGCACCGAAGATCAATTGCGGGGCATGCGACCCCGCCTGGCAGGGCACCTGTCCGCGGATTGATTTAGAGTCTCAGGAATGCGCGGGTCTTGAATGAAACCCAGATGAACTCTATGCACGGGCGCATCGTGCAGTGGGCAAGTTGCGGGGATATAAGATCGTTGTACGTCTTATGTACATACAGTAAAGCTACTAGTACTTAAGCACAATCGAATACACGCGCACACACGGACCCTAACCAAGCCCGATAACCGATTCCAGTTGAACCTGCCACGCATGGCCGAACAGACCATTCCGATCCATTCCCTTTGCAGAGTCTGGGAAGAAGTTCCTATCACCGGCCTTGCGGATCTACACGCCCTGCCACACGACAAGCCATCGGGTTACCAGAGCGATGTTGGGTGATCTTCAGCCGAAGAAGATGCAGATGAAAGAAAGGAAGAATCGAAGCCTGCTTGCAATCGCATGCTGCGTGAAGAGCGCGCGCGCCGGTGCTACGCCGCAATCTTCCTGGCAGTGCATCGGTACACGCATACAGAAAGAAAAGTACAGACCTATGCGGTTGGAAATGGGATGCGCAGACAGCTTCCTGATGCGAGGTGTCGGATTTAGCTTTTACGCTAGTGTATATATGGTGAACGATATCGTACTTTGTACAGACAAGACAGACACGACGAAGCGATGCGAGGTCAAATGTCCATATGGGCAAGAACGTGGCTGGTGGTGGGGATGGGGGAAAGATGGTGTAACAGAACTATCGAAAAGAACTATAACGGGCTTAAGCTTAAGAACCGTTGAGAACACGACGAGGGAGGAGGATGGAGGAAAGGCAATTCCGGGGATGTGGTATGATACAGCACTCCAACGAACGATCGGGGAGTTTAAGACATGTTTGCGCGACAAGGACGACATTGCGATGCGAAATAATGAAGATGCAGAGGAAGAAACATGCATGTTGGTTGTGTGGGGATAAACGGATTGGTAGAGGGTGGGAGGAAGAAGAAGAAGGGGATAAAGGTAGAACGACAATAATACCCACGGCAGGCCCAAGATGGATGATTGAAGGCATGAGGATCAAGAAGAAAGGGGCGGCGGAACGGTGGTATAGGTGAGATCTCGGATCTGGGGTTGTCCTCCTGCGAGAGACAAGTCTATATGGCAAAACGAACCGACTGGCGGGCGGGAGGGGTGGAGGAGGGACATGAACGGTCGTCTTTGGGTATGGCGTGTGTATCTCGTGAAAGCGCTGGTCGTAGTAGGAGCGCGCGCGGCCGATGCCGTGCGCAAGTAGGAAACAGGGTGCGGCGCAGGGCGCAGAGGGGTGCGCAGGGCACGTTATGCCTATGTCTCCTTGCACGTCAAAGATGCCGACGCGGGCTCGCCGTGCGGCAGGGCGATCTCTGACCAGTTTTGTTTGAGTGGTGGGCGCCAGACGGCAATGGGCGGCGAGTGCGGTACCGCCTTCTCCTTGGTCACCGGCACCGTGGCGCTTCGGATCCGGCCGTGCAACGGCGATGGTTGCGAGGGCGCGGGTACGAGGTCCCCGAGCCAGTCGTCTGCGCGCTTGGACGGCCTGGGCTGGAGTGGGGGGTAGCTGCGCCTGAAGATGCTCTTCGGCGACGAGTACATCGGGTTATTCTGCAGCCCGGGCGGCACTGGCACCTCCTGACGCACGGCGCGAAGGTGCGATTTGGCGCTGCGTGCTCTGAGGAGGGGTGGGCGCCGGTTCGAACCCTGTGCGGGCTGTGGCGGGGGCGAGGAGGGTAGCGGGCTCATTGCGGCGCGGCGGTTAACGTTGATGGATCCTCTAATCATTTCTTCCAATGCAGAAGCAGTCGTCGAGCCGTAATGGCTCAGCACGGGCGACGATGGCGGCGTCGTGGCTGCAAAGGCGTGGTGTGTGCGTTGGGTGGTGGCAAGATGCAAGGCGCGCAGGCAGGTGCGAGCGATCAAGTTCGGTGGTAGAGAGTTTAAGATGCGGGTTCTAACTACCATCTAGCGCGGCGCTTATATGTACTTGCTGCGGTTTCTGTGCACTCACCCTTTAGTCAATACAGTTTGCCGCCCGGCGAGACGAGACAGCCCCTCTACCTCCTCATCCGCCATCCGCCTTAAACACGTAGTCTCATCCGCAACCCTATCGTGACCCCCGATCAAACATCCCAAGCTCAACTCCATATCCGTATCAATAATGCATAATGGTGTATCTCCCTGTTAATCGTACATCCGCGAGAAAAAAGTCCATAAGTTATCCGGAAACTGCTCCCCCACAATAGCACAACGGCCCGGTAACACCGACGACCGTGCTCGCCTCAGAGAACGCGCTTGGCAAGCAGCGAGAGGATCAGCACGATGAATACACAGATAGCGGTGTCCAATAGAAGCAATGGCCGCCCAGACGGCGGTACAGCGACCGATGCACTACTCGCAGCCTGAGTAGCGGCCGGCATGTGTGGCGGCATCGGCACGGGGAGCGGCGCAGGAGGCTCTGATGCCAACGCCACTCCGGCCGAGCGCTGTTCAACGGTGCGCTCTGTCGCCGACGATACGGGTGCCGGTTCGGCGGCGGTGACAGTCACCGGCGCGGGCTCCTCCGCACGCATCGTTGTTGCCGGCTCTGTCCTCGTCTCCTGTCCTCCGAGCCTGTGCCCATGCCCAAGACTGTGAGAGTAAGTGCCGTCGCCGTCTGTCGCCGTATTATCGGCGGCCTCCGGGTCCGGAAGGCTCTCGACATTGCGCTTGCCGCATGCCTCGCAGTGCCACTCGCGCGAGCTGCACGCGCCGAACGGCCATCAAAAGACGTTGCGGGGACAGTGCGGGGCACCCCAATTTGGACCATGTCAGAGTAGAACAGGGGCATGGAACGCGGCATGAGTGGACGGTGTTCGGGTATCGGAGAACGTATACGTTAGCGTTCGGATGGACTACGACAGGGAGGAACGAGGGATGGCACGTACAGCCCTGCTAGTCTCCTGCGTTCCGCGGAGGTCGTCTCTAGCGAGCCGACACCGACTGCATCGGTTCCGCGCAGCGGGAAGAACCCCTGTAGTCCAATGATAGCTTATCGTGCGAGGCTTCAATATGTATTATTGGGCGCTCTAAATGGAGATACACATACCGGTGCGCACGCCCCACGCCGGTTGCCATAGCTCTTCATGATCTGGACAGGAGTCAGCGGATTTGACTGAAGCCACACACGGCCCGGGTGGTACGCACAACTGGTAAAGCTGATGCAGATCTATGGTCAACGGAAGGTAGTCAGCACACGCCCGTTTCATTTCGCGGATTAAGGTATATGAAATGGACTCAGATGGGCGCGGTAAGGAGAGACAGGGTACAGAGGTTGCCAAAACTATGCAACAAGTCCGTACTCCCGATGTTGCACTTGCTGGTCGCGGCGTGTACATGGTAGAAGTCGCATACCTTGGTATTCAATTCGAATCGTCCGCTTGGTGTCAGCATCATGATACTGGGTGGCCTGAACGGGTACTCCGCGGGCAATAGAATGCGGAAATGATACAGCCCTCCCTCGAACTCGGTATCTTTGGGTCCTCGAATCGTGCAATGCCACTCCTAAACCAGCATATCAGACATCACCGAACTATATTCAGATAAGGGTACACCCAAAACATACAAAGATATCGTCCTGCGCGCGGAGTCAGTTCCGATAGCGATAGCAGTCGGCAACAGAGGCGCACCTCGAGCGGGGCAGCAGAGTAGTCCGTACTTGGGTCATTCGCAAGTTCGCGCGCCTCCTGCATAATGCGCTTGACAGCTACAAACACCAAATCCGAACATCCCTTCAGCCCAAAGTCCCATCACCAGAATCCGGGCACCCGATACGCACCCGAGTTGTTCTTATTGAGCGTGCGCAGAGCCATCTCTACGGTCCCTCAGTCAACAGAGCACGAGATCCAAGCGAAGTGTATATGAGTCTAAGAGATATATTCCAGATAGCGTGTAGAAGGCAAAGAGAACGAGTGTAAGAGGCAAGATGTGGTACTGGAGTTGCTCAGTCAGTGGCCACGACACGCGCGCTCGTGTCAACGGCAATGACGGCATGATGCCATCAATCCGCGGCAAGTCGTGCTCGCACCGGAGACCGGACCGCGTCCTGCTCTCGACGCCGACGACGTGACGGGATGCATATCAAAAAGCTCAGAGTAAAGGCTCGCCAGGGTGTGTCTGCCAGTCTCTTTGGGAAATGCATCGTGCTGATAATATATTGTTACAGCGCCGTTCCATGAGCCATGTGCGGCGGAGATGACAGCTATGCTGGGTTGCTGGGCTGCCACGAAGGACAGCATGTCCGTTGGTGCGTGCGCTGCGGCCGCCCAGGGCTTGTTTGCGTGCATGAGGACTGTGGTACGTAGTCACGTGTATTACTACAAGTGTCTATACTCATCATATTCGACAGCCCGGAAGGACACGGCCGCACCAGCCAGCAATAAACTACCACCTGGCGCGTTTGGGCAAGAACTTCAAGTCATGATCTCTGGCGACCCCCGTAGACCCTCACACTGTACCTACTTAACTCCATAATCCATAGACCCGGCATACTCTTCTCCATCATGCAAGCCAATGTGTGATGTGCGTACAGACTGAATCTTTTACATGAACTCCTCCCCCAAGGCGGATCTCGGAATTCTCCAGCACAAGTCGCGCGAGCGCGCAGAACTCCCGTACCCGTTGAGCACACGAAAAGTGCCTCCCTTGGTGCCGGAATAAAGGCATTTGTACACGTGCACGGGCGTACCTATCGCGCCGTCCATGAAGTTCCCCCAATGGCCGATCAATTGAGCCTTTGTGGCGGTCAGACAAGTTATGAGCGCGCCAACTCCGGACTCAGACGGTTGAACTGCCACCACCATCTGCCCGACAACCTCTCTCCCTGCAAACGCAGAACCATGTCTCACGAGCGAGCGCGCTCAGTACACATGCTCCCCGACGATGTTCTCGTGATGGTTTTCCTCCATTTCCCGGCAGTACCTACCTATTGGTACGGGCGCGCCGCCAATCAGCCTGCTACACCCGACTTCACCTGGCTTTCTATCACACATACGTGCCGTCGGTGGCGCAATGTATCCCTCAGCTGCTCGTCGATATGGACTCGTATATCTTTCAACCCGCCAAGCATGACGCCTGTATTCCTCGAGCGTGCACGACAAGCTCCCTTGGGTATTGGTATGGACTGGAGACACTACCGTTTTCGTCATGATATCGACGACGCGGTTGCGCTTGCGCTTCAGCATCTATCCCACAGTTGGTCTGTTAGGATTTTCAACCCACCGGCTGGCTTCATAGAGCAAATGATAACCGTATTTGGCCAGCAGGACGCCAGCAGTCTGGAGGAACTACACATGCTCAAGCTCCCTGATGAAGAAGTATCCTCACCTGGTGGCCTTGTCTCTGCCATTCAGCTCCCAGATCAACCGTTTGCGAGTCTCACACCGCGACTACGTATCCTGTCATTACAAGGATACATCCGTTTCCACTGGTGCAACCAGCTTTTCACATCCCCCCTGACACATCTTCGCCTTCTCCTCCCCGGGAACACGTCCTTTCCCACTATGGATGAACTGCTCGGAATCATCCGCAGATGTCCTCTGGAACAACTGGTTCTTGTTCAATGCCTACCACAACGTCCCACGCAGATAGGCCTGACAACTTTACCGGATGATTATACGCTTGCGGATGTTCCTACTCTTCGATACATCCTCCTCAGAGATGCTGCTGCGGATATCGCCGACTTTCTCCGCCGCATACGCATTCCTGCTGATTGTCACATCGAAGTTGGGAATGAACACGTTTGGCACGCAGTTAACGTTGCGGATATTGCCACAACGGTAGAGGCGGTGGCCATCGAAGTTGGATGTGTGATGTCGACGCGCTCAAATGAATCCAAGGGCCACGCGTTGATAATCACGCATACTCGGGACGACATCTGTAGATGGTTTAGATCAAACCTTAGACCGTCATCTGGGATTGTTCACCATTTTACCATGGAACATATGGAACCTCGACCTTTCGTGATGTCCTTGGCGCTTCGGCCACCAGGCACGAACCCCGATGAACAACGCCGCGACGTCCTTGCGCTCGCTCGTGCATTCGACCGCATAACACCTCTGTACCACCTTGAATCTATCCATGTCCTGGCGATCAGTTCGGGAGGAGCTGATCTAGTCTCGCTGGCTACATGGCTGGATCTATTCGACGGATTGCGTCGTGTGGAGATAATCAAGGCGCATGGCATCCCCTGTCATACCTTTGGACTCGCTCTGGGGCGATCCTTCCGGGATCCCCTCGTCATGCCGCACTTATGGAAGCTAGAAGTCGGATACATTCATCTCGGATATCCCAAGGGTCCAGGGCAGTTAAGTAAAGCCCTCGAGGAAGCTTTTCACTGGCGTAATGAGGTCCATGATCTGAAGTTGAGCGTCGAGTTTGACAATTGCCATATATCCGCCGCACAACTTCGTCGGATCCAGAAAGCCTCTGATGATCGAGTTATTGTATCCGGCAATTCTCAGACGTGCAGTCATTTGAGTGATGAAGAGGACGAAGAGGATGAAGAGGACGTGCAAGCGGAAGATGGGATCGGGGAAGATAACCTTGTTCAATCGAGTTAAATAATGGGTGCTCCGCCCTCGATCTGGTGTCAAAGATACATTGTCCTTACTAACACACTAGATCTACATAGCACATATCCTCCAACGTTAACAATGTTTTGTTTCAGGTAGACCAATCATCGTCAGAGTGGCGGGCTTTGCGGTTCAGTATGGGAATGGAACCGGAAGTCCGGTTGTCGAATGTGAACATCCAGTCAATGCAACGCCGCCTGGAGCTTGGAGTACTAGTGTTACTCGCCAGTAAGGGCGACGTTCATCCTGTTTGATTCCTGGGTGGTCTACACATAGCTCTCTCGAGGAAGGTCCGGCACAAATGACGCAGCGAAGAGTACAATGATAGCATAACGAAAGCAGAACGTACAATGTAGAAAGTAGAAAGTACACGATCCCAACGCAAAACTAACTCGCAAACGACCAAACCCTCACATCCCCATCATCACTCCCACTGACGATCTTGTCCTCCCCAAGGGCAAGACAAGTGACAGCACCCGAGTGACCCACGAGCGTACTCGTACACCTCCCATCCTCCCGACTCCACACCTTGATCGTCCGATCGTGACTACCACTAGCCAGACGCATCGAGTCGCACCCGACAGCCCATACGCCTTCGATATGCCCGAAGAGCGTGCGGACGGGTTGAGCGGTGCCGACGTCCCACAACTTGACGGTGTTGTCGAGGCTCCCGCTCACGAGCGTGGGAAGGGCGGCGCGGGTTTGCTCGGCGACGATAGCGTCCGCACCAGGGTGGCCGGCGGGCGGAGGCGTCGGCTCGGTCGTACAGGGGAACATGAGTCGCATGCTCTGCACCTGGCCCATGTGTCCTCGGAAAGTGCGTACGCAAGCTCGCGCAGCGAGATCCCATAGTCGGATCGTGCCATCGTCGCTGGCGGAGAAGAGCATCTTGCCAGGCTCAATGCACAACGGGCGCGGCTCGCGCGGTTCGGTAGCGGCCACAGACGCATATGCTGCGCCGGCGTCCCATAGTTGCACGGCGTTCACCCAGTCATGGTGGCCCCGCAGCGTGAAGCATTCGCCCGTCTTGAAGTTCCAGAGCTTGACCGTATGATCAACGCTACCGCTGGCAAGGATGTCCGCGTCGAAGTGAAGACAGATGACGCCCTCCGTATGTCCCTCTAACGTCCGCACGCACGCGCCCGTCCGCCAATTCCACACCTTCAAGGTGCCGTCCATGCTTCCCGTAACAAGCTTGACCTCGTCGAACTGCAACGCCCTCACAGCACGCCGATGTCCACGCATCTCCTGCATCTGGTCGCCTGTCTCCAGGTTCCATACGCGCACCGTACGGTCGTAGCTCCCGGTGATGAGTATGGGGAAACAAGGATAATTGAGCGTCTCGCTGAACTGCAGGCACATCACGCCGTCCGTGTGGCCCTTAAGCGTGCGAACGGAACATCGGCCCCGACGCCAGTTACGCTCGACCTTCAACCGCTCAGAGTATACGTCCTTCCACGGGCGGGTAGAGTATGCGGTAGGTGCGGGTGCGATGAGGGAGAGTTCCGGCTGCGATACGGGCGTGGTAGGTCGTGGAGAGGAGATAGCAGGAGGTACAGACAGAGAAGCCTCGGCGCGATGACGCTTTGCCTGTTGAGGGTCCGGAGAGTCCTCCCGTTTACGTTTGCCCGCAGAGGTATCAGAGTGTGCGTGCGAGTCGGGTGACGGTGATGAAGGCATAGGAACACGCCGGCGCCGTTCGAGAACTGGCAGGCCCCAACCACACTTGGTGCACTTGGTACCGATATGTTGTTCGCAGATCCCCCGCCATAGAATATCGTCGTCCGCAAGGTTCCTCCAACTGCGTGACACCTGGGCGGCTCGACATAGGGAGGTTGCGTCGAGGTGCGATAGGATCTTCAAGCCAACTTCCCGCGGCAGGACAGCAAATGGGTCGATGCGGATCATTTGGTGAAGTTGGTCCGTCAAGAGCGAGAGTTGGGAGAAGCAGCACATGGTGAGGATGCCGCGCAGGATAAGCTCTCGCCGACGATGTGGCGAAGACGAGAAGTGCTGCCAGACGGTATTAACGGCCTCCCGCTCCTCGACTGGAAGCGCATCCAAAGCCTACGATGATGGTATCAGCGACATGAAACATGCAGTTCACAACAGATGGATGCCCTTCAAGCATACGAATCGCCGACATTAGGGCGCCGGCGGAGATGGGGTGGAGGTCGTGTGCCGCAACCAGTACGCTCCAGAAGCAATGCGCCATTCATTTCGCGCGCACCATGACGCTCAACCTTCGCGACCTGAGCGGGGCAAAGGCCGAGTACGTCAAAGAGTCACGGCACTTCCCCAACGAAGCACAAGGTTATCATGATGCCCTCCGCCCGCCCAGCCAAGCGCGTCGCGCAATCCGTTCGCAAGAGGTTCACAAGCTGAATCAAGTAGACTTTGCTCTCACCTGTTGGAGTTTCAAGTTGGTGCCTTCGTCAGCCATACGCTGGTGCCGGACACAGAGCTTGCGTGCTGGGGGTTGTGAAGGCGCAGGACCCTTGGCATGGTCATGTTCGCCGTGGTCGTCCTCGTGACCGTTCGCGGTCTGACTGCGTTGAGGTTTCCAGTCCGAGTCTACCGAGCTCTTGTCGAGAGTGGGAACAACGAAAGTAGTGCTGGTAGGAGGCGGCGAAGGTGTGCGTGAGTCTGAGGAGGGCCCGGCCAGTCTAGCAGCAGGGATAGTGTCACAAAGCTGAGCGGCAGACGAGGAGGCCATGATCGCGGAAAGGTGGTAACTCATGACAGGCGCCGAGGCATAGATATATGAAACCGCGAAGGTCTGCGCGCGCAGAGGTGGTCGTTTGTTGCAAGTTGTTGCTCATACCGGGTGCGCCTTGCGCCATCACGACTCAGCGATTCGCCAGAAATCACGGCAACTCCCGGCCAAGCTCCGCGGGTCCGGCCCGCGGCGTGCCGGTCATCAATCGCAGAATTTTTTCGGTCGTCGTTCTCTTGTTTCCGCCACCACTCGCCGTCGACCTCGTCAAGATGGTGAACATCGTCGCTTTGCTGAGCACCCTTCTCAGTAGGCTGATGATCACCTGAAAATTCTAGCCCAAGGCCGCCCCCACCAAGGTTAACACCAAGAGCAAGTTCACGCTCGACTACAGCAAGCCGGCCGCGGACTCGCTCTTCGACGGCGCCGCCTTCGAGAAGTACCTCCATGACCGCATCAAGGTCGACGGCAAGGCTGGTCAGCTTGGTGACAACATTAAGATTCACCGCGATGGTGCGTGAACTTCGTCAATCGCGTCTTGCTTCCTTTCATACTCAAATTCTGCCTTCTCCGATGCCTGCAGGCAACCGCGCGCTCGTGATCACCTCTAACATCCAGCTCTCGAAGCGCTACCTCAAGTACCTCACGAAGAAGTTCCTCAAGAAGAGCGTGCTCTCCGACTTCATGCGCGTCACCGCCGGGTCCAAGGACTCCTACGTGATCAAGTACCGCGGTGTTGCTGCGTACGTTTATATCTTTTCCGACGCGGTCGGCCTATATGCTTATAACCGATATCAGTGACAACGCCGATGAGTCTGACGACGAGTAAAAGGGCCGCGGTGCCCACTATCTCTGTATGCACTATGTCATTATCACACCGTCATCTGTTGTATGTCGCAATCCACCTGCATGTTGTGCTCACCGATGCACCGCGCCTCATTTCGTGTGAATCTGTTTCACCGCGGCGGTTACCCCGCGGGGGCGCCCAGTTGCCCTCGGCGTTGCCAATGATATGCGGGACGGTCTCAGCGCTTCACGTTGCACGGGCCTCGAGCTTGCATCGACCCCACGTTGCAGTCTGTCGCGAGGTTGCGCAAGTGAGCAGAAAGATGATATGCGATTGCCATACATGAAGAATGGTGTAAGGCGGGTTGATGATCTCGGAGAGCACTGCCATCACCGAGGATTGCACATATGTTGCAAGCGACTGTTCTGTTGTCCATGAGCAGCGGGCATCTTACGACGTAAGTACCCGTGTATGTATTGAGTGCAACTAATGCATGCTACCCGGTATCTGTACATGGCTCTGCTACGCTCCGTCGTCGTCCGCGCCCACCTCCACCACATTCGGACCATACTCGAAGAAGTGGTCAGGGAGATCGCCCAAGGACTCGCTATCTTCTCCATATAAGCGCTCAAAGAACCAAAGGTCGGTATGCTGCCTGAGTATTGCGACCTCATCCTCGTCCCCCTCCCCATACAAGAGTGGCTGGCGGTCGCAGATCTTGGTATGGGGTATCTTGCGATGTTGCAACGCGTTGAGAAGCAGGTCATATATGGATACGCCTTCGTATAACAAGTCGCGCGAGATCCGGTCCGAGTCGAAGCAGAGGTGGTCGAGGGCGGGAAGTAATTGAGGTTCCGACTCGTGGGAGGACGCTAGCTCCCGTAATAGTGTGTACGCCGCAGCGCCAGCGCAATGGACCACTCGAAGTTGAGAACATGGTTTGAGAGCCACGGTCCATAACTGGCGCAGCTCGGAGCTCGCTGTGGGACCGCCCGTAACGTTACATTCACCCATGTCGACGTGGATGCTCAAGAGCACCAACTCCTCGAGCGACAAGAAGCGTGTATATATCGAAGCGATGTGGACAGGCATCACAGAGTTGTCGGCCACGTCGAGACCTTCGACTCTGATGTTGAGGAGTGGCGGGTCATCAGGGAAGAACGCGAACTCCGAAGGACTGAAACCCGATGGTACTCCATGTACATCGTTGATGTCGTCGTACGTCTCCCTGTATACGGCTACGTGGAGGCTTCCCGTCGAGCCGCTGAAGGCGGAAAGAGTGAAAGGCGAAATATTCTTGATCCCAGTATCATCCAAGGCGTCGAGGAGGTCGGTCATAGAGCTAGCTGCATCGCCGGACGCGTTGCAGGTGAGGTTGATCGCACAATCTGCCGTTACACGAAACTCGCGAATGATACAGGTGCATGACAACATCGGGCCTTCCAGTACGATGCGTTTGAGACGCGGCCTGATAAGCTGTGTAGACCGGCGCGGCGGAGGAGATGTTATAGGCAGCGTATTCGTGAGCTCCAGTGACTCAAGATCGGCCATAAGATCTAACACATTGAACACGTCGTGAAATGATGGGTGCGCAAAGTCGAGATGTTGCAGTGTCTTCAAGCACAGTGATCGGAGTTGTTTAAAGAGATCCGGGAAGTGCGGAAAACTTGACGGATACTCGACAGTGAAGCGGACGAGTCGAGGAGCGATGCCGGAGAAGAGATTGCCCGGCAAATTCCCATCGTCCACACCCAAAGACCCCCCGAAAGATGATTCTCGATGATATTCGAAGGACTCCAATCGATGCATAGGTCGCGTCAATGGTTCAAGAGAACCGCCAAAACCGCGCTTGAACGCCCCATACACAAGGGACAAGTGTCTCGCGCGGTCTAGTACTTCGGGCGAAAGGACGATTGCTAGGCGCTCTGGCAGACCTGTACGCTGGCGGTAGTGGTCCGTAACCACACTCAGCGATGCGTCCTGACTTCTTTTGACAGAATTCCGCAGGACCACAGGTAACATGGACGTTGCAAGGTTGGTCCAGAGAGAGCGGCAAGCCAGCGCCTCGGTGCGCCATCGCCTGCACACGCGAGCTAATCCATACAACTCCAAGGAGAAGAAATCGGTGGCCCACATGTGTCGTCGGCCAATCCTTTTGATCTGATGACGCTCTACGATCAACTTGAAGATGTGGGTCAAGATCTCCGAGGGAAGAGAGTTTACTGGTTGTAAATCGTTGTGAGACGCGTCGAGCTGGCAGAGCACACGCCTGATGGCGCGCCGTTCGGTGTCGAGAGCGTCACAGCAGGCGGCGATCTGGGACTGTGAGAGACCCCTACGGTGAGTCGGAACACCTGTCAGACCAGCGCATAAGCGAGCAAGACGAGGCTTTCCTGCGGCGCTCCAATACTGGTCTGCCTCGCTACAGCATCGTCAGCAATGGTGAGCCCCCCGTTCGGACAAAGACCCACTTAGGAAGGTTCGGAGGCCCCGTATCCATACTTGTGTTGTCACTGCTCATGATGGACTGTTGTAGTTCTCAAAACTACGGTCTCTTTTCGGACAAACGCTCGTACTTTGTCGAAGTAGGGAACATGGATGATGGACGTCGATTGCCAAGGTGCGTTTATTGAATGCTGGACGGGAACAAGCCAATCAAGTTCTTATGGCACCGCACGCGACCAAGATGATGGGCCGCAAGTCAGCGATACTAGTCACTGGTCTTGGTTGGTCCAATGCCTATTCTTTACGATACTAATACATCTCAGAGTAACGACAGTGTATCACAGAATCTAGTTGCTAGTATGTTCGATAGATCAATGCTCAAATACGCCAAAGTACACCCAGCATGATCACACAGAAACCCTATGCTTGGGCATTCTCCATCAATATGTCGAAGGCGTCCATGTCATCATCAATAATCTCCATGGCCTGGGAAACCCAATCCGGCGCAAATCCAAAGAAATGGGCGGGCGCTATGTCGGCATAGTAATCGGGGCTGATGCGTTCGAGCGTGGTGAATTGCTCCAGGGCAGTCAGGTCTTCAAAGCTGATGAGCGGCAGATACTCGTGGATATGTGTCTGTGGCACAGAGCGATTCTGAAGCGCGTGAAGGAGCAGGTCATAGAGTGATTCTCCCTCGTAGAGGAGTTAGCGTGAGAGGTTATCTTCGTCGAAGATGAGCAGCTTTAGCGTGGGAAGAAAGCGCGACGCCTCTCGTGTGGCGGCCAGCTCGCGTAGCAGGACGTATGCTGGTGCGCCGGCGCATGCCACATCGTGCAAATGCGAGCACGGGCCTAGCAAACTGTGCCACAGTTCTGTGAGCTCACTACTCGCCGTAGGCCCACCCGTCATCTGAAACTCGGCCATATCGATGGATATGCTGAGCGCCTCGAGACGTTCTAAGGGGATAATTTGCTTGCAGACGGTGGTAATGAGCGACGGGATGCTCGAATTATCGACGACGGCGAGCCCGCGTATGTAGACACCAAAGATTGGTGCCGGAGGTTCACGAGGTTCATAGCCTGACCTGGCGCGCAGGAATTCAGGTTCGACAGCATCCGCATATGCCGTAAGGTGGAAATTACCCCTAGAATGGCTTCTGATCAAGAGGGTGCGGGGTGCAATACCCCCCAACCCAGCGTTGCATAAGGCATCGACAAGCCCGTCGAAGGCTTCCACGGAAGTTGCCGAAGCGTCACAGTCGATATCGGTCGCACAGTCGCGCGGTAAGTGGAATGCGCGCACGACGCATATGCACGCTAATATGGGACCTTCCAATATCAACGTCTTGAGGTGCGGCCGGGGTAAAGGTAGGGCGTAATATGGTGTGAAAGGTTCGGCGGGAAGTGTGTTTCTCAGTTCTAGGCATTCGAGAAGAGGCATGGTTTCCAGAAGCTCGAACAACCTGGACGATGGGGCATGCGCAAAAGCACCAGTGCTCGTTCCAGTAATCAAAGAGAAGACACGAAGATTGCGAAAGAGGTAAGAAGGTTGAGGTAGCCCGGGGAGAAGTTCGAGTACGAGAGATTTCAGTCTCGGGGCGATACCGTTGAATAGATTGTTGGGTGGCTCCGCATCCCGGGCGGCGTGTCGGTAGATGAAGGACTCCAGTCGTGGCATAGGGTGTGCCAGGTATGGGATGTACAATTGCGGTTTAGGTCCAAGGCGACCGTAAGCGACTACGAGTTGCTGTGTGCGATCAAGCACGCCTGGAACGAATATGAGATCTAGCCGCTCCGTAGTGTTCTTGTATCGCTTATTCTCCAAGACGAGGGAGAGCGACGCGTCCTGGCTCAATCGGATGAACTCTTTGAGCGCCTTGGGGCCCATAGAGGTCGTGAGGTGGCACCAAAGAGACGGAAGAGACAATGCCTCCGATCTCCATCGTTTGCAGACGTGCACCAAACTAAACCATCGCGGAGGAAAGATCTTGGGCTTGATGATTGATGAGGTAAACGGCTTGAGGGATTCCGCAAAACTTTCTTTGACGAGTAGGAATATGTGCGTCAGAACATCCGACGGCAACAAATTCACGGGCTGCAACTCGTTCAAGGACGTATCGAGTTTGCACAAGACCCGCTTGACAGCTTGCCTCTCGACCTCTAGAGCCTCGCGCTTCGAAGCAAGCTGAGAACGTAGAGAAGTAGAGGCGGTGTGAAGCAGCCTCAGTCGAGGTTCACTTGCAATTTCCCAATACTGATCTGCATCGCTGTTTCCGGTCCATGAGAATTGATATGATATCGGCACGGGAAGGGGCGCACTTCCAGGTCTGAGACGCCATATGATTGATTACTCTATATCGCTCGTTAGCATAAGTATCGTTACCATCTTAGCAATGACGCACCTAGAGGAGGCCGACTCCAGAGATCGTCGTTGCAGCTCGAGTTGAGAGACGATTGCCGATCAATCTTGTAGCGCTCAACCCGGACACGTGGATGGTCGGGGCAGCACCAGTCATGCTCAAGATATACAACATAGATAGCTCAGACCGAGAGATATCCTGTTTCAACGATACCATAGTGGTAGAGGGCACCGGCCAATTCGCCTCAGTATATTACTGCAAGGTCGTGGTAACGCGACAAGTGGGCACCGTGCATGACGCACGACGCGAGCGCTCACGCGGCGAGCAGCGCGACTTGATCTCAACCGCCACCCTGAGCGCCCCCATCTTCTCGGCCTACTTTCCCCCGACTACATGCCTCAGGTGAGCTCTTACCACCTCCATTACTGCCTGTAAACTAGGAGGAACCTCATGACTCAGCAGGAAGCCACACCAGCCTGCCAAGCACAAGGTTCGAGCGTTCAACTGAACGGGGTGAATAGTCGGCTGAAATATTTATATCCAGCGTGCAACCTACAAGACTGTCTATCAGCCAATACGTATACACCTCAGAAGTGTGAGGAGCATATGAGGCAACTTTACTTATGCTGCCAGTCGATGTACGAGTCCACCGACGGTCGCGGAGAATCCACTGCATGTCCGATGCCTAGCGCTGTACAACGATGGCTGAAGTCACATCCCTCCTCGAAATGACTCAAATACAATACATTGTATGACACGAGAACAATGTGTGATGCGGCGTGTTCTGGATCATTGACTGCTTCCAGTATACATGTCTCAGACCAGGGTAGCATCGCCCCAGTATGGCCTGAACATATCCAGTTGCAACCTCACTCTGGCCTGAAGCCTCCCTTTATCATGCACGCAACACGATCAGACTCGTTCCTTGCGTGTGCGCCATCAAGATAACCTCAAGCCACTCCGACTACACGCCACTCGCCACCAGTCTTGCCCATATGAAGCCATTAGTGAGCGCTTATAACTCGTCATCTGTATCGCGACTAACGCCCAGCAGCGAATCAACACTGGTTCCCAACCCGAGAAGGTAATACAGGGTACCGATGCGGCCTATATGAAGGTCGATTTGACGGTACGTCCCTTCTGCAATGTGGGGTCCTTCAGCTTCTGATAGTAATGGCGCAGGATCTGGGGAAGGAGATATGGCTTGCTCGAGTTCCGGCTCCTCAGGCATACAAATACGAGCTGGTGCGCACTGAAGTTATGCTCTAATAAACATCTCCCCTGACACAGACCAACATAGCCCGCTATTTCGAAATCACAGTCCCTCTCCCCGCTCCTCGCTCTAGCCGAATTCGCCGACACGACCTTTCAAGAATCCCCGCAACCCGTCCAAACGTCTTCGTACTGGCTCCAAGAGGAACACATCTCTAGCCCAGACTCGTCCAGTCTACCATCACCCTGGGAGATCCCCAATCCCTTCGACGATCTTCACACGCCCGGCGCTATCCCTCCCTCGCATTCGGACGACGTCTTCCACTTGGATACCAGCGCACCTCGTTGGCTGCGCGTTCGCGTATCAATGCCTCGCATCGTACACCGTGATCTTGACGTTGCTGGTCGCGCCGTGTCAACGAAAGTGCACCATCCCGCACCTCAAGTCACTCCGAACGTCTTGGAGGTTCCTCCCAAGCCCCCTTTGCCGGCCGTACGCCGCGCCCGCTCGCAACAGCCACTCAGGAACCTCGAACATCAGCATGAGAACACCTGCGCCGAAGTTTGTGATCCTTCATACATCTACCCCCCGTGCTGACGTGAAATTCAGCTATCCTCGCACTCCCAAGCCGGGTTCCTTCCCATCACGAAAAGCGTCACGACCGACTATCTCAACGTCTTCATTCCCGATCATGCCATTGCATTTTGATGTCTCCGCTCGTCTCGCTTTGTATGATATCACGTTTAGAATGGTCTACAATATGCTTGCTAGCTTGCGTTACCTGCATACGTCTTCACTTCCGATGGAGTGGATTGCTACGTGGGGACTAGCTCTTAGCCGACGTGGTATCGGCCGGTTCACTTGTTTTTACTGCCCGTGATGGCCAGTCCCGTTCACCATGAGCCCAACCTGATGGTCATTGAAGAAGTCCAGGGAGGGAGGATGGCCTCTCCCGATATCATGGACATGCGCAGATGCTAAGAAAGGATACAAGGTAAGGTAGAAGAACGGAGGGAATGGAGAGAGCACTAAAAGATGTAAGGAGTGTATGAATCTGTCGTCCGGCGCACAGAGTAGTAGTAGTATCGTGACAATCGTAAACCCCATTCAAATGCCTCTAGTCGTGCTCGCCTTGCTAGCACGACTGTCACGCCGACGATGGCGCCAAGAGCCATTGGTCGGTGTGGTCGGTGACGTAGGCAGCGACGGCCATTCCTCTGCAAACTTCGCCGGGGCGGCCTGGTTCTTCGTAGACCGAAGAGCGCGATCAAGGAGCGAACGCGGAAACGAACGAGTGCTTCCAGTCGGCGAGCGAGGTACAGCAGGGCGTCGGCCGAACGTCTTATGCTTCGGCGTGGGTGCATCGGCGAATTCGGGTTGGGACTCTGAGTCGAGGGTAAGGCGCTCGATGCCGACGATGATGGGAGACGGAAGCTCGGCGTGAAGAAGGGCGGGCGTCTCCGGCTCTGACTCGCTCTCTCCACTCGAAGACTCTGAGAGACTGGGCTGGCGGGAGATCGCGGGCACGGCTTCCTCTTGCGCTGGTACCTGCGTTGGATCATGGTCAGTTGAGGGGCAAGCAGAGTATACCAGTAATGCGCACCATGGACTCTTCCGCGATGATGGAGTCGCGTAACTTGGAGGGACCTGGCTGGAGGGCAGTCAGCGAACAGTGTGACTCGTAGTAGAGGACTGAAGTACCATCGTGAAACCTGTCATCCCACTGTACTGGGATGCCATGTCGGAGCCGGCGGAGCCAAATGAGCGCACGGACTCGTTGTCGCGAGCCTACGAGATCGTGAGTGGCAGAATCCGTCAGAAGAACGAGCAAGGCGCACCCTTGCTTGTATCTTTGCCTCCAGAGCTGTCTTTGCACAGTATAGTCAGCTCCCATTGCTAGACGTTCATGGAGACGAAGTGCTCACTCGGAATGCGTTCGTCATCAGTGTCATCTCTGCGTCCGACTTGCGCTGCCACTGCTGAGTCTTGCGCACGCCCAGATCACTGAGAGCCATCCGTTGCGATTCACAGAATTGGAATGTCGGGCAATCATCCTTCTTGGCCCAGGGCTTCTTGTCCCGCGTGTGCGCGCAATCTTTGCAGTCCGTCCAAATGCGATCCAGATGATTCAGTGTCCTCCGTTTACCGAACCCAGGCTCTGTCCAGTGAGGAAGCGCGACGACGAATTGTGGGTGATGCTTCCAGCTCGGAGACGCGTGCATGCATGGTAAACGCTTCCGATTGAAATCCTTAGGGTGGCGCTTAGAAAACTGAGGATCGACCTGCGCCAGGAAGAACTGTAATGCGTGAGGCAGGTGCTCTATGTGCCCGCCATTGAAGGTGCCAAAGAGATAGACAAGATATGACCCCTGGTTCTTGCTGGATTGCTGGTATATGAGGCAGGGACGAGGTTTCGAAGCGCGGTCGTCTGAGAAAGAAGTGACAGAGGACGCCATGATGGCCGGCATCGTTTGGCCAAGCAGGTTCGCGACCGGGGAGAAGATGGACTCTTCGATGCACCAGATTTCTCCTACGCGAGGTGCATAGTTGCGATCGGTAACCGGCGGCAGAGGGCCGTACGTCGTTGGGGACATGCGCGTCGAGCATACTGAACAGCCTTTCTGTTGCCAAGCGGAGCCAGAAGGGGAATTAGTGCTATGAGCCAGCATAGTAAAAAGATTGGGTAGGAGTAGGTAGGTGGATGATAGACGTGGCTCAAAAGAGGGGCGAGAAAGCGTAAGAGTCAGAGGCGTCCATTGATATACTAGCCGCCTCAGCGACGCGACGAATGACCTTGAGCGCCCGATAAAACAATTGACGTATGCGGGAACAACAAGCATCGCTCGAAGCGAGACAAGACATCATCTGATGCATGGACAGTCAGTCTTATCGGCGGGATACGGAGAGCCCTGACAAGGACAATTATCATCAGAGTTGGCCAATTCGGCTACTTAGTGACAATGGATGTTGGCATGGAGTTGCGCGCGTACTCATGTCCCTCAGATGCGCCTCTGTCGGTCGCACAGCGGTCTTGTATCCGGTTTGTGCGCCACTTGATGTATGCTTGCTTTGAGAAGACAAAGTGCGTCTATTGGGAACAAACAACGACGATGATGATGGACGAAGCACCGTCGCGGTCGCCGCCGAAGATGGCAATTGTTGTTCCCGTCACTGCACGTGCGCAATTGTTTGGTGCCACTGCCCAATAGATATGAACGTTACGGATGTAGCTGATGTTCCAACTTCTTCCCAACCACCACCATCACCTTGTATCATGTCCACTGCCTCCTCGCGCTCCTCCGTATCAAGCGATGAATCTGAACCGGACTCGCCTGCACCTTACTGTAGACCGTGGAAACACCTCGAGAACCCCGCGTCGGAGGAGTGGTCTCGCGGGCCGAAGGAACTCTATCGATACCCCAACCTCGGCGACTTTGTTGTGCTGTCACTCGACCCTATAGCCTCTGTCGGGCACCTCGACGCCATCGCGAAGCAAGCTGCAGCGCAGATAGAGAGGCGTAAATATGTAGCGTTGTGTATCCAGGTGCGTCTACAATGTGCTATCATATTGCTCAGCGACTGACACGCCCTCAGACGCACGGCCTGCCGCTCCCCACGAAACCCACCCACCCCTATGACTTCTTATTCGTCCGTCGAGGAAGACCAACGCCGAGACTTCCTGATGTCGATACCGAGGATTCCTGTCTTGCTATCTCGCCGAATGAGACATCCGTGCTCGACCAACCTGCCGTGCGCCCCGTGCAACCACTTCCCTGGGACGACTGTTATCTCGACATGACATATGGATTCCCTCGACCCTGCCGTGTCACATCTATCGAGCGTGATTACGTTCCTGTATTGCCCATCTCCGTTCCCGAGATTCTACGAATACAGGATCATACTCAAGAACATCTATCTCGCATAGCCTCGCTCCGTAGAGAGCATGGGGATGCTTGGCCTCAATCCTTAGACCTCGTTCAACTACCTACCTCGAGCCCGCTCGATGTTCCGAGTAGTAAGAACGAATCCATGCCGGTGCAAGCTGCTGCATCCAGGTCTGAGCCAGAGCTTCCGCCTAATCTTGGTGCGGAGACGGAACGTGATGCAAATGCCGCTGCGGACGATGTCTCTATCATCGAGAGCGAAGATGGGAATGACGGTGTCCAACAGGATGAGCGTGCCCCGGAGCCCGGTGATGAGGAAGAGCTCAACATGATGCTTGCTTTTGAATCTATGATGAATAATGTCGGTGACTTCCGAGATCCAGTCGTCAATGTCTGGTATGACTTGGACGTTATCACGGAGATAGTGGATCCGATCCATTTCTTGGAAGACGTGAAGCGTCTCGAGATGTATGTGAGCCCATTTCCTTGTCGTGACTGAGACTTATCCACCCTTTTCTACCAGTATAATGGATGAAGCGGAGATACGCCTGGGACGGCGCCACGAGATGGCCGCGGTGGTACATCCATCGGAATCGGAGCGATCGAGCCTGAGCGAAGATGCCGATAGCCAGCGCTCTGTAGACGTTCCGGCTGGCGCCGTGAATGGAGTAGACAGTACTACGGACTCTCGTCCAGACAACCATCCAACGCACCAGACGAAATGTACGTCGTGTTTAGTGCGCTAGTTGCGGATATTAGCTCATCGCTTTTGGTAGCACGCGGACTACGGATCAACTTGCGCTCTATGACCTCAATGCTCCTGTTTCCGGCCTCAAACCTTGTCAAAAAGCTGACTTTTGCACGGCACAAGAAGACCAGTTCGAGAGTTTCCGGCGCGAGGTCATGACGCCGCTCTTTACATACACGCGTATCGTACACCTGTGGACGACTGATACCATATTCTGCTTTATCTTATACCCTGCCACTACCCCCTGTAATGTGATTCTGCGCGTGTTGAAGAAGAAGCGACCTGCTACGAATATGCCGAGTGCATCCTACCGGTCGCTGGCCCACCGTGCGCCAAGCCATGTGATCGCGTTTGATCAATTGATGTCAATCGGGACTGGCCGAAGGTTGCCAGAGTTGGACTTGGCTCTTGCGTCGACGTCGTATGTAGCAAACGCCGGACGCCAGGCAGCATCTATAACCGCATGAACGCCTTATCTATCTTCAAATCAACGGCTCTTTTCTCCTCAAATCTCATCGCCAGACAACGCGAGTACTCACTCGATTGCCTCACGGACTATTGGCCTGAAACGCTATCAATACGACGATCATCCCACACTCTTGAGCGTTCCCTCGCGTGTGAGATCGTTCAACTGTGTTTCGCCCCACAGGACGTATTCCGATGCATGGACCATGGCCCCTCGTACAGAGCTCAATTGTGTCGTGGTGCTAGTGCACAATAACTGGCCTGCATTATCTTTGCCAGCGAACAGTGAGCTCGTCCTTGGGTGTGCACGACGCGGTCTGCGCAGTGGGATTGACGAAACTGAACATTCCTTGATGACTGCCGGCTACTTAATAACACCGTTCAGCCAGTGCTGTTGAGTGCGCTCCCTTCACTCGTTCCTATTGCCGGCTTGCTCATCCATTCTCAGTCCCTCGCGACTCGCTTCTCCCGCTATCAGGTGATGGATCGATCTGTCTTCGGTGCGCAAAGATTTGTCTACCACTCTATAGAGGAACCTCTGACACATCATTGTGAAGAGAATAACTACCCCATTATGCCAAGTTTATCACCCGTACAATCTCCAGAACACCCCACCCTCGTCTTCTGTATGTACTCGCATGCGAATATGTCCTGAATTCCTATAAGGTCTCACAAGATACGCGAGACATATAAGCGTCGAACCCCTCTGGGGTCGCGGGTAAATCACAGGGCGCAATGGTCGCGGCTGATCCCACTTATCCTCTCTTCCCAATAGCCAGTTTCCTGGCTTCGGCAATGCTGTCCATGGTTTTGCTCACTAGCTTTGTACACCAACGCTGGAATCTGGGTGTCGCATTCTTGTGTTTCTGGCTGTTCTTGGAGAATCTGCTGGGCGGGGTTAGTGCAATCATATGGTCTGACAATGCCGACGTCAAGTTATACGTATACTGCGACATAGGCAAGTGCGTGTGCATATCTTGAGGTCAAGCACGTCCTGAGATGATGGCAGTATCGCGACTGGAACTCGTAACTCTGGTTGTGAAGCCTATGTGCACTCTCATCATCACGCGGCGCTTATATCTCATCGTCAATCTTCGCTCGGAGAACGCATTCAGTGTGCGCAGGGTGTGTCAAACTTGTATTGAATTGGTGGGTTGTCTGCTAAAGGGCTATTCTTAGAACCGCAAGGACGTCGCTATAGAATGGACTCTGGGATTGGTGATCCCTTTACTCCTTGCGGGTCCGCTTTGTGAGTCCCTACCCTCACCGTGTGAGTAGGATTCATAGTAACGAAGTCCGTACTGTTCCAGACTATATAAACGAAGACGCTCGCTTTCAGATCCTCGAGGGTGGCGGTTGCGATGCGGCAGTCTCCGGCGAGTCGGTACTTGCCTTGCTCCTCTCGACTATATGGTCGTTTGCGCCCGCACTTCTATCCGTCATAATTTATTATCGTGAGTCCTCCCCTTCACTGATAGGCAGACCAGAGCATTGACGATCTCCTTGCTAGCTCGAATCGCATGGATACTCTACACACGATACAAAGACACGAGTCATTTCCTACAAAGCAGCCAATCGATATCGCGCGCATACTTCTTTCGCCTCTTGATGCTGGCCAGCATCGATGTACTCGTGACCCTTCCCTTCGGCATCACGACCTTTGTCTTGAGTCTCCTCTCCCAGTTCGAGCAGGTCGGCAAGCATATAACCTTCTATGAGGGCTGGGATACCATTCACAGCGATTGGACTCCTGCCGGTGTGACCTACGCCGAATTCAGGGCCGCTGGACCAGCCACTATTGCGGAGATGTATTTCTCGCGGTGGTCTTCGCCCTTTCTTGCATTCGTCATATTCGCACTATTCGGTGTGACTGGGGCGGCGCGCGGTACTTATTGGGAGCTCCTTCGTACAGCGATGAGATGCCTGGGTTGGAAACCGCGTGTGCTTCAACAGGAGTCTTCAGCATTGGACACGATGGCCTTCGGTTCGCGTCCTCAAGAGACGATACGCGATGTAGAGTCCGGGTATGTCGCCAGCCAACTGTCGCATGAGAGCGGGGGATCACCGGTATACGTTTAGGTCTTCTGAGCACCCAAGCTCTTCAGACATCGAAGTCTCTGGCGTCAACTCGGATACAAAGAGTGATACCCGCAATGAAGTACGCATCGAAGACAAGCCCACCTTGCATGAGTCTTAGTATGAACGGTGCGTACTGTCGCTCACCGGACTGTTTCGTTGTTCAATGTTGCTGATGCGATCCTTGTGTGCCCTTTATAGACACAACTCTTGCCTGGTGCTTGTTCCCGGTGTTTGTTTGCCGCGCCTGTACTGTTATGTGTGATATGTCGCGGTCATATTCAGTTCTCCAGAGATGTGATCCATATCTGAGGATCGGGGAAGTCCAGGAAAGAAGGATAACCTCTCTACGGTCTAGACTCCCTCGCGCGATCTCATGCTTCTGCGGGCGGCTATCCCTCACAGATAAAGCTCTGGGCCGACTGCCTTTCCTTACCTCATGGAATGTGCCAAGAGGTAGAGCCATTCTTTGTGATCAGACGATCAGTACAAATTTAGCGTGCCTATGCTTATAATGCGAGTTGTGGCGTGAGTCGTCCCAACTCGTTCGGCGATCGACAGGCGCTTCTGCGCTTGCACTATGAGTATAGAGTCATCATCTCTCACACGACGCACTGCGGTAGGCCGTACATGTAAATGCATGGGCGACGCATGCGTGTAGAAGCGAGATGGGAGACGCATGCGGTACAGGACTCACCTCGCCGCCTGCCCTTCCAGCTCGCCTCCCACCCATCGCCGTCTTGATTTCGAGAAGATTCCGACCTCGTCATGAACTCCGTCGATGACTTGAAGACGCGTTGAGCTTATGATCAGCTTCGAAGGTCCGCTGCGGGCATGCGCGATCTTTGAGGTGTTGGGAACTTGTTAATGATTGAAGATTGGCCGCTCTGAACATAGCTCGTTGCCCGGGTCCATGCACCAATACCGTTTTCATAGAACGCAAATCAAGAGGAGCATGCTCTTCATGGATCGACAACCGTGGGCCCTTGTCACGTTGCGTTCCAGCTGGAGTTATAGCGCGCGCGCTTTCCGCCGAAGCAACAAACGCTCGCATTGAGAGTTCATCGACGTCTAGGCCCTCCCCTACCAGAAGTGCATACAAAGGCCAGCGCATCTAATTCATAGCGGCAAACAACGGTTCGCGGTACCCGAACGCTACATGCCCCTATCCCGTACGTAGAACAAACCAATGACATCGCATCAGTTCGCCTTCTCTCCGTTCGAGATCATGACAGTACTGCATCTCCGACCTGAGCTTCTTTTGAGTCTGTCGATCTTCGAGAAGGACGATCGTGAGATCAGTAGGCAGTTGCTTGCGCCCTGTATGCGTCGGTCCGATGGGCATGTAGATCGCAGACCGTCGAAGCTGTGGCGTATGCGCATTTGACTGCGACGGTAGGGCAGAGACTGGGTAGCCTATCCCCGTCGACGTGGATGTCAGTCGCGTTGAGGTGCGGCGGGAGGATGTGCGTGTGCCGTGAAGGTACTTCGCCTACTTCGCCAGTACAACGTGCTCGTCGCGCGGTGCCACACGTCGGGCACGCGCGGAACCGATCTTCACGCGCTGTCATTTATCTTCAACTCGCTCACTCGCGAGTCAGACTCCGCACAATAAACGGTCAATCTCTATACCTTTCCGATGAAGATGAAGATGCACCTGTCATGCGTTGCGCCCTGCGCAGAGTCAACGCACCTCAGATCGACTTATCACCCGGACCCGCCTGATAGGAAAGAGCACGAGAACACCCACATACAGGGTGCCCACCTCTTCAGACTTCGGATCGTAGCCCTCATCTCTACGTGCACTCCGTACCTGATCAGACGTCGAAGCGCAAAACAAGCGCATAGTTGCTGTAATGCTGTAGGAATGGAGACCCTAGCAGCCCTTTCATCCGCGTCTTCTCTTCTGCAGCAGCACCGCACGCGGCGGCCATGTCCCTACAGGCCCGAGGCGCCTAAACAAGCTCTAGCTTGAGACTGCGTAATGGCATTGCGATAGCGATAGCACGGCGTGCTGGTATGCGAAAGCCAAGCGCGAACAGAACTACAGAACCCCGGAAGACCGCAGGGGAAACCCGGGCGAAACCCACGCTGCGCCGGGACCGTCCGAGCGAGGTGTGGCACCGCGTCCTGACTCCCGTGCCCCTCGTGCCCCTCGCGTTCGTCGACGGCCATATTCTGATGCTCCCTACGACGTACGGGGCGCGCCACACAAGTACGCCATAGCACACGAGCTCGCCTCGTAACGCGCCGGCAAACCGCGGGTATAGACGCGCGGCTGTCCCGAAGGAGGTCCCGCGCGCGCACGACGTCAATGCGCCACACGTACAAAGCTTGCGCGCATATCACGCGCATATAAAACTTTTCATGATCGTCGTAAGTGTATGTGAACAAGGAGCCTTATTCATGCAGAACAAAGCAAGGTCAGCATCTTCCGCAAGCGTCGCATCGCGCACACGACACTCGTCGTCCTCGGCGTCAACGGCAGTCGCCGAGATCTGTCCAGCACAGCGACCAGCTGTCACTGTCAGGGCCCCACCAACATCCTGCGAACTTACAACAGAGCCACCTGGGGAGCGCCAAACTGATCGCGGCGCGCGGAAAAGACGCCCTCCCGACGAACCTTCGAACACTTCCCGTGAGCCCATAGATCGCGTCTTCCGAACTCCTTCTGGCCCTCCGATCGCAGAGTTTGAACCTTAGCATATAGCGTACGACGCAGGTGTTGAATTGAGGCCGCCGGGCAGCATACGTCAGCTCGCGCCACAGTTGCTTTGTTTACAGTTCGGTTCGGGTGCGGCGGCGCGCGTCAGGCGAACGTGCGCGCGCTGTCATACGCGACGTGCAGCATGCTGCCGGTGGCAACCTTGATGGCAATAAACCGACTCCATAACACTGACAACGGTCCCACAGCCCCACGCCGACAAATTTGTCGTTGATGGCGGAGAGCGGCAGACGCCGATAGACGGTACGGAAGTGGAGCGGGAGCGAAACGGTTCTCGGTTTCACAGATAGCCGCTCGTCATGATCATGCACATGCCCGACGTCGACGGCGGCGTCAGGTCTGTAAATTGGGGTATCACACGACAAGCACGCATCACACGATACCGCACCCGCGGCGCGCAGTGAGAGAAATTATGAACAAGAAGGGCGCACATACGGCCCGTGCATTCACCGCGTACATACAAGCTTGTAGGCGGTAGGGAGGGTGGAGAGGGTGTAGGTAGAGTGGGTGGGGTAGCGACGACGACGATGAGGATAGGGGTGGGGTGGACGGGCGTGGTAAGGGCAGCAAGAGAGAGTAGAGTAGAGCATAGTGTACTAGGTACTATATCACACGGAGGTGCAGCAGAACCAGGCCACAATAACGGACAGCGAGCAGAGCATAACGGACCAGACGTGAAAAGACGAAAGAGAGAGAGCAGAGTACGAGACGAGAAACGAGACCGTGGCCAGATGGGGGAAAGTGGGTGGAAGACGAGACATGCAAGTGGGGTTGGCCTATGTACAGTGGTGATGGGGATGGGGGAGGGGAAGCAAGCAGACAGTGTATAGGGACGGAGTGCAAGAAAGGAGAAAGAACAACACGAGGGGCAAGGGCAAGTACACGGTGGAAGCGAACAGCGTCCTGGGAGTCTAGCACTCCTGAGCCGGGTCCCCGCCCGCACCATGTTCAGCGAAGAAGTACTCGTCGTCGAACCCAAACGCGTCGTCGTCTTCGTGGTACGCGTCCACGAGGGCAATGGCGACGGCGACGGGAGCACGTGAACTGGAAGAGGCGCTCGACCGCAACAAGCTGGGTGTGCTGGGAGCATCACTCTCGTCGTCAGAGTCATCCGGTACGGCGTCAGGTACCGGGGGCTCGTCGTCGTCAAGCGGCGGGTAAGGCAGTGGCGGGTATGCGTACGAGCTTGACGCGAGCAGCGGCGGCGCGTAGGTATACACGGGGCGCGAGAGGGCGGTGTGCTGATGAGCGAGGAGGTCCTCGTCTGATGTCGCGGGTCCGTAAACGGGCTCGAACTCATCGAGATCTTCGCCGTCCGAATCGGGTAATGCAGGCAACGGCTGCTCGGCGTCGACGGCGCACGAGAAGCAGTCGTCCTCTTCGTCCTCCTCGTCGTGGTCGAGCTCGTCGAGCAGGTTATCGAACCACTGAGCCTCGTCTGTGTGATTCTTGGCTGGAGACGGGTCAGGGAAGACGAAAGCGGCACCGGCGCCGGCATCCGGTTCTGGGGCCACGGGCGATGCCGGTGGAGTAGTGGAGGGCTGTACGACGGCCAGTGCGGGCGAGAGCGAGTTGATGAGCGAGTTTTTGAGGAGGACCCAGCGATGGAGGGATGTGTTGTCGCGCGGGCCGGAGCCCGAGGCGAGCTGCAGCTTGGACCGCGCGGCGGCGGCAGCTGCAGTGGCGTGGGAGGAGCCGAGCATTGGTGGGGGCGGTATGGGCGGTTGTGGGCGAAGGGCTGGAGTATATATCACAAGTCAACACGAGGGGCCACAGCGGGCGGACGGATGGCGACGGGCTTACACGAGGTGAGGCGAGGCGAGGCAGGCGAGTCAAAAACGCAAAAGTTCGCGGAAGATTTCTCTGGGTTTAACGGTGTATACGGAATACGATTGTGGGCTCGAAGAGGAGATGGCCGTGCTGGGTCGTGCGCGCGAGCTTGTCAACCATGCTGCAGGGTTGTACGCTGGGCAGTATATGTGTGACGGGTGTTGTAATGTAAAGCCTTAGAGAGGGCTAGACAATAAACGTATTGGGCGAGTCGACAAGTTGCGAATTAGGGCGACATTGTGCGGGCTGGCTGGGTGACACGGGTGGAGGGAGGAGAGAGCAGCACAACGCGCGCACGGGCTTATGACTGCTCCGCCTTCGGCGCACTGACTCGACTTACGTAAATCGATCCCTGCCCACCTTTCGGACGTTGTCGGCCCCCGCTCCGCCGTCACTTTCCGTGCGCGCCATCACGCCAGACCGTCGCACTCTCGAACAATAACCTCCCAGCGAGCGCGAAATGGTGCGTGTATGTCGACCGACAGACGCGAGCAAAACAAGTAAGGCTATCTACAAACAAACACGCCACGGCCGCGCACCCGTCGCGCTACCCTCAGCCCCGGGGAAAAGGCTAACCCTCGTCCATGCTCTCGTCCGCCCGACCGTCTTTAACGGTCTCCATGAGCTTCTTAATCTTCCCCACGCTCTTCGGACTGACATCCCGCGCAACAGCCAGCATCTGCGCGCTCCTCACCGCATCGCCCACGAGCCTGTACGCCCGCGCGAGCTGGAACACGACATTGCTCTCGTCCGGGCTGCTATCGCGCAACACCTCGAGGTCCTTGATCGCCGCCTGCCGAGTTCATAGAGAGATCGCATAAGTAAGATGCACTTCCCCGACCGTTGACATAAAGATAAAGGCTCGCGAACGCACCTCGTACCGCTTCATCCCGATAAGCATCTTCGCACGCCGGTACCGCACCAAGGCGTTCTCAGGAGCTAAACGGACCGCCTCGTCGAACAGCGCCAGGGCGCCTTCCCGGTCCCCGCGGCGCTCGACAGCCTGTAAACAAAGCCCGAGTCAGCGTCAATTGAACGTCGGAAGCGTCCACCAGACATTTAGTACAGAGTGCGTTCGGTCGGAATGAGTGGAAGATGCCGACGCCAAACGTCAGTAGCGCGCCAGCGATAAGCGAGACCGCATACACGCGAGTCAGCACCAACCAAGCGGGGCTGGCCCGATAATGAAAGCACGAAAAGCTCGCCGCGATACGAGAACAGCAAGTCGGGCTCGCGAAGTGATTGCGCGATAAGAGGCGAAGGTGCTTCGGCCAACTCGACGCGTAATCAGTAAGGCATAGCCCCGCGCAATACAGCCATACAGGCCAGAGCCGTAAGACGATCGCGAGAGGACGCGGTTCAAGCGCCAACGATCGCCAGGCGTCCAACCGCTCGTCGCTTTACGCGCAGGGCCTATCGGCGAAGTGGCGCCAATAGGGGCTCGCGAGGGTAACAGCGGAGAGAACGCATAGATAGCGAGCTCTGTACACGTCCGCACGCACGCGTGCTGGGCATGTACACACATAACCAGCGATCGCGCATCCCCTCCCAGCCAGCTCGTAAAGGATACGAGCGGTGCGAACTGGCACAGCGCAGCCGCCGGCAGGCGGGGCTACGATAAGGGCTTTTCGCCGCGCCGGGTAACAAAAGATCGGAGTGCGGGAGAACAGACCGCGTTGATGAACGAGGTGATGAAAGGGAAGGATGGGAGCTGGAGCCGGGGCTGGGGAGGTCTGGGAGGAAAGAACGTACCATCCCGACGCAGCCTAGCAGGACCGCGTTATTTGGATGAATCTCCGCCGCTTTGCGATAGTGGTACTCGGCCATGCGTATCTTGCTCATGCGCAGGTAGCACGTCCCTAGTCCATACCTGTACGATTCAGACTTGTTAGCACTCTGTTCTCTTCTCTTCATTCTCCATCACAGAAAAAAGAGGTGTAGGGAATGATCACGCGAGCAGGAAGAGCAGAAGGGGAAACAGCGCGCCCAAACAAAGCCCCGGGACTCCCGCGCATGATGATACGACGAGAAGCGCACAAGATTCGAACTCAGCGCGGGACGAGGCTAATCTGCCGTCGGGAGAAGGGAAGCGCGCGCGCCACCCCAATCCGCTCGGCCGGCGCGAGCACGAGGCTCGCAGCCCATATCGAGCGCACGCATTGCCCAAACGACAGCCCCGCGCTGCCCGACGGCGCTGGACCCAGCCGCAAAGGTGGCGCGGATAGACGCGACAAATAGGCAGGGAAGCTGCCGCGGCGATAGACGAAGCATCACGCGCCACGGAGTCCGACAGCGAGCCTCGTCGAAGAGGGAAGAGGCGCGTCCAAACTCGGCCTCCGAAGTTCGCACATCCGCCACAAGAATGCGCGCTGCCATAACGACTTCGACGCTCCATCAAGCACGCGCGCCTGCGGTGCTGTCCATTGTCCTCATGCACCAGACACGAGCACCAGATCGTCGACCTCTCTGCCCGAAGAGCGCATATTCGCGTGATATGCCCCGACCCGACGTTGATATCGCGCCACCCCCTTTTGCTCATCCCACACGAGCGCGATAAACAGAGTTTGGGAGCGGATCACACGGCGCGCCCTTTTTGGCCCGGCGATCAAACCGTGAAATGCGGAGGCAGACGCGTCTGCGGGGCACAGAGGTCGGGACGGAAGACCGGCGCGGTGCGATAGGGGGTTCGGGCCTGTGGTCTGCGCCTGTCTGCGCAGGGTACGGCAGGTAGACGGCAGAGGCAGGAGAGACGCCTTAGAGAGAGCGGTCGTCTCTGAGCCGAAGGCGCGTCGGCCGAACGCACAAGCGCCCACTGGTCGGACCAACTCAAACACCCAAACACCGAAGGAGCAACGACGGCTCGAAACACACGGACAAACGAAAAAGGTCAGAGACGTACCAGGCGTTGTAATGCCTCGCGTCGGCCCTCAGCGCCAGCTGGAACTCCTGCACGGCCCGATCCACATCATCGTCGATCGTCTCGTGCCCTGCGAGGGTATGGGCGTATGCGCAAGCCTCGTCGAGTGCGGCTGCGCGTCGGAAACATGATAATGCTTGTGCTCGACGGCGTTCTAGGGAGAACGTGTTGCCAACCTGGAACTTGGTATCAGTACATACAAGATAATGGCGATGGAGCAAGCGTACGGCTATCCAGGTTTGTGGTGCCTTTGGGTCGACGGCCATCAGCTCTTGCGCAAGGAAGGCGAGTTGCACTTTGCGACGGAGGTGCCAGAGTAAAGTACTGTAGACCTCCATATCCCACATCCTGTACGGCTCGAGAATGCGTACGGCTTCGAACGCACGTTCGGCCTGGAGAGTTTCATTCAGTGTTGAGAATCTAGCCGAGAAAGGCAGAGGTTTCTCACCGCCATATAATCTGTCCGCTCATAATGAGCCCTCCCGACCATGGCCATAACATGTGGACTCCGTTGGTGTTTATGTGGCAGCTTATCCAGCTCCTCCATGCACAACGCAGTGTCATATGAAGCAAGCGCCCGATGTGCTGACGCGAACAATCGCATCAGATCGTAGATATATTGCTCGGCGAGCAAGTCCCCCTCGTCAGGTAGGACAGCTGGCGTATGTGGTGGCGCAGCAGCAGATGCAGAGGATGCAGACCGCGGCGGATCATCGTCAGACTCGGCTGAACGAGCTACAGGTGGTGGAGGTCGTGTAGTCCGTGTTCTCGTCGATGGCGGCTTAGTGGTCGCTTTTGCCCCTCCTGCGCCAGTCCCACCAGCCAACCTCAAACTCCTCCTCGTCCCCGCATCATCCAACTTGGCCGCCGCACGTTGAGCAGCTTTGACAGCAGGCGGCGGTGCATTCGTCCGCCCCAGCGCAGCCCTCTGCCCAGCCTTCTTCCCATTCGTCACCCCTCCAATCCTCGATTCCGCCGCTTCTGGCTTATGCGCATGTCCATTGACAGTCGTATCGGACGACGAAGCCGCGCCGGAGCGCGTGAGATGTGACCCTGTTCGCGCCTTTTTATGAGCGGGTGCACCATCGTCTGCAGGCGAAGAAAGCGGACGGGAGTTTTGTGACGAGGCAGCTTTGACCCGCGATGGAGGTATAGGTGGATGGGCAGCGAGAAAAGAGGGCTCGCCATATGACGACGTCTCGCTCATCCTATATATCCGCATCATCATCAGTCATCCAGTGCTACTATGAAACCAATGTGGTCGTGGGCAGAGGGGACGCACATTGACTCGCGCGGGTGCACGGCGCCTAAGCGAAAGTTGCCCTCGCCTGCGTTTGCGCGTCGGAATAGGCCTGCGCCTGCGCTGACGGGTTCGGGGCTGAAGAATGCTGCTCCGGATGTGGCGGGCCGTGCGATGCCTTCGTCGCCGGCTGGATATGTTCTGCGCTCGTGCGCGCGCGTGGGGAACAGCTCCTCGATCTCGGGCACGTTACCTATACGTCAGGTCAGCGATCATAACTTACCATTGTGGTCAGAATGTATACCAAGAGTACACAGCCCTTCAAATGCTTCCCAAAGGTATGGGTGTAACCGAAGTGCAGCCAACAATTCAATGCGCGCCTGCTCGGGCAGGTTTCCGCGCAACGCCGCGAGGCCGGCGCGCGCGTGCAGCACAGCGTCGGGCGGCAGAGCGCTTATCGTTCTTGGTTCGCAAGCAACTACCCAGTATCAGCACAGGTCATGTCAGACATTTCAAACATAAACCACGCACGCGATGGTCCCAACACCGTGACCTGCGCCGCCCGCGCAAGCGCCTCATGCGCCTGGCGGTGGCGCCCGAGTTTCTCACAACACGACGCCTTGATATCGTAGCACGCGCGGCATGGCACAGCGTCGTCCCTATGATTGACCAAAAACAGCGCCGAATGGATCTGCTCGGCTTTCAAGAGCGCGGTGGCGTAGAGATGGCGGGCATCGTGGTTCGTGTCATCGAGCGCAAAGTAGCGCTCGGCGTAGAATAATGCCGATTTGGCGAGGTCTGCGTCGAGTAGGGACCAGATTAGCGCGGTGAAGCGCGCGGCGAGGGCAGGGAAGAATGATGGAGGCGCGGGGTCGGGACTCGACATCGTTGTACGTGCCAGTGCGCGATGGATCCTAAGGCATTTCAAACCGCTTTGTCATGTGATCGCGGACAATCCCGACGCGCCTATAGGCGTACACTAGGGCACATGCTTCCTCCGACTACCCCTCGTACATGACAGACCTGAAGTAGGATTAGAACATTCCAGTCGTAGGAGTAGAGCCCGAAGAGGAGTAGTGTGACATCTAACGGCCTAGTAAAATCACCATACCGTAGCCCGTTTAGCTCAGTGGTAGAGCGCGCCACTCGTAATGGTGAGGTCGGTTGTTCAATCCAGCCAATGGGCATCGGTAAAGTCTTCCCTTCATTTTGTATTGGGGCTATAGATCTATATCTCTCGCACTTCTGCATCTCATGACTTTCCAGCCAGCTGAAGTGTGCTTTGACAATCTCAACGAGCTACAAAATACAACTCTTGAGACATCACTTAATAAGTAGGCTTTGAAACTGCCACGCCTCTGCGGGTTCTATGATACTATGATACAACACAATATTTTAGTGCCCATGCCCATCATCCTTCTGCTCCGCGATACACTGAATCGCATCGTCGATCCTCAACAAGCTCACAGCAGCCTCATACGCGCTCTTCAAACTCCTCACTTTGCTAATCGTCGGCTCAAGAACACCCGCCGTGACATTATCCCTGACCTCGCCGTTCAGCAAGTCCAACCCGTACCGCAACAACGCCTTCTTCGGGTCACCAGCCGGTGCGGCCTGCGCAGCGTTGTGGTAGGCCCTGAGCTTGGCGACGAGCTCGGTGCTGTCCTTCGCCGCGTTGACTGCGAGCGTCTTGGGGATGACGAGGAGAGCGTTGGCGAATTCCGCGATGGCGAGCTGTTCGCGGCTGCCGAGCGTACGCGCGAAGTTCTCCAGGTAAACGCACAACGCGCTCTCCACCGCGCCACCTCCGGGTACAACAGATCCGCTCTCAAGCGTGCGCTTGATAACGCTAAGCGTGTCGTGCAACGCCCGCTCCATCTCGTCGAGCATATAATCGTTCGCGCCGCGCAGAATGACCGAAGCGGACGAGACGACCTTGGTGCCCTTAACAAGGATCAACTCGTCGTCCGAGATCCTCTCCTGCACAACCTCGTCCGCGCTCCCCAAATACGCCGCCTCAAACGTCTCCTCGCCCTCCAGATTCGCCAGACTGCTCACGAGCGTCCCGCCCGTGGCCTTCGCGATCCGCCTCAGGTCCTCCTTGCGGCACCGGCGCACGGCCATCGCGCCGGCCTCGACGAACTCCTTGAGCGCGAGGTCGTCGATGCCCTTGGTGGTGAGGACGACGTTGGCGCCGGCGGCGAGGATCTTTTTGATGCGGTCGAGGGTGATGCCGGCTTCGCGGGCGCGGATCTGTTCGAGCTGTTCGGGGTCGTCGACGAGGATTTGGACGCCGAGCTGCATGCGCGTTTTGCGGAGGTCGATGTCGAGGCAGGCGATTTTGGCGTTGGATATCCGCGTCTTCATCGCTGAAAGGCTATTGGATAGTGTTACTCAGGATAGGAGATACAGATGCTTACCTTGTGATGCGACGGTGCAGTTCAGAGCGTAGCCCTTGACGAATATCGACTCGCGAGCGCTGCGACCATGCGCCTTGAGCACGTTCACGGCTTTCACCGGGTACTTGGTCTCTCCTCGCGAGTTGACCGTCTTGACAGCAAGCATCGCGTCAACAGCCATGGGCGCAAACAAGTCATCATCGCTACGCCAGCATCATTAGCTTGAGAATAAATACAGAATAAACCATACATACCCGCCGATGATTTTACTGCTCATACTGGTCTTTGCAGCATTGATCAAAGCTGGCCTCCCAAGGCTCTCAACAGAAACGGCGAGCTGATCCTGCATGAACCTGACAGCCTCCCTGCATGCAAGCCGATAACCCGTGATGATCGTCGTAGGATGGATCTTGGCTTTGACGAGCTCGTTGGCCCTGCGAAGAAGCTCGGCGGCGACGATGACGACCGAAGTCGTGCCGTCGCCGACTTCTTTGTCTTGTTTTTGTGCAAGGTCGACGAAGATGCGGCCTGCAGGCTGTTCGACGGCGAGCATCGAGAGGATCGTGGCGCCGTCGTTGGAGATGGTCACTTCCTGCATCATCAAACGCGCGTCTAAGTAAAGCGCGTTCCCTGGTGTCCAAGAAATAGTAAACGTACACCGATGTTGTCCACGAGCATCTTGTCGAGTCCAAGAGGTCCAAGCGAGCTCTTCACGATATTCGCGATCGTCTGTGCCGCGATGACTACGACACGCGTTTCCCTCAATATCTTACGCGTCAAAGATTCCCACCACTATACACGCACCATTCTGATCGCGAATATCCTGACCGGATATACGGTCTCCACCAAGGAACGCGCCAGCTCTCGGGTCACGCTGAAACATAGACATCCTTTTTGCTTCCAAGTCCGAAGGTGCGGATACGGATGCAGGACGAGGAGATGGAGGCAGAAAGACGCAACGCGGCGCGGTCAGCGAAAGACGCGTAAAACACGCGTCGACTGATCTGCTCCCACGGGGGGTCTACAGTCTTGTCCGCGACCACCACGCGCCGCGTTCTTATTGGAGCAACTTTCTTCTTGTTCAGATACTCGGCGCGCTCGTGTGACCACCGCCCAGTTCGAGGGTGCTGATAGGTCTGATATGGGCCTGTGCTGTAGATAACAGAGCTGTAGCATGTCGGCATGGAGGCTCCGAGGGCTATATACCCCCGTTTCCGCCTATATCCGATGCCGCAGGCGGGGCGGGCGCCGGACATGCTGCAGCTATATAGCCTCGGAACGGACAACCAGTTATTAGATAGCACCCTCACACACGACTGCTACCTACGCCCCGTCTCCCCATACACGACTGACTGCCTAGAGCTATACCTCCTTCCCTCCTAGACATACCCATACCCAATCATACAATGGCTACTACTTCTACCTTCATCCTCGACCCGTACTTCGGCGAGCTCTTCTCGTCCTACACGCCCGCACAGCAAGCAGCCAATGTGGACTCCCTGCGCACGCTCATGGACAAGATCCAGTCCGGCGACGCACACGCGCGCCGCGAGATGGGCATCATGTCGCACCCCGCAGACGGCGAGGAGGACGCGGAGGACGAAGTGCGCGTTGCGCTCGCGCAGTGTTCGTGGCAGATGGCCCAGCTGCTTCGTGTAAGTGCAAGCTCAAAGTTTAGCACCCCGAAACGAGCTTTGATTGACGTGCGAATCCTTCTAGTTCTCATCACCCCCGCGCCTCGCTGAGGCAGAGCCATATCTCCGCACCGCACTGGCCCACGCGCCGAATGACCCCGACCCCACACTCTACCTCTCCGTCGTCCTCTCCCTGAACTCCGCGCGCTCCGAGGAGGCTATGTCGACTTACAACGGCATTATCAACGCCTCCGGGAACGTATACACCAATGCGTGGGCCGGCGCCGCTCTGGCGCGCATGCTGCGTAGGACAGGACGAACCGCCGAGGCACAGACGCTCGAGGCGCGTGCGGTGTATGTTTCGTTTCTATTCGTGGTGGTGGAACAGATTGGCTGACGAAGTCTATCAGCGCTTCACTTCGTGGTCTCCCGCCCGCCTCGGTCCGCATGCTCTTGCCGTCCGACGATACCGCCATCCTCGAGCACCCCGCCGTGCGCGCGCTGCTTGGCTCCGACTCTGCGTCTGCTACTGGCCCTGGTGCGCCGCTGCGCAAGTCGACTGCTGTTACTGCCTAGATGATGTTGTCGTTGCTTGCCTGGTGTTGTTCTTGTTCTTGTTATTGAGTGCTGTCATCTTGTCTTTGTCACTATAATTGGTTACCCCCGGTGGATGTCCTCGTTTATAATCACTGTACTATACTTGCTCAATAGATTGCTCTTGCTCCATACCAGGCATGCATGTCGTCTGTTCAAACAACATAGCAATGGAGTGTATCAGGCGCATCCTCTGCCGTGGTGCTCATTGCTGCAGAATAGAATTCATCACTGTCGCCACAAGCTGGTGATGAGCGAGAGGTATCGACATATGGTGGCAGATCCCTTCCTCCACGAACTTCCAACACAGACCTTGATCTCAAGAGGTAAGTCTGCGGGAGGAAGGCGGTTGAAGGACACTGCCGACGCGCATCCAAACTTGACGACCTGCAGCAGACGAAGATCACTATGGCTAGGTGTACACCAGCGAAAACAGGCGACCGGCATTGTGTAGCAATCGAGATCTACCGATGCAGGTAGCAGGCTACCCATACGCAGGACATGAATACCCCATCACTCTTTCTGAATTCGTGCGCCCAAAAAGCGACATTTCATAAGGTACTTGAACAAGCATGGAAAGATTAGAGACAACAACGGTCTCAAATAGTATATGAGCATCATCATCCGTAAGTCAAACGCCCTATGTCTCTCAACGAGGGAACTCAGGCGGCAACAGGCGACCACTCCTGCTTCTCACTGCCCGAGCAAGCCGAGTAAGTGATCTGTAAAGCAATCAGCACCTCCCTCCACCCGAAAACGATACAACACCACTTACAGCGCTTCCCTCCGTGGTGGAGGAGGCGGTCAAGCAGTACACGCCCGAGCCCGTACCAGCAACAATGGGGCCCTTTCCAGTCTCGCCCTGGACAGTCCAACGCTGAGCCGCATCGTCCTGGCAGACGTCGAGAATGAGAGTGCCGTCGACGTCCAGGCCATGGGCGCTAGCGCAAGCCTTAGGTCCGGCGCCGGAGAGCGTCGCGTTGAGCGCGAGCTGGGTGGCCGTGCCGGGCGCGCCGCGAGGGAGGTTGAATGTGGTCAGCGCAGAGTTGCACGACTCGAGCGAGAGCGGGGAGCCGACGGCCGTGCCGGTGCTGCCGACGCAGAGGTCGGTATTGGTCGTGAGCTGGAGCTTGGCGACCGAGTTGGGAGCGATGCTGGATAGGACAGAGGGTCAGTGATGCTGGCGAATGGAATGTGAGATGAACTTGCCTTGCCGAGACGGCGGTGAGCGCGAAGGCGGAGAGGACGGTGGAGAGAAGAAGCTGCATGTTGCTTGCTGGTTGAGTGGAGATTGAAAATGTGGATGAGAGCGGAGGAGTAGAGATGCTTGCTGTCCGTAACTCGATGCTCAAGACGAGTACTTATACTCCTAGCAGATCACCGCCCATATCATATATCTGCACCGATACCCTAACTCTGCGATGCACTATACAACAAGAGACCGAGGAAGCGATCAAGCGTGGCGAAGCGGCTTGCCGACGCCGTAGAGGTCCGGGATGTTCGGTAGATGCTGACCGGAGATCAACGCATACACGTTGGTGTACGGTGCTGGAGAAGTCGGTGCACCAGATGCGGGACCGCTGAGCAAGGCTTGGCTACGAAATAGCCCGCCGTCTTGATATCGCCAGATGGTCTTCGGTCCACAGCGCATCTTGTGAAGAGTCTGCGCGAGAGAACTGCAGAACAAAAAGAGGCATTACCGGATAATATGACTGCTACTGCCCTCGCCGCTCGTTCGACGCTCACATCTAGGTCACAGTCTTGCTACTCATGTCGTAGAAACGTAGCGTGAGGGCGATACTGAATGGCCGTAAGACATGAAAGACACGGGTTCATACATAGCCCGGCGTTGTACGCGCCGTATTGAGAAGCCTCATCTCTCCTGGATGTGCCCGATACCCGACGGGACCGCTGAGCTTTGGCGGGGTCTTCCAGGTGTCGGATCAGAGGACACCGTGCTTGGCAGTGGCTTCGAAGCGGCAGATAAGTCCGTGTACTAGGGGACTGTCGACTTGTGTAAGCATGGTGCAAGGCATTGTGACTGTATAGCTCATGATGGGGGTGGAAGGGAGGAAGTCTACGGAGCGGAGTGAAGTCCGCGAGTCGCGGTAATGCCCGACTGCGACGAGACGCGCTCTCGAACATCGACGTTGTTTGCCTCTGGCTGTCATGCACCATTTCCCGCCCTGACATACGAACTACATCCTCACCGGCACCGCGAAAGCGAGGGGATCTTCTGACAGAGAAGCCATGCATCCCACTCAGCGTATCACCAGTTCGAATCCGTGGGAGCTTCAGCATCGTCGTTCAGGTTCAAGAGACGACCTTCGAGCCATGCAATCGCGCTCTGCTCATGCGGTCGATCTGTACACTCGCGTGTGTCAGCGCATAGTGCACCACAACTTGAGTACTGAGCGCGAGCTAGCAAGTCGTACACACTGATCTAGATACTCTATGCATGCATGACTTCATCGATATCCACCCGTCATGATGAATGCTCGCTTCAAGCCACAAGCTCGAGACCCTCATGGAGCGGCTTGGTTCTCGACTGGGGTTTCAGCGCTGCCACTCATCGCGAGCATTGCCGAACGTCTCCGCCTAAATAGGTTGTGCGCTCAGTTATGGCTTTCCTTTGCGTCGCTCGGTTCCTCGCCGTCCAGTCGCTCGGTCCGGTCTTTCGAGTTCTCATCGACGCTCCTTTGGTTCACCCTCTAGCTCTCTTTACTCCCTCTCACTCTCTTTAGCATTCAGTTACACCAGGAGTCATTGGTAGCACGATGTTCACTCCTTCAAACCTCCTTCTCCCGGTTCTCCTCGCCGCGAGCGCTCTCGCGCATCCTCACCCGAACACCCCGCGCGACGTGCATCAACACCAGGCGCGCAACGTCACCGAGCGCGACATCATCTCCGACCTTGGACACTACACCTCCGCTCGGTGGACGTACTATACCCCAGGTCTGGGCGCGTGCGGCGCATACAGCAAGGAAAGCGACTATGTGAGTCTTTCTCTCTTGTCCTAGCGGTTCGAGGAGGGTACTGACAAACTTCCCAAGATTGTTGCGCTGAACTCAGCGGTACGTCTATGCAAGATGCCACGGGGTTCATCTATTGACTGACCCGTATACAGCAATGGGACGGCGGTAAGCATTGCTGGCAGCACATCAAGATGCAGTACGGTGGCAAGACTGCAGACGCAACCGTCGTTGACCAGGTGATGCCCCTTTGATTCATCGCGGAGTAAGTACTGACGGCCTACCAGTGCCCCGGCTGTCCTCACGGCGGGCTCGACCTGTCCCCTGGTCTCTTCAAGTACTTCGGCTCCGAGTCGCTTGGCGTCCTTTCGGGCTCGTGGTCCTTCACCTGATCGTCATTCTCGCATGCCACGCACTTTCCTTGCAGTCTGAAGACGTACATGTTGTTGCAATGAAAGCATTTTTGGCTCGGAATCGAAACAGGTCGCGGCTGTGGCCAACGGTCCGGCACGTTTTACGCTGCATGTTCAAATTCCAAGGACCTCACGTTCGAATGTCGAGACCGCCAGCGCGTGCCACTCAGAGGGTTTGTTCAACATTCTCGTGACAAACCATGTTTCGGGGGCTGGCACCCATCGCGCTTACTGCGGTGCTCCGCGACGTATATACATCGTCCTCGAACAGTTGAGATCGCCTCTTGCGTCGTATGATCTTCGTCGTCCCGTCGCACTCTCCAGCGCCGCTCCATTTGACGCTCTTCAGCTCCTCTACGCTCGCTTCTTCCTTCGTTTCTCTCTGTTAGCTTCCCTCAACACTATATACCAGTCATCCCTCCCGATTCCCACACCTCAACATGGTTCTCTCCATGTTCCACAGCTTCGCGGCGGTTCTTCTAGCCGCCAATCTCGCCGCCGCACTCCCGAGCGGCTCTACCTTCGCCACACGCGGCGCGCACCATCGTCGCGCCCATGCGCTCGCTGCCCGCGAACCCGCGACCGACCTCGCTAAGTCACTCGGGGACCTTGGGAAGAGCTTCCAATCTGCACGCTGGACATACTACTCGACTGGTCTGGGTGCATGCGGCGGCACCAACAAGGACTCTGATTACGTGAGTCGGCTAGCTGATCCTGTTGGACCGGTCCGCTGACTACTTGTGCGCGTATGCCAGATCGTCGCGTTGAACTCGCAGGTGAGGTTGCGTCTCGTACCCATACTTCCAAATGCTTACAGTAGCAGCAATGGGATGGCGGCAAGCACTGCTGGGAGAAGATACATATGAACTACGGCGGCAAAAGCACGACAGCGATGATCGTCGACGAGGTGCGCTCCCCGCTGCGTCCTGATTCTACTTCGCTCATCTTGTACAGTGCCCCGGTTGCCCACACGGCGGACTTGACCTTTCGCCGGGCTTGTTCCAGTACTTCGGTCCCCAGTCAGAGGGCGTGCTCTCCGGCTCCTGGGAGTTCGGTGATGGTGGTGATGACGCTCCTCCGCCCCCTCCGAAATCAAGCCCGAAGCCTCAGCCCAAGCCGACAACGCAGGTAAAGCCGACTCTACTCGTGCTTTGCTCGTACTCATCGATGCAGAAGTATACCCCGCCGAGCCCCTCTCCTACGAGCTACGCTCCGACCACGCACAGCACTACCCAAGCTTCATACCCCACAATCCCCGCTTCGACGTACGCAGCGTTCAACGCCTCTCAGACTACACAAATCAGCACTCAGTATACCAACTCGACATCGACTCTCTCCGGGTCGTCATACGCATCAACGGCTGCTGCATCCGCGAAGCCCACGCTCGCATACGAAGTACAAGGCGCTCAAGAGGATGGGAACATCGCGCTGATCTATCGCGATGTCATCCAGATTGGGAACTTGGTGGAGGCAGCTTAGGTTCACAGAACGGCTGGCTTATAGTAGTCTGCGCGTGTGAGCGATGCGTATCGTCTTGTTTTCTTGTTTCATTACTATGGGTCTAGCGTGGCCGGATTTTTAGGTTGTCTTCAGGGTTGAGATCGTTGAGATTTGAAAGAACGGGCAAGAAACTTTATTTGAGGACAGGCACAGACACTGCGAGAGCTGCGTCTAGTCTATGAGCTTCAGAGTGGCCGCGTGCTTCGCACACGGCGACATACCGAGATGAACCTGCGCGTTTGGGCGAGCGATCGGCGAGTTAGGGCGCAAGATGGACGGACAATTCCGAGTGACGCGGTCACATGTCTTCGTGCTTGCTGGCTATGACGCGCCAGGACGCGCAGGACGCGCCCCTTCTTCAGCCTTCCGCAGACACACTCGGCAGTCATGTAAACGAGATACCCCCGATGACTATATCTCACACGGAGTTGTGTAAGGACAGGTAGAAGTGCGGTCGAATTCCAGGCGTAGATGGTATTATACACGCAGTGAACGATGGGTATACAGTACAGTAGATTAAGGTACTAAGTATGATAGCAGCGACTCATACTCCTGACTTGAAACCTTGAGACCGAGAATTAGCCGACTTGCCAGAGCGTACAAGACCGATCTTGAGCAAGAGAATACGTGCGCGTAGGAAGAGTTTTGAGGTCGTGGAACCTAACCGAGCACGCGATGCTGAAAGCATTGTGAGTCAACGTCCAGAACCGGCAGCGTAGTGACGTACATTCTGTCCGGGTCTCTGGTTGTGGCCCAGTACTTGCGGAATCTGTCTCACCATCCAATGAGTGCTCTATCGAGCGGCGACCGTCATGACCTTCACGCAGACTCGACTGCTCAGGGTCCGAGTCCGACACGTAGTCTGGCACCATTGGGTCCGGGTGCCGTCCCAGACGCATCTCTGCCTCGTCCATGATCCTGCGAAGAAGAAGTCAGAGGTTTGGAAACAAGTGAGTCAGTATGCCGGCGTACATGGTCAGACGCTTGACGTCTTCTAAGAAGTGAACGGGATCCACTATCTCTGTGACCATATCGAGATCATACCAGACATCAACTACGGGATCACGAAGGTCGCCAACGTCGCTCATCATGGATTCGAATGCGAGAAACATCTCGAGCCCCTCTTCGTCGCCAGCCTCGGGTGCATCCGCGTCATGATGTTCGCTCTGGCTGCCATCGTCGCTTCCAATGATAGAGATATCGTCGGGATGGTTTGAAGGTACCGGGTCGGATTCATTCCGTGCCGGTTGCCCTGAGGCGTTTGATTCTGCCCCTTCGTCCACTTCGGTCGTTGCAACGGGGAGGGGGGGCAATTCAACGAAGTCGAAGGGTTGTGGCCACTTGTCACCCTGCTCCATACGTATATTGGTCAAGCCAAACCGGTGCTTCTGTAGGATATTCCGTATGCGTATGATCTCGCGATCGAGCATTGGTAGAACAGAGGTGTAGTCTCGACTGATGGACGTGACGCGGCAAGGATATGGAAATCCGTATGTGGTGTCGAGATAGCAGTCATCCCAGGGAAGCGGTTGAGCGGGGCAGACGGTAGGTCGATTAGGGATGGAAGCGTCGTTAGGCAGGATGGCAAAGCATGAGTCCACGGTGTCAACGTTTGGAAGTCTAGGCTGGGGACGGCCTTTGCGAACGAATAGGAAGTCGTAGGGATGGGTCGGCTTATTAGGAATAGGCAATCCGTGGGTCTGTTTGGCGCACATGAAGATATGTTCGCAGTCACAAGACCTTCAACACACACCTGAACGGCCAACGCCACATATTTGCGTCTCGGTATCCGTCTAGCGGCTTTCCTTGCAGCAGCGTTGAGATGGGCAACGGTGGCGACGGGGTTGATCGACAAGATAACGAAGTCTCCGCGGTTGGGATAGTTATGGATCTCCTTCGGCCCACGTATCCACTCCTCGGCAGCTGGATTCTCGAGGTGCTTCCATGGTCGACAAGAAGGCACTGGCGCCAGATCTGGCTCAAGTTGAAACGAGGAGGAAGATGCGGTTGGCATGCCGCGTGAAGAGTGGGGATGGGATGAGAAGAAAGGTCAGGATCCCAGCTTTGAGCTTTTCGTAGTGGTGGGTGGTGCCACACACTGGGCACGTGGCAAGACTGAGGACATGAAAGGCTATGAAAGGGCGCGAGGATGAGATGTTCGAACGTAGAAAGAACGTTTGTACGGTCGTATACACTGCCTGCGTCCGCCGTCCACTGCACGTCGAAGCAAGAGCAGAGTCGAGCTACGGCGAACTTCCGCGGACCGACGCGGATCAGCGGTCAGCTCGGTCAGCGTACTCCGAGAGACGCGATCACGTGCCTTGATACTTTGCCGTCTACGATTTCTACGATGCGCACTCTCTTCGGCCTTCTGCACGTATACTGCAGACCATCGATGTTAGGGAATCGCCGCTCCATCTGGTGGTATTATATGAGAAGAGCTAATACATGCGGACACGAATGATCTACATCTGCTTGGGATCGCCTATGAATGTCGGACGAGCCCACGGCTACAAGAAGCGACGCCCTGCGCGAAAGCGAGAAGGCTTTCCGAGCAGAGCGTATCATAGCTAAGGGAGCCTACGAGACAGAAGAGCCTGTCCTGCCATCGCTGGCATCGGAGTGAAGCAGCCTGCGAACATGCTTCTTCGCAAAATAAGTGAGCTTGATCGTCAAGGACTTCATGCGACACGATTTCCCTGCTGATGATGGTTCAGTCGATAGCAAACTCGGGTATAAGAGTTTACGCACGGTTCAATGACATATTTGAGGGAAGAGATTCAGCAGGCGTAACGGTTGAGGCCACCTGCGGCTCCGGAGCCGCGCCAACCTGTGCCCGCGGAGATGCATCTGCAGAAGTGCCCTTCGGGTTCCGGTCACCCTCAAGCACGCCATCGGTAGAAGCAACACCAGCTGTGGTAGTCACTTGTGCTCTCATGCGGGCTTCCGCGTCGTTCATGATCCTGAAAGTGATGGTGAACAAGAGTAAATGCCGTCAAAGGATTTGACATACGCTCTCAGCCTCTTGACATCCTGAAGAAAGAGTACAGGATTGAGGACCTCGGTGACCATGTCCAAGTCGTACCAAGTATCCACGACGGGGTCTTGCGGGTCACCCTGATCGTTCATCATGGCCTCGAACCGGAGTAGCATGTCGAGCTCTTCGCTATCCGCATCAGACTCCGAGTCAGAGATCAAAGGACCGTCCGCGCCGACATGATCCTCGCTAGCGATGACAGAGACGTCATCGCCTTGTTGACCGGTCTTCTCAGTAAACGAATGCGTATTCGGTCGTCCAGGATCTGATGACAACGTGTGGGACGAAGCGACTGCCCTTGCCGAAGTGGGTGGCACATCAGTAGACGCGTCTACGAACGATAGTGGATCGGGTCGATCGGCACCGAATCGTTCTCTGACATAAGAGAAGCTCTCCTGCACATAGCCTTGCACTCGGACAAGCTCGTCGTCGTCCATGGGTAGAACAGGAAAGTAGTCGTGTTCGATGTTTGAAGAGCGGCATTCAAATGGAAAGCCCCACGTCAAGTCGAAGTAGCAGTCGGACCAGGGAAGAGGATGTGCGGGACGAACTGGATCCCGCGCCCCGAGCAGTGTATCATTGGGCAGGATCGCAACACATTCCTCGTCTGGGTCGCGACCAGCGAACCGTGGCGAAGGCTTTCTTTGCCGCACGAAGAGGTAGTCGAAGGGATGAAGCGCCTTGTCCTTGACAGGCAGCCCGACAGTCTGTCACAAGAGTTTCAGCCGGCTGCCCAATTGGTAGGAAACGATAAACATACCTCGATAGCCGCGGCGACGAATTTCCGGACAGGTATCTGGCGAGCGGCCTCCTGAGCGGCGGCGTCGAGATGACGGACGGAGGCGATGGGATTTAGGGAAAGTATGACGAAGTCTCCCAAATTTGGCCAAGTCTGCGTCTCTGACGGCCCACGCATCCATTCGTCGTCGTCTGGGTGCTCAAGGTATTTCCATGGTCGTCCGGTGGGGACGTGCAGGGAGTTCAGCTCCGACTCGTACTCGTACTCGCCAGCTTCTGAGGATACGGCAGACATGGTGGAAGAGAGATGGAGATGTAAGGAGGAGGAGAAAGACTCGGCCCCGATAAGTATATCGGGGCCTAGCACTTGCGGTTGAGCATGAGACAAAGGAGCAGGACAACAACTGTCAACCGCTTCGACGAGGAATACGACGCGTGCGTGATCCGTCAAAATGATCGGATCAAACGCGTCCCGTGTTCGCTCTAGAGAAGCAACTTGAACAAGGGGACGTCTTGTCCCTATAACCACGACTGTCAGCGCTGAAGCGCTCAGTGTCAACACTAGCATCGCTCTTCAGTCCAGCCAACACTGCGCATATGGGATGCTACGTCAATCTTGATCTCAACGACTCGCGCGGATTCTCCACAGTATGCAATGCTTCACGCTCATAAGTGCGAGACTTGCACGCGTTCTGTACACCTTATACACTTCGGCATCATTCCCTTTCGCCGTCGAATACAGCCCTGCTTGTTGCTGTATGCTGATGCGCCCCTCTTGATCTGACGCCCTTGTGAAAGCTCCCACACTCAACAAGCCGAGTCCTCTGAGAGGACAACCTCTGGCGGCCGCTGACTTTGAGGCGAGTCCTGAAGACGTGTACGAAGAGACATGCTGTTGACTTTGACTCATTAGACCGGCAATGGGCAGAATGTATACTCCTCCAGCGAAGAGAGCGAGTCGGAAGTGGAGACTCCTGCCTCGTCTCATCGCGAGCTACCGACTGAGCCCCACATACTCGTCGACGAGTTCTCCACCCTCAGCATCAACGCCCCACCGCCCAACTCCGATGTACCCGACAGCGCGCCCGAGTCCGCTGTCACGCCCAAACGCGGCGCCTTCACTCAAGCAGCCGCAGCAGATGTACCTCGCACACCGATCCGGAGCCTTCGGAGCGTCCGGTTCGAAGCGCCTTCTCCAACCAAGCTACTCGGGAAAACTCTCGGGGCTGTCACGGGCAAACGTCGTGCAGCCGAGCCTCAGGAGACCGAAGACGGTCATCCTTCCCCTCTGAGTACTCCGACAGGAAGCGGCTGGCAAGATATCATCGCCGACGCGGTAGTCGCGATAGCTCGGCCAGAGGCGCTTAGGTACGACAGCTTGGCTTCACTCTCGCACTGCACGCTGGCCGTCAGATCCACGTGCTCTTTACCATTAATCACCCTACGCGATCTTCCATATCTACTCCTCATTCAATCTAGGACTTGTACCCTATGCTGTATTGTAACTTTCGCCTTCTATTAGTTCAGATTTACGACTCCAATGATCTCCCCACATGAGTGACAGTCGAGCGCAGACGATAGTCAACCATCCGTCATGGTGCTTAGCGTCATGTCCAAGCAGTGCCGCGAGTCACCGCGCTCGTGATTGTTCGGGAAGAACCAGAAAGGCTGTCCGCGTCTGACGCTGAGCGTCAGCGCCGTCCGCAAAAAGTGCTGGTACTTAAAGTTCGCATCGCCGCAGTGAGGAAGTGGTGTGATCGCGTCGGGCCGGCGGAGACCGGGCCGCACGAAAACTGGCAAAGCTGCAGCAGTCTGACCGCCTCCGGATTACTGAACCATGTTATTATTGTTTTGACAGCGGACGCTCGGAAGAGGACTGTACCATCGTATCCTAGCGTGAGCTTGAGCTTCGGTATCTACGCCCGACCCAACCTCGTACGTACGCATATCAACTTACCTCTGACTTTCACCTCCCCTTTGCGCGCATCCAATGCCCGACTCCACTCCGATCGCGATCCCGTCCTCGACAGGTTCAATGCACGCTCATATAGACCGCTTGACCCACCTATACTTCTTATCTCTTGCTGACTTTCACTCACCAGAGCCTGATATCGTCCAGTCGAGCGCTATCGCGACGCCGTTTCCATCTCATGCTTGTCTATCGCACGACGGCCAACAATCAAATACTTTATGTCTGAAGATCGTCCACGGAATGGCATTGTACTGGTTAGTCAGGCTGTCAGCTAAAGCGAAACATCGATCATATTTGTTGAGTGGGGGTTTACATGACAAGATACGAGAAGTGAGCCGTCCGTGTACGAGCTCTTTATACAAAACTACAAACTAATACAGTCCATGCGAATTCACAGCAGTCATTGTCCTAAGCGGCCAAGCGCGACGGTCCCGCCTTTGCGCTTCCAGACCCGCGCTTCTTCGCCGTTCCCTTCGCCTTCGCCTTTCCTGTTCCCTTTCCCGGCACGACGCCCGGGTTACGGGCCTTCCACTTCGCGCAAGTCTTGCGGTGGCGTGTGAGGACGTCCTTCCTGCAGAGAGGAAGGAAGCAATCGCCGCACTTGGCACCGAAGAGCTTCTGGCCCTTGGGACGGTGCGTGTCGGTGTGGCTGTCAAAGCGCTGGCCCGACTTCTCCTTCCACGCGGGGCAGCCGTCGAACTCATAGCCCGAGTAGAACCTGCAGTGGCGATAAGTGCAGACGAGCCACCCCTCGGGCACCTCCCTCTTCATCGGGATCCAGTCGACGGGAGAGCCGACGAGGGGGCCAGTCGCTGCCCGCGCTGCACTGGAGTCCGCCCGCTTTACTTTGCGAACGTCGCTGGCTTGGGCACCTTCCATGCCGCCGGCGCCAGTAGATAAATTGCGGTGAGATTCCAGGTCTGCGCTGGGGGCGGCAGCCTGGGTTGTCTCGGCGGTGTACGGCGTGTTGCGCACGTTCACCCGAGTGGGGTTGCGGTTGCGGCGGGGAGCTGATGGGAAACGGTCAGCATGGGTCTCGGTTGCTTGCAAAGTGGAGAGCGTACCTGGCTCCGCCTCCTCAACAATGTGGAAGTCGGATTCAGGAAAATCGCCGAAGGGGCCCGCGTTGACCGGGACGTCTTCGCCAGTGACGTTGGATGGGACGTCGTGGTCGCTGTTGTCGCACGGGGGGTCGTAGTAGCCACCGTTGTCGCACGGGCCGTCGTAGCCGTTGTTGACAGCGACGCTGCAACCACCATTGCCGAACGGGGCGACGTAGCCATTGTTGCCGACAGGGACGTCAAGTCCGCCGTTGGCGAACACAGGGCCGTAGCCATCGTTGTGGACAGCAACGCCGTGGTCGCTGTTGTTGAACGGGGCGCCGAAGCCATTGTTGTCGACAGGGACGTCATGGCCTCTGTTGTCGATCGGGACGCCGTGGCCACTATTCCCAAAAGGGACACCGTGGCCGTTGTCGTTGAACGGAACGATGAAGCCGCCGTTGGCGAACACAGGACCGTAGCCGCCATTGTCGGACGGTCCGTTGTAGCCGCTGTTGTTGTGCGGTCCGTTGTAGCCGCCGTGCTGGGACGAGGCGCCGAAGCCGCCGCCGTTCATCGGCACACCGTGGACGCCGCCGTTGACAGGGACGTCATGGCCGTTGTTGTTGACAGGGACGTTGTGGCCGTTGTTGCCGTACACAGGGTTGTAGGCGCCCTGGTCGGACGGTCCGTTGTAGCCGCTGTTGTTGTACGGTCCGTTGTAGTCGCCATGCTGGAACGAGGCGTCGAAGCCACCGCCGTTCATCGGCACACCGTGGACGCCGAAGGGCTCCGGCATCATGGGACCGTTGGTTGGGAGGTTGTCGGGGTAGTTTACGTGGGAGGGGACGGTCGAGGGCAGCTCGGGCGCAACGGTGGTCGGGATGGCCGGCGGGAGCGCCGCGGACTGGGGCTGATACGGCGTCGCCGCGTTCGTAGCCTGCTCGAAGA